TTGGGGAACCACTACTGTCTGCGACCCGACATTGAGGACCGCGATGAAGGGATCCTCGTCCCCCCTTACGATGGTCTGGGCCGGAATTAAATGAGGCCCATTAACCCCGGCCCTAGACGGCCCCAGCACAACACCCTGATCCCCAACACCCTTAGCGAAGGGCCTACGAAGTTTAAGAGGTACCAGCATTTGTGCCCCCGGCGGCACACGCACTGTTTTTACGACGAACGCCGGTACCGTCGCGAACGCCGTCCGAGTCGCTACAGGGGAAGGCAGGAACGCCATACGTCGCCCCGACGGAAGCTCAATGCATCCTTGGTCGATCAAAATACGAATTGGCATCCTGCCCAAGAAGTCCGTCCCCAGCAGGCACGGAACTGCCAGTGAGGAGGAGACAAAAATCGGCCCCGACAATTTGATGTCCCCGATAGAAATTTGCGCTCGAATCTGTCCCACGATGCCGAGAGAGCCCCCGTTAGCGGCATAGAAAGGGACATTAACCGGTAGCAAAGGACGGCTCTGCACCGGTAGAATATTGTAAATTAGTTCCGAAATAATTGTCGCCGATGCCCCTGTATCGACTATGATGCGTACCTCCACCCCATCAATGTAACCGACCACGGCCGACGATCCCGACGCCGCGGCCACCACGCGATGGGCCAACACGGACCACCGCTCGGGCTCGATTTGAGTCCCCGCAGTGATCCGCGCCGGTCCATCGCAGCGCCCCACCGGCCCCCCGTTCGTTACGGTGCGAGAGTGTGCGACAGGTGGGTGCGTTGGCCAAACATGTGAGGTGCCGCGACTCGCCGGATCATGGTGCTGGAGCTTGGGAGGAGGAAGAGGAGGGCCGGCGTCCTGTCGAGGCGTCGTCCCCCGCTGTCGAGGAGAACGGCACCCCGAGGCGACATGGCCCCGGATGCCGCAGTTGAAGCACCGCGGGAGCGCCGATGGAGACGATGGACGGTCGAAACGCCTCGGCCCGTCCCGACCCGGCCGCGCCCCCGTCGTCTGTTGCCGTCGATGGTCGACGGCATAAAGTTCTTCTGACGGAAGGGTGGCTGCAGCCACCGCACGCCCAGCCGATGCCCTGTTTGCCTTTCGCCGCTGCTGCAGAAGGTTGGCGTGGAGGAGTCGCGCAGCCTGGAGGGAGGTCATTTCTGCATCCCCTTGTGCGATGACGACGATGTCGAGGTCGTCCGCCAAGAGGAGGATCTTCTCCGCGACCATTGCGTCCACGCCGTCGTCGTCCATGCGGGGAAAGGCTGTTTTTGCCAGCGCCAGAAGACTTGTCCGGAAAGCCAGAGGCGACTCTTTTTCACCCCGCCTGCGATCGTAGAACTGCTGACGGCATTCGGCTGAAGGTCCATAGACCCCGGCCAGCAGCTGTAGCGCCATTGGTAGTGTAGCCCGCTTCTCTTTTGGCGCCGACGTGAGTGCGGCGAGCGCGTCCCCATCGAGGAGCGCCGGCAGCGCGCAAAGGGCCTCCTCGTCGGACCACCGCGCCATCTCCTGATGGGCGAGGAAGCGTCGCCGGAAGCCGCCCCAGTCACCCTCCGCACCGATGAATTCCTTCAGCGGGGGCAGTCTTTGGTGAAGCGCAGCGGTCGATGTGGACTCCCGCAGGTTGCTTTCACCTCCCTTTGGCGGTGCCTCGGCGCGACTGGCCGATGGCATCGCCTGTCGCGGCAGCGATGACGCATCCTTCGGCTGCGATGACGCTGCAGCCCCGGCGACGGCGATGTCGGAGCCGATGTCTAAGCTGGCCACGCCCCGAACAGCCGCGGCGTCCATGGCGGGAAATTCAAATTGTGAAGTCGCTGAAATGGCGGGAAAGTGCTCCGGCCGCCGGTTCTCCTCGCCCTGCGGTGGACCACCAGCCCCCAACCGCGTAATGCCTTCCAGTGTGGCGGCAGCGGCATAAAGTAGCTCCGCCAGCCGTTCGTGAGCCAGTCGTAGTGCATCTGGCTGCGGCCCCTCTCCATGCTGACGTCCCGGTGAGAAGGCGCCAGGCTCCGGCTGCACCCCATCTTGTTGCTCTGTCTCGGGCTCGGCGATCTCCGCGGCGTCCTCCTCTTGTGGTACCCTGGTCCGAGCTGTATGGCGCGTTTCCATTTTTACCACTTCTGACGCCAGATGAAGTACCCGTCGAGGACGCTTGACAACGGAGTTGAGGCACACGTATATTTATTTAACAAGTTGCCAGTACAGGACAGCCCTAGAGGGGGTAGCGGCCCCCTCACCCGTATAACTCAGGGAATACCCCTAGCTATCCATAGCCTATCCCCTGAGTCCTCCACTAAGAGCTAGGGGAGGCTGTCTGGCCCGACACTGGTAATCGGGCTCGGTACCCGGAGTCCCAGAGCACTGGCTCTGGTTCACGGGACCACGCCACTGGCTCGAGCCTGATCCCGTGGGGCCCTGATAAGGGCGGCGATCAGGGGGAGTCCAGGGCTCTAGCTACGACGTCTTCCGACTTCTTAGCTTAACTATAACATAACTGACTCAGCCCATATAACGACCCCTTTTTATACCCAACCCTCCTTGAGGGGTGGGGCCCCGGGGGATCGTAACGCCGAACCAGCCCCCCCCCAGGGTGTCTGGCTCGGACGTCGCAGAGGGCATCTCCCTGTGCACACACGTAGCTCCGCCCACTGTGTTTCTTTCCCATAGGCTGCCATGCATAACGGCCCTCTCTCCAACATCCCTACACAAGTATGCAATTACACACAAGTATGCAATTACACACAAACACTGGTATACAGTTACACAATTACAGTACACACACGCGCACACACACACTCGCTCACATCTTGACAAGAGCATCATGCTCGAGAGAGCGAGACGCAGGGTGAGTGAGGAGTTTCGAGGTGCCGTTTATTCTTTACACAACCCGAGGCGCATACTTGGCAAGGGGTCCCATTGTATTTTTTTTACTTTACACCTCAGGAAATTAAAAGTGGTGCAAAAGAATGAATGCAGCCGGGAGGCTCCGAGCCAAGCTTTAATCAGCCTGGGAGGTTCCTCCTTTTCCTCTGCTGCTCTTGAATGTCTGGATGCCCCCCTTTTCTCCTGCCAGTCCACCCTCCTCTTTGCCGATGATCGTGTCTCATTTAACATAAATTTTAAAAAATTGTCTCCTTTTCCCTGTGATGTGCACGTCCCACTGAATTGTAAAGAATCTTGACATCTGATAGTTTAGGCGCTACATAAGTCAACATTGTGTTTTTATTTAAGCACCGTTCATTATTCACCCCAGCGTGAGTTTAGTGGAAACGATTCGTGGGCTATCTGTGAAAGGAACACTGTGTCAAGAGTCCGAGCCGGCAGTGTTGAAGACCCTGCGTTTGAGTTCAGGATTCAGCCTCCCGTGATTTAACCCGGCCTCTCAAGTTCTAGTGGGTGATATGCTTCTCACCAGGACTAAAGCAGGAAGTTATTTTTCTCCAATTATATTCCTTAAATAAATGAGACTGAAACTATAACACGTAGGCTTTCACGACCAATATCCATAATAGAGGTGGTGGCGGGTTTTAACGACGCATATTTAAGCGATCTAACCCAAAAAACCTCTTATGGATTGTTGATGGTCTTCAGCGTGGTCGCCAGTGACTGGATGAAAACAACCCCATCATCACATTCAATGCAATGCAATTGGGAATATTTTGACTGTGAGAAGTTAAAACATAAGTCTGACTGCCAAGCTATAAACACCTCTAATTAAACAAATCATCTATTGATGATGCTGCTGCTGCGTTGGCAGAGGTGCACAATTAACACTATATATTTTTTTTTACGTGACGTTTTGGTTAATTGCCCTTTATAGCACGTAAATGAACACATCTATGGCAGGGCGTGTGGGAAGGTGACACCAGCACTTAGTTGTGGGCGAGGGGCAATTCAAGACGTCTCAGAAGTACAAAATAAACGTTTTATTTTATTTGACCAGGTAATGTCCACTGAGCTGTATAACTCTTTTCAGAAGTGACCTGACTATCACAAATGATAGCTCAAAGTAATGGCTTGTCGCGTGGAAATTTATATCAGCAGACAAATACTTGAAACGCGTGACGTCGATTCTAAATGTGGAGGGAAAAACTGGAGGACCTGGAGAAAAATCCACGCGACCACAGGAAGAGAGACACGCAAACTCTAAATATACAGCAGCAGGCGTCAGGGTCGGGATCGAACCCACGACCTTGGTTCCAGGCGAGGTAGTTAACATTTGCGATGTCAAATTTCCAGAGGCTGCTCTCCAAAACGAGTTGGTGCGATGCCCTCTGGTCGAGTTCAGAGTAAATGCTGTACGATTTCCTGGTTAGATTAATAGCATAGTGTGGTGCGATTAATTCGAATTCTAGGCTTTGTGAGAGGCATTTATTTGAGGAAAGATGAGATGCAAATTTGAATAATCATTTAATCTCAGCAGCAGCGGGGGTAGCGAGGTGTCAGATTGCCTGGGGAACGGTGCCAGGTGCCTAGTGCGGAGGACACTGCCAATACCCTTAACAAAGATCCCCCGTATAGCCTTGATATGTTTTTGGGGCAAGTGCTATTAGCGATTCTCGCACCTATGAAGGCCGGCAGGGCACACGAAGAGATAGCTGGGTGGCTAGAACCTCGCCCGGCCACCTTTGTCTCCCTGGTGGCGATGTCTAACACATCGCTCAAGGTACTAATGTGAGGCTGAGTCGACACTCGTGAAGGATCAGATCATTGCTCACCGGTGTTGCCCTTTAGGGCGAATTCGGGTCACCGGCTTCGTAGAGCAGTGCGTGAAAAACCGCTGCGCTACCACTCTATCCAAACACTCTGCGCCCACTCCCTACCGCCCGCCCGAACGCTCGCCCCGTGTCTCACCACCACCACCACGACTCCGTGACATTTGCGCAACCGTGGCTCAAGCAGGGGATTAGTGGCTCCGAGTGGCCAAGTTTGTGATGTAAATATTCTCGCCGTCTCCTCCGAGCCTGGCACGCAAACGCCGCGCCCCTCTTTCTCAAAAGTCACCGGTGACGCCTCCTAGGTGGGGGGCTATAAAGGTAGCCCCCCCACCCCACACGCACCCAAGCGCCGCATGCAGAGAGCCTCCTGTAAGGTAACCTGGAACGAGGACATGGCCCGGTCGAGCGTCAGCATCGTCATCCTTGTGGCACTGGGAGCCTCGCTCTGCTGGAGGTGTCGCACGAGTCCGCTTGCGCCGCGCAGCGAAGTGAAGGCCGGCCCTGCCGTGGAGAGGAAAAGAGCGGTGAAGATGGTGAGATGTTGGTGATGGTGGTGGTAGTGATTAAGATGATGTTGGTGATGGTTAGTGGTGGTAGTGATTGTGACGTTGGTGATGTTGATGATGGTAAGTGGTGGTAGTGATTGTGATGTTGGTGATCTTAATGGTGGTAGTGATGATGATGATGATGTTGGTGATGGTAGTGATTAAGATGATGTTGGTGATGGTTAGTGGTGGTAGTGATTGTGATGTTGGTGATGTTGATGGTAAGTGGTGGTAGTGATTGTGATGTTGGTGATCTTAGTGGTGGTAGTGATGATGATGTTGGTGATGGTTAGTGGTAGGGATGATGATATTGATGATGGTTGGTGACGGTGATAGTGATGATGATGTTGATGTTGGTGATGGTTCGTGGTGGTAGTGATGATGGTGGTTGGTGGTGCTATAGGTGGTGGTGAGTGATGGTGATGATGATTTGTTTTTGATAGAGCCGTCCTCCTCGAAGTTGAGGCGTTCCAGGTCGCTCTCCATCTCACATACCAACGCACGTGAAAAGCCATCCCCAGTGGCAGCTGTCCCTGTGCGGTATAATGACTTCCAGCGCCTGGCCTGCTATTGGACATTAGTCTGCCAGTCGGGGGGCGATTAATGCGATGATGTGTTTAATCCCAATTGAGTAATTTGCTGGTAGATTATGAATTTGGCATATTTGATAATCATGATAATGATGATTTGTGTTGGTAGTAGTTGATGACGGTGACTGCGATGATGATTGGTTGCTGTGCTGGTGGCCATGATGGTCATACATGATCGTGATGATAATGATCACTTATAGTGATGATGATTGAGGACAACCATGATGATAATGTGATGACCATGGCAATAATCGTGATCATGATTATGGTATATATCATAATGATGATGATGATGATTGAAGGTGGTGATGATTACACTCATTTCTGTGGGTGAAGATGAGTGACGTTAGCGTTGGTTGGTATCGCAGTGATGTTGACGAGGACTACAAATCGTGGTGGTAATAACTTTGTTGATGATCACGTGATCACAATTATCATGGTATGACGCTGATGACTAATGATGATATTGCTAATTATGCGTTATAACGATGATGACCAGAAACTGATGCTGATAACACCATCATTATAATTATGATGCCGATACCATTGATGATGGTGATCACTCAGCCTCGTGCATTATGCAAAAACCCTCAACTGTTCCTGCAGAAATGCAAATGTGGTCCTGTTGCCTTAGCTCAACATCAAACAAATTTCGATTTAAAGCTTTCGTGACTGCAGGGATTAATCTTCTTGGTTCTTTCGGTAAAGTCACGTAGAAGGGAAATAATAAAAATAAAACAATATAATTTTATTTGTATTATTTTATTATTTCCCTTCTACGTGACTTTACCGAAAGAACCAAGAAGATCAAACAAATTGTGAACACGTGTGACAGACTGACAGCTGGCCACGACACACATAGATCGGTTTCATCCTGATGAGGGCTCATCAGTACGGTATCGTCACCGGTGCCCACCGACTGTGACGCCGATGATGATGACGACCGCCGCGGCCTCTGCCCCAAGGTGCCCCCCGGTCCCGCTGACCACAACAGCGGCGTGAAGAGCTGGGCTAAGGGGCAGCTGGTGCGGGAGGGAGACATGATGATGACTCTGGAGCAGGAGGCAAGAATCTCGCGTCTTCTGGCTCCGTGGGGCCCAGGCGGTGCCTCGCGCAAGGCCGCCTCGGACCTCGCCCTAAGATGGCCGCTCGCAGTGGTGCCCTACAGCCTGGACCCCATGCTCAGTAAGGGGACCCCTCAGGACCTCCCAAACCTCACCCCCTTCCTCAAGTATTTTCCCCCAAACCCCTCCTCCCCATTGTTCACTAGTTTCTCTTAAGATTTCTCCCCAAACCCTCCTACACCATGTTCTGTAGCTAGTTTCCCTCAGATGTTTCCCCAAACCCTCCTACACCATGTTCTGTAGCTAGTTTCCCTCAAGATTTCTCCTCAAACCCTCCTACACCATGTTCTGTAGCTAGTTTCCCTCAAGATTTCTCCTCAAACCCTCCTACACCATGTTCTGCAGAAAGTTTCCCTCAAGATTTCTCCTCAAACCCTCCTACACCATGTTCTGTAGATCGTTTCCCTCAAGATTTCTCCTCAAACCCTCCTACACTTTGTTCTGTAGCTAGTTTCCCTCAAGATTTCTCCTCAAACCCTCCTACACTTTGTTCTGTAGATAATTTCCCTCAAGATTTCTCCCCAAACCCTCCTACACTTTGTTCTGTAGCTAGTTTCCCTCAAGATTTCTCCCCAAACCCTCCTACACCATGTTCTGTAGCTAGTTTCCCTCAAGATTTCTCCCCAAACCCTCCTACACCTTGTTCTGTAGATAATTTCCCTCAAGATTTCTCCCCAAACCCTCCTACACCATGTTCTGTAGATAGATTCCCTCAAAATTACTCCTCAAACCCTCCTACACCATGTTCTGTAGATAATTTCCCTCAAGATTTCTCCTCAAACCCTCCTACACCATGTTCTGTAGATAGTTTCCCTCAAGATTTCTCCCCAAACCCTCCTACACCATGTTCTGTAGCTAGTTTCCCTCAAGATTTCTCCTCAAACCCTCCTACACCTTGTTCTGTAGCTAGTTTCCCTCAAGATTTCTCCCCAAACCCTCCTACACCTTGTTCTGTAGATAATTTCCCTCAAGATTTCTCCCCAAACCCTCCTACACCTTGTTCTGTAGCTAGTTTCCCTCAAGATTTCTCCCCAAACCCTCCTACACCTTGTTCTGTAGCTAGTTTCCCTCAAGATTTCTCCCCAAACCCTCCTACACCTTGTTCTGTAGCTAGTTTCCCTCAAGATTTCTCCCCAAACCCTCCTACACCTTGTTCTGTAGCTAGTTTCCCTCAAGATTTCTCCTCAAACCCTCCTACACCTTGTTCTGTAGATAGTTTCCCTCAAGATTTCTCCTCAAACCCTCCTACACCTTGTTCTGTAGCTAGTTTCCCTCAAGATTTCTCCCCAAACCCTCCTACACCTTGTTCTGTAGCTAGTTTCCCTCAAGATTTCTCCCCAAACCCTCCTACACCTTGTTCTGTAGATAATTTCCCTCAAGATTTCTCCTCAAACCCTCCTACACCTTGTTCTGTAGCTAGTTTCCCTCAGATGTTTCCTCAAACCCTCCTACACCATGTTCTGTAGCTAGTTTCCCTCAAGATTTCTCCCCAAACCCTCCTACACCTTGTTCTGTAGATCGTTTCCCTCAAAATTTCTCCCCAAACCCTCCTACACCTTGTTCTGTAGATCGTTTCCCTCAAGATTTCTCCCCAAACCCTCCTACACCATGTTTTGTAGCTAGTTTCCCTCAAGATTTCTCCTCAAACCTTCCTACACCATGTTTTGTAGCTAGTTTCCCTCAAGATTTCTCCCCAAACCCTCCTACACCTTGTTCTGTAGCTAGTTTCCCTCAAGATTTCTCCCCAAACCCTCCTACACCTTGTTCTGTAGATAATGTCCCTCAAGATTTCTCCTCAAACCCTCCTACACCTTGTTCTGTAGATAGTTTCCCTCAAGATTTCTCCTCAAACCCTCCTACACCTTGTTCTGTAGCTAGTTTCCCTCAAGATTTCTCCCCAAACCCTCCTACACCTTGTTACGTAGCTAGTTTCCCTCAAGATTTCTCCCCAAACCCTCCTACACCTTGTTCTGTAGATAATTTCCCTCAAGATTTCTCCTCAAACCCTCCTAAACCTTGTTCTGTAGCTAGTTTCCCTCAAGATTTCTCCCCAAACCCTCCTACACCTTGTTCTGTAGATAATTTCCCTCAAGATTTCTCCTCAAACCCTCCTACACCTTGTTCTGTAGCTAGTTTCCCTCAGATGTTTCCTCAAACCCTCCTACACCATGTTCTGTAGCTAGTTTCCCTCAAGATTTCTCCCCAAACCCTCCTACACCTTGTTCTGTAGATCGTTTCTCTCAAAATTTCTCCCCAAACCCTCCTACACCTTGTTCTGTAGATCGTTTCCCTCAAGATTTCTCCCCAAACCCTCCTACACCATGTTTTGTAGCTAGTTTCCCTCAAGATTTCTCCTCAAACCATCCTACACCATGTTTTGTAGCTAGTTTCCCTCAAGATTTCTCCTCAAACCTTCCTACACCATGTTCTGTAGCTAGTTTCCCTCAGATGTTTCCTCAAACCCTCCTACACCATGTTCTGTAGCTAATTTCCCTCAAGATTTCTCATCAAACCCTCCTACACCATGTTCTGTAGCTAGTTTCCCTCAGATATTTCCTCAAACTCTCCTACACCATGTTCTGTAGCTAGTTTCCCTCAAGATTTCTCATCAAACCCTCCTACACCATGTTCTGTAGCTAGTTTCCCTCAAGATGTCTCCCCAAACCCTCCTACATCTTGTTCTGTAGAAAGTTTCCCTCAGATTAATCCCCAAAACCTCGCTTACTCTGCAGATAGTTTCCCTCAAGATGTCTCCACCATGTGTAGAAAGGTTCACCTCAAAATTCCTCCCCAAACCGTTCTCCACCTTGTTCTGTAGATTGTTTCCTCAAGGATCCACTCGTAACCTCCTCAAGGATTCACTCGTAACCTCCTCAAGGATCCACTCGTAACCTCCTCTGTCGCCTTCCATTTATCGTCCAGGGTCTCCGCGATGTGACAATATTACGATTATCGCGATGTCACTTTCCTGTAACTTTATAATTCTACAAAGTTATGAATGAAGCATATACAGTGCAGTCATGTGTTTCACATTTGTATTATGTGTGCTTTAGTGAGGTGGATAGACTCGCCCCGCCATAGTAACGTAGCATTTTCCACATGTAAACACTCGTTAATCGGCCGATAGCGCCTTCATATATAGAGGACCGCAGAACTTGGACAAAATTGTTGACGCCCGGCTCGTCGCGTGGCTGCTGCCTTCCCGCTCATCTGTGATCGCCACTTGCTCCTGTGACTTGCCCCGCCATAATAATGTGGAATGTTCCACATGTAAACACTCGTTAATTGGCCGATAGCACCTTCGTACATAGAGGACCACAGAACTTGGACAAAATTGTTGACTGCTGCCTTCCCGCTCGTCTGTGGTCGCTCCTTGCGAGAAATGAGCGAATACCGTGAGCGACTTGTAACTTTCATCCTCACCTGTGTCGTATCGATAGTTCAATGTTAATGTCCCATTTACATTAAGAGGCGACTTACTGAGTGGTGCTATCTTGGTGTGGTCTGGGACTGTTGTTGTGGCCTTGCCCAAGCTTAATAATTCTGACTTATATAATTTAAGTGATTTATTATTTTTTGATTTAAAGCTTTCGTGACTGCAGGGATTCATATTTTTGGTTCTTTCGGTAAAGTCACGTAGAAGGCAAACAATCAAATAATTTAAAATATAAATATAAAACAATAAATTCTCACGACGTTTCGACTGCAACACAAGCAATCATCATCAGGTGTGAAAAACAACAAGAAAATTTGAAAAAGTGCCTTTTTTATTGTTTCCTTGCTACGTGACTTTACCGAAAGAACCAAAAAAATTATTTATGATTATTCATATTTAGTGACTTGCTTACCATCTTTCCTATTTTGCACACCTATCGGTTTGGTGCTTGTAATTGTTTCCTGTTGTGACTTGCCCACCCGCCCCATACTGGAGACATCTGTGGGAGAAGCGCTTCATAGCTCATCGGATTCCTCCTCCCGCAGTCTTATGTAGAGATCCCGGTTCTGACTTCAATTGTCGTTATCCCTTACACAGGCGTAGCGGCCCTCAATGGAATCCGCGCGGCCATGGCGAGCTGGGAGGACAACACCTGCATTCGATTCGTGCCCCGGGAGGTGGCCGCTCTACGCGGGGTCACTCACTCCAACTACGTCGCCTTGAAACCGCTCAGCGGGTGAGGCCGGCTTCGTCGTCATCAGCGGTACCAGCAGCAGCATCAGCTGTACCAGCAGCATCATCAGCGGTACCATCATCATCAGCAGCTGTACCAGCATCATCATCAGCGGTACCATCATCATCATCAGCTGTACCAGCAGCATCATCAGCGGTACCAGCATCATCAGCGGTACCAGCAGCATCATCAGCTGTACCAGCAGCATCATCAGCTGTACCAGCAGCATCATCAGCGGTACCAGCAGCATCATCAGCGGTACCAGCAGCATCATCAGCGGTACCAGCAGCATCATCAGCAGCTGTACCAGCATCATCATCAGCTGTACCAGCAGCATCATCAGTGGTACCAGCACCATCATCAGCGGTACCATCATCAGCGGTACCATCATGAGCGGTACCATCATCATCATCAGCGGTACCAGCAGCATCATTAGCAACAATAGCATGAGCAGCGGAATCGGCTGCATAATTATCAGCAGCAGTAGCGGAAGAATCACAATGATCATCATCAGCAGTAGCATGAGCAGCAGTAGCAGCAGAAGTATAATCTTCATGAGCAGCAGAATCATAATGATAATTATCAGTAATATCATCATGATCATTGTCAGCAGCATTACAATCCTCGTTACCACCACTGTCGTAATAAGCCCGAATATCAATCATAATTACCATTACCACCACTGTCATCACCACAAGGATCACACACACGCAACCCTCATGGTCATCTCTGCCCCTGCTTGTGCTGCCTGTGTGTAGGTGCTGGTCCTTCGTGGGCATGATCGGCGTGGGCGAGCAGGTCGTGTCCATCGGCCGCGGCTGCGAGGGGGTGAGTGAGCGACACGCACAAAGTTGGTAACGGCAATAGTCTCAACTTGCAACTCATCGTAATTGCAACTTGTAAATGCAGTCAACATGCAGTACTCATTCACTCGCTCTCGAACAGAGAGGAGAGAGAGAGACAGATAGAACCACAGGACAAGCCGGGAAGATGGCAAAGTCAGGTGGTGAGCCGGTGCCAAATTTCCCCCCCAAGTTCTGCGGTCCTCTATATATGAAGGGGTTATTGGCCATTTATGGTAATACCTCGACGTGCAAAGTTTCAGCAAAACGAAACTTTGGATTTGTTACCATTATTATAATGGGGGGGAGGGGGGAGTAAAATAATAAATAAATGCACTGAAGTGCTATTTAAATACTCATTCTGTGACCCATCGCGATGGGTCACAGAATGTTTATTTACATTCGTCGCGGCATATCAGAGCGCAGCAACGCACTGCGTTACTCGGCTATGGTGTTTGATGGGCAATGCAACCTTATGGCTGCACCGAACTCTACACTCGATGAGTGTGAATATATTTTACAGCACATGGACCTCTTTACTTACGAACATTCGACTTACGAAGTTTGATAGCTCAACGAAGTGGCTTAAAATGTGGAAATTTATAGCAGCCAAATACTCTAAACGTGTAATGATAATTCTAAATGTGGAGGGAAATACCAGAGGAGCCGGAGAAAAATCCACGCGACCACGGGAAGAGAGACACGCAAACTCCAAACATACAGCAGGCGTTAGGGTCGGGATCGAACCCACGACCTCCTGCATACCAGGCCAGGTAGTTAACATCTCCTTGCCACCGTGATGATGATGACATGAGAGAGCGAGAGATGCGGACTCCAAATATACAGCAGACGTCAGGATCGGAAGCAAACCCACGACCTCCTGCACACCAGGCAAGGGAGTTAACATCTCGCCACCGCAGCGTCCCATTATGATCATCACACGCTATGCCCCGTGCACGCGTGCGTGTGTTCGTGCGTGTGTTCGTGCGTGTGTGCATGTGCGTGCGTGTCCGTGCGGTAGTGTAAGCGGTTAGCGCGCTGCGCTATGAACCCGGAGACACGGGTTCGATTCCCGCTCACGGCCAACACCAGTGACGATTATCTGAACCGGTCCTGGGCCTTCCCTAGGTCGACTCAGCCTGAAATGAGTACCTGGTGCGGTGTGTAAACATCGCCACTGGGGAGACAAAGGCGGTCGGGTGTGGCGCTGGCCACCCACCCCCTCGTGTACCGTTCCGGCCTTCATAGGTGCTCGCTAACAGCACTTGCCCCTACGGTCTGTTAAGGCTATATGGGGGATCTTTGTCTGTGCGCGCCCAGGTGGGCACAGTGGCGCACGAGCTGGGCCACGCTGTGGGCTACGTGCACGAGCAGTCCCGCCCGGACCGCGACGCCTTCATCTCGGTGCAGGAGGGGAACGTCCAGGACGGGCAGCTGGGCCAGTTCGCCGTCTACAGCGCGACAGATCCGCGTGGGGTGCCCTACGACCTCAAGTCCGTCATGCACTACAGTCGCAACGTACGTGCGTGCGGGACGGGACGCGTGGCCGGCCGGGCATAATTCCAGCCGGAATTGTCCGGAACGCTGCTAAAACACATATGTTGTAACTGGCATTGGGTAAAATATCGCAATGCTGAAAAAATGGACCAGTTGGCAAATTCGCGTGCCTGCCAGGAGGTCAGTTGATCGACGTACATCGGTGAGCAGGGTGGCACCGGGGCAACACCCGTGCCTCGCACTGGGAAGGGGCCTAGGTTCAAGTCCCGACTTGGGTGCCTTTCTGCGTGGAGTTTGTATGTTCTCTCCCACTGTTGTGCATGGGTGTGAGTGTGTGAGAATGAGTGAGTGTGAAGTGTGTTCTCTCACACTGTTCTGCATGGGTTTCTTTCTGGTTCTCAGCTTTTCTTCCATAGCTCACGAGGAATTACGTACAACATAACTTGTATTGGACAAATATATTCCAGTGCTGAACAATGTACCTGCAAATGGACTCCGCTTGGATCACACACATGCTAAACTAAACCTTTTATTTTACCAGTTAAGGCCCACTGAGCTATATAGCTCTTTTTCAAAAGTGAGATGGCCGGAAATGATAGCTCAAGGCTTATCGTGTGGAAATTTATAGCCGCCAAAGCCGCAACACGCATGTTGATTCTAAATGTGGAGGGGAAAACCGGAGGAGCTGGAGAAAATTCACTTGACCACGGAAAGAACGTGCAAACTCCAAATATACAGCAGCAGGCGTCAGGGTCGGGATCGAACGCACGACCTCCTGCATACCAGGCGAGGTAGTTAACATCTTGCCACCGAGAATTAGGCAACATCGTCCAATACTGTGAGTTATTGGCAGGACGCTCCCAAAAAAGTGTCTTGAGACTCAGTGAGGCCTTTTTCCTGAGTAAAAAAGCGTTTAATTGACTCTTTAAACCAGCCTTGACCTCCTCGTTCTGACCGTGAACCCTGCAGGTTCTAATTTTGATTTAAAGCTTTCGTGACTGCAGGGATTCATATTCTTGGTTCTTTCGGTAAAGTCATCACGTAGAAGGGAAACAATAAAAATAATAAAAATACAAAACAATAAAATTCTCACGACGTTTCGACTGCAACACAAGCAATCGTCATGAGGTGTGAAATCCACAACAAGAAATTTTGAAAAAAGTGCAGGTTCTGTTCATTTCCTGATTGGGATCTACAGATTAAATATGTGCCGCCTTACACATGTACATCATTATGATGAGTATTATTATTTGTTGACGTGGTGACGCGGCGGCATGTTGACTTGTGAACATGTGACGTGGTGTCGGGGTCACATGCGCAGGCGTTCTCCAAGGACGGCGTGAGTGAGACGATCCGGGTGAAGGACCCGGAGAAGGGAGGGTGGATCGGGCAGAGGGAGGGGCTCAGCTTCCTCGACGTGAAGCTGGCCAACATCATCTACAACTGTCACGGTAGGGGCACAAAGACAAATGTCCATCATGTAGCCTCGACCGACTGTTGGGGCAAGTGCTGTGTGGGGCACCTCCGTGGCGAGATGTTAACGACCTCGCTTGGTGTACAGGAGGTCGTGGGTTCGATCCCGACCCTGACGCCTGTATATTTGGAGTCTACACGTTCTCCCCGTGGTCACGTGGATTTTCTCCGGATCCTCTGGTTTTTGCCTCCATATTTAGAAACACGCGTTTAGAGTCGTTAACTGCTATACATTTTCACATTATAAGCCACTTCGTTGAGATATCATTTGTGGCCAGGTCGCTTATGAAAATGAGCTATACAGGTCAATCGGCCGTACCTGATAAAATTATGAATGCCAGCACGGCACATGAGATGGTTGGTTGGTAACAACACGCTCGCTCGGCCGCCTTTGTCTCCCCAGTACTTAGCGAGTCCACTCAGCTTCACATCCTCCTGTGCCACATCAGCCCATATCTTCTCTAGCCCGTTTATCCCCATCTATCTAGCCAAACAGAAGCTGCTTGGCCATGTGGTGGCTGGGAATGCAGGCTTCGTGACCCAGCTAATGATGGACGATGTGTCCGGATATTTCAATGATTTCTGAGCTCCTCGCACAATCCAATCTGGTGAAACTCAGGATGGATCGTAGGCCGGCTAGCCACTCGATCTCTTATATACCCACCCACTCGGTCAATCACCTTCTCGTCACTCTTACATCGCTATCACCATGGTTACTTGTTCCTGTAGCTTCACTCTGATTCCTATACCCATCTTGAGGAGTCAGTTTACCAGACTGTTTCATCTCATCCACCACACTGCAGGCTACAACAAGACACTCACTCACCTACACAATCTCACCAAGCCACTCACCCACCAATTCAAAAACAAATATCCCCCATATAGTTTTTTAACAGACTGTTAGGACAAGTACGGTTACCGAACACCTATGAAGGCCGGCACGGCACACGAGGGGGTGGGTGGCCAGCACCACGCTCGACCCCTTTCGGGAGGAGGCCCAGGATCAGTTCAGATAATCGTCACTGGTGTTGACCATGAGCTCCCCACACCCTCTCTCTCACCCACACGCGCACGCACCCACTCACTTGCTCACTTACCCTCTCACCCGCCCGCTCAATCACTCATTCACCACCCACTCCCTCAATCACCTCCATCGCTCAATGATGTCTCCATTCACCTATGCCCCCTCCGCCCCGTGCAGGAGACTGCTCCCTGCCGTGTCTGTACGGCGGGATCCCTGCTCCGGGCTGCGATCGCTGCCTCTGCCCGCACGGACTCACGGGAGACCTGTGCCAGGACGTGTTCACGCAGCCAGGCTTGGGTGTGATGATGCTCCTGCGATGATGCTGTGATGTGCGCTGTGGGGTTTCTGCTGCGCGATGTGCGATGATGGCAGACAACATGGCAGGAAGGGTAGACTATAACATCCCGCCACGGTGACGGGAGATTAATGACCTCGCCTGGTATACAGGAGGTTGTGGGTTCGATCCCGATCCCGACCCTGACACCTGTATATTTGGAGTTAGTGTCTCTCTCCCTGTGGTCGCGTGGATTTTTCTCCTGGTCCTCCGGGTTTTCCCTCCACATTTTAGACGCATGCTTTTAGAGTATTTGGCTGCTGTACATTTCCACGTGGTGATAAGCCACTTCGTTGAGTTGTCATTTGTGGCCAGTTCGCTTCTGAAAAAGAGCTACACAGCTCAGTGGGGCCTTACCTGGTAACATTCAACATTTGGTCTTCTGGCCACGACGAGACGCCATCAACAGAGAGAGTTCGTGTCGTCTTGCTGTTCCTCGTCCTCCATTGAAGGAACGCAGACGATAGTGGGCTCACTGTGCGGTCCGTAGTGTGGGTTACATGGCCACAGTCTCACTGCTGTGGTTTTTCATTAATGTATCTCTATGGCTCTCAATAGCTATTGATGTCTGTGTATCACGGAGTCTATGTATATCTGTCTATGAGTGTAAATCTATGAGTATGTATTACAGTGTCTCTATGTATCTACGAGTCTGACTCTCTGAGTCTATCTCGATGTGTATATGTATCTGAGTGTCTGTCTCCTCGTATCTCCACAAGCCTCTATGGGTCTCTATGGGTTTGCTGTGCGGTCCGTCGACTGGGTTGTACAGCCACAATCGCACTGCTGTGGCTCCATTCATGAAGTAGATGTGCACTGTGCATCGCCAGCGACGACGAGACGAGTCCACTCCCAGAACCGACAGCCCGGAGCTCCCCGCTCTCCGCTGCTTTTATTCCCCTCGGCGCGGCTTGGCTCCGCCCTAGCCACGCCTCCCTTCTCGAACCCACCAGAGGGTTCCAGGGGCCTCCCCACGAGGTCTACCGTGACCCTTGCCCCAGTTCCTCCGCCCTGCCGGCACCCACACACACACAGCCGTGTGTATGCTCAACGGCGTGTGCGCTAAGTGTCCACCTGCAGTTACTGCTGCTGCAGTGAAGCAGTCGGCACTGTGTGACTAATGTTTGCTTCGTCTTTGAAACTGATTGGCCTACACCAGAGACGGCTGCCAACTTCATGGCCTTGTCTCGCCACCAGAGAACGCCAACAGGCGAACAGTACAAAGACGATGCAAATATCAGAGCACTTATAGCTCGCAAAGCTGTCAACCTGTACGGTTTACCCCGTATTCTTGTACAGAGGAATTGAGTTTTCAGGTCCATACAGCGTACAGCCGTTTCAATACGGGCAAAAACTTGTTTTTGTCTATTTGTGTTCCTCCCTTGTGATGGGGCTTTGTAGGATGGACGTTCAGATTTCTAAGGGCACGGGGTGACCAGTAAGGTCTGAATTGGTCTGTAATAAGGTGATAGGCGGCTGACGGGTATTATCTTGGGGTGAGCAGTTGTATCTATGGGACACTTGTTTTATTTCCAGAAAGGCTCAAACCTATTCAGATTTGTTTGTATCATGATACAATGTTGTTCTGGTTGTTTGGTGGTGCTGCTGCTGCTATGTGATGCAATGTTGTACTGTGCCGGTGCAATGTTGTACTGTACTATGTGCGGCGCGCTAGTCTGTGGCGGGCTGCTGAACGCCACCCAGGGATACATCTCGTCCCCCGGGTACCCGGCTGCCTACCCCAACAACGCACACTGCGTCTGGCTCGTCCAGGTGAGTGGAGGAGCGGGGGGTAGTGTTGTCATTATTAGGGGTAGTGTTAGGGGTAGTGTTAGGGGTAGTGTTGTCAGTGTTCGGGGTAGTGTTAGGGGTTGTATTAGGGGAAGTGATATTGTCAATGTTACGGGCAGTGTGTCAGTTTTAGGCGGCCATCATTGGTGCTACTCGCTAACAGCACGTGCCCCAACAGCCTATGAAGGCTCTCTAGGGGCAATCTTTGCCTTTGTTAGTGTCAGAGTTGTTGCTAGATGTAGGGTTAATTGCAGGGTTTGGGCTGGGCTCGTGTTAGGGATGCGGGATAACTTCAGGATCGGCGTTTGCTTTGCACTCCTGCTCGGAGGCTTGGGATGAGCCGGCCGCCTCTAGGCCCTCCATTAATATCTCCCTGTCCCACCCCTTCCCTCTCTCACCCCCACCCTGTCCCACCCCCTCCCTGTCCCTACCCCCTCCCACCCCCCAGGCCCCCCCCGGGGGCACGGTGACGCTGTACGTGGAGGACGCGTCGCTGGAGAGCGTCTCCTACTGCTCCTTTGATTACGTCGAGATCCGCACGCAGGGCGCAGACACGGCAGGGGCACGGTACAGGACCCCTATAACAGCCCCTAGTAGAAGACCCCTATAACAGCCCCTAGTAGAAGACCCCTATAACACCCCCTAGTAGAAGACCCCTATAGCAGCCCCTAGTAGAAGACCCCTATAACACCCCCTAGTAGAAGACCCCTATAACGCCCCCTAGTAGAAGACCCCTATAACACCCCCTAGTAGAAGACCCCTATAACACCCCCTAGTAGAGGACCCCTATAACACCCCCAGTAGAGGACCCCTATAACACCCCTAGTAGAAGACCCCTATAACACCCCCTAGTAGAGGACCCCTATAACACCCCCAGTAGAGGACCCCTATAACACCCCCTAGTAGAAGACCCCTATAACACCCCCTAGTAGAAGACCCCTATAACACCCCCTAGAAGAAGACCCCTATAACACCCCCTAGTAGAAGACCCCTATAACACCCCTAGTAGAAGACCCCTATAACACCCCTAGTAGAAGACCCCTATAACACCCCCTAGTAGAAGACCCCTATAACACACCTAGTAGAAGACCCCTATAACACCCCCTAGTAGAAGACCCCTATAACACCCCTAGTAGAAGACCCCTATAACACCCCCTAGTAGAAGACCCCTATAACACCCCCTAGTAGAAGACCCCTATAACACCCCCTAGTAGAAGACCCCTATAACACCCCCTAGTAGAAGACCCCTATAACACCCCCTAGTAGAAGACCCCTATAACACCCCTAGTAGAAGACCCCTATAACAGCCTCTAGTAGAGGACCCCTATAACAGCCCCTAGTAGAGGACCCCTATAACACCCCCTAGTAGAAGACCCCTATAACACCCCTAGTAGAAGACCCCTATAACACCCCCTAGTAGAGGACCCCTATAACAGCCCCTAGTAGAGGACCCCTATAACAGCCCCTAGTAGAGGACCCCTATAACAGCCCCTAGTAGAGGACCCCTATAACAGCCTCTAGTAGAGGACCCCTATAAGACCCCTAGTAGAAGACCCCTATAACACCCCCTAGTAGAAGACCCCTATAACAGCCCCCAGTAGAGGACCCCTATAACAGCCCCTAGTAGAGGACCCCTATAACACCCCCTAGTAGAAGACCCCTATAACACCCCTAGTAGAAGACCCCTATAACACCCCTAGTAGAAGACCCCTATAACACCCCCTAGTAGAAGACCCCTATAACACCCCTAGTAGAAGACCCCTATAACACCCCTAGTAGAAGACCCCTATAACACACCTAGTAGAAGACCCCTATAACACCCCCTAGTAGAAGACCCCTATAACACCCCTAGTAGAAGACCCCTATAACACCCCCTAGTAGAAGACCCCTATAGCACCCCCTAGTAAAAGACCCCTATAACACCCCTAGTAGAAGACCCCTATAACACACCTAGTAGAAGACCCCTATAACACCCCCTAGTAGAAGACCCCTATAACACCCCTAGTAGAAGACCCCTATAACACCCCCTAGTAGAAGACCCCTATAACACCCCCTAGTAGAAGACCCCTATAACACCCCCTAGTAGAAGACCCCTATAACACCCCCTAGTAGAAGACCCCTATAACACCCCTAGTAGAAGACCCCTATAACAGCCCCTAGTAGAGGACCCCTATAACAGCCCCTAGTAGAGGACCCCTATAACAGCCTCTAGTAGAGGACCCCTATAACAGCCCCTAGTAGAAGACCCCTATAACACCCCCTAGTAGAAGACCCCTATAACAGCCCCCAGTAGAGGACCCCTATAACAGCCCCTAGTAGAGGACCCCTATAACACCCCCTAGTAGAAGACCCCTATAACACCCCTAGTAGAAGACCCCTATAACACCCCCTAGTAGAAGACCCCTATAACACCCCTAGTAGAAGACCTCTATAACACCCCTAGTAGAAGACCCCTATAACAGCCCCTAGTAGAGGACCCCTATAACAGCCCCTAGTAGAGGACCCCTATAACAGCCTCTAGTAGAGGACCCCTATAACAGCCCCTAGTAGAGGACCCCTATAACAGCCCCTAGTAGAGGACCCCTATAACAGCCTCTAGTAGAGGACCCCTATAACAGCCCCTAGTAGAAGACCCCTATAACACCCCCTAGTAGAAGACCCCTATAACAGCCCCCAGTAGAGGACCCCTATAACAGCCCCTAGTAGAGGACCCCTATAACACCCCCTAGTAGAAGACCCCTATAACACCCCTAGTAGAAGACCCCTATAACACCCCTAGTAGAAGACCCCTATAACACCCCCTAGTAGAAGACCCCTATAACACCCCTAGTAGAAGACCCCTATAACACCCCTAGTAGAAGACCCCTATAACACCCCCTAGTAGAGGACCCCTATAACACCCCTAGTAGAAGACCCCTATAACACCCCTAGTAGAAGACCCCTATAACACCCCCTAGTAGAAGACCCCTATAACACCCCTAGTAGAAGACCCCTATAACACCCCTAGTAGAAGACCCCTATAACACCCCTAGTAGAAGACCCCTATAGCAGCCCCTAGTAGAAGACCCCTATAACACCCCCTAGTAGAAGACCCCTATAACACCCCCTAGTAGAGGACCCCTATAACACCCCCTAGTAGAAGACCCCTATAACACCCCTTAATAAAGGACACCGATAACACCCCCTAATACAGGACCCCTGGAGAAAACATGCCAATGCAGGAATGATGATCATACTGCTGATGCTCATGAGGCTGCTGATTATTCTGCTGCTGATAACGTCATGCTGATGATGCTAAAGATCCGTTGCGGCATGCTGGCGATGCTGATGTGTCTCGACATGGCGGGAGATGCTGATGATGTTGCGGATGGCGATGCTGACGAGCGTGCTGACGATGTTGCTGATGGCGATGCTGACGAGCGTGCTGACGATGTTGCTGATGGCGATGCTGACGAGCGTGCTGATGATGTTGCTGATGGCGATGCTGACTAGCGTGCTGATGATGTTGCTGATGGCGATGCTGACAAGCGTGCTGATGATGTTGCTGATGGCGATGCTGACTAGCGTGCTGATGATGTTGCCGATGGCGATGCTGACTAGCGTGCCCGCGTGTCCGCGTGGCCGAACCCAGGCTGTGCCCGGGCTCCGTGCAGGCCCTGAGCCGCTCCCGCTTCGTCACGGAGGGCGACCACGCCGTGGTGCGCCTCGTCACGGACGCCAGCGTCACGGCCAGGGGCTTCCGCATTGCCTACTCCGTCAACAGCACGCAGGGTACGGGGGGGGCTCACGGGGGGGGGGCTCACGGGGGGGGGGGGGGGGGGGCTCACGGGGGGGGGACGGGACCCGGGGGGGGGGGTAGGGTTAGGGGCTCGGGAGGCACGGGGGGTGTGGTAGAACAAGAGGAATACAAATTATAATGTCAATGATTATCATTGTTGTTTCAAGAATAGATGCTTCCCCAAACTTCGGAGCCGCGTGTCACTGGCGTCACCGGCGTGTCGTGTGTCACGTGTCACTGACGTCACTGGCGTGTCGCGTGTGACGTGTTAATGGCATCACGGGCGTGTCGCGTGTCCCCGGCATGTCGCGTGTCGCAGGCGTGTGGGCAGAGTGGAGGCCCTGGTCTCCGTGCTCTGTCTCGTGCGGCGGTGGCGGCACCCAGCAGCGCACGCGCTCCTGCCTCACCGAGCCCGGCACCTGCACGGGCGCTGACAGCGACAGCCGGCCGTGTGGCTCTGACGCGTGTCCAGGTACCATCGCCGGCATCGGCACGAGCGGCAGCGTCGGCACAAGCCGTAGCATCGGCAGCAGCTGGTGGGGGTGAGGGATTTGGTGGCGGCTCCTCACCACCGCGTGGTGGCTGCTGCTGCTGCTGCTGCCTTCCCGCTTGTCCGTGGTTCCTCCTCCGGACGCCACTCAGTCGTTCTCCCGTCTTCGAGAGCGAGCGAATGATTGCGCGGCGACGCGTTCAATTATAGTCATCATCTTCAACAACGGCACCAGCAGCAGCAGCGACAGCCATAGCAGCGGTAGCGGTGTCGCCAGCAGCAGCATAAGCTGCATGATCGTCAGTAAAAATTTGTATTTCATTTTAGTCCTGACTACCTTTGTCGGTCAGACGAAGAGATTTTCTGAGAGAAATTAAATCCATGAACCGAGACTTAACACATGTGGCCAAGGTTAACATACATATTGTTGACTCCATTAACTCTTCTTCAAACCATCTTCTCGACCCCCCCCCCCCCCCCCCACTCTGCCCCCCACCTTCAATCTTCTCTATCAGTCTGTGGGGGGCTGCTGGAGGGGACAAGTGGCACCTTCACGAGCCCCGGCTACCCCCAGCGCTACCCCGACGGCGCGCTGTGCCAGTGGACCGTGCGCGTGAGTGAGCATCAACGCGGAGCCGGCACGGCGTTCCAGGCTACGAATCGATTGGACGGGGGGGGGGGAGGGGGGTGGCCCCCATTTAATTGCTTGCAACCGGGCCCCATGCCCACCCACCACCACCACGCTACACCAACGCACGAACACTTGGACACTACTCCGCAACGCCCAGGCCGGTCCCCGTGACGGTACGACCTCACGCAGCGCAACACGCGGCACTTCGCCGCGCGAGAGTACGGAACGTGCCACTGGTTGGTCGCGTCGCCCCAGGGACCGGTGCTCACCGTGCCCACCGCCCCCGCCGCGGCCGTGACCTCCCGACCCGGCGCGGCCGTGACCTCCCGACCCGGCGCGGTTGCTCCCGGCAGGTGCCCGTGGGGCTGGCGGCGCGAGTGGCGTTCTCCGACCTGGACGTGGAGCCGGGCCCGGCGTGCCCCTACGACGCCGTGAGGCTCTGGGCCGACGGCGCGAGCTCCGTGCCGCTGGCCTCCGTGTGCGGCACCGCACCTCCCCTCCCCGGCGCCATTGTCGCCCCCGGTGACCGCCAGCTGTTCGTCACCTTCTCCTCCGACAGCTCCGTCACGGGCCGAGGGTTCAACGCCTCCTTCAGCACCGCCGGTGAGCCGGGGCTTTGCCGTCATCCAGCCGGCACAAGGTGGTGCGCCGATTGTGGCGAGTTGCGGAAAGGGGGGTGCGGTTCGGTCAACTCCCCATTATCCGGAGTAAAGGAGTGGAGGGGTGGCTCGGATAAATGCGAGGTTAGAACTGACATTTAAAAAAAAATCTTTAGCGTTTTCTGAGTTAGGATCTGGGTTGCGGGTGCTAAATTCGGTTCAAGATCATTCCTTGTAGCCGTGCGCCAGGGTTTTTGGAGCCACCTGGGATGATCCTTCCATACTTGGGGCTTCCGCGTGTCCTGCCAGGCGGGGCTTGAACACAAAGAGGCGGGGCCTGAAGAAGAGGGGGCAGGGCCTAAAAAGGAAAGACGCGAGGGGCGTGGCCTGATGAGCAGTGTGGGTGTGGCCTGACGAGCAATGTGGGCGTGGCCTGATGCATAAGCAGGCGGGTCTATAGAATAAGTGGGTGGGGCCTACAGAGGTCAAATTTCCCTGTTGATTCAAATAAAGCATCGAAACAAATCCAATACGAGCAGCGGGCAGCAGCATCGCTGTAGCGACGCAGGTGCGGCCTCAGGCCAACCGACTACAGTCGTGAACATCTAAAGTGCAAAAAAAGACAAATGTGTCATTTTCACAAGAGGTGACGCATGTAATACGATAGGACGGTAAGATTTTTTATTTGGATATTTTGACTGTAAAGAAAAATAAGTGTGGGGGGGGGGTGATGGGGGAGGCGCGGTGATGGGAGAGGGGGGCCAGGAGACGCCACGGCCAGGAGGGACGACGCCCGCTGGCCACAGCGGCAGCCGAGGAACGGAACGCGTCGTCCGCCGCCGGAGACGGAGCGACGGAATTGGGGACGTGCGCCCAGAGGCGGATGGATCGGCGCATCGCGCGTGGGGGTTCCATGAGAGATGGCAAAGGTCGTCGGGAAGTGGAACGATCTCGCGCTGACGAATTGTAGAAATGTGACGGCGGACGTGTGAGGTTTCGGTTTGAGTGAGAACCTCCCCGTCTCCCTGCCTCCCTCCTGCCCCAAACCCCCGAACTCCCGGACCCCAGCCCTGCAGTGCGGGGGCTTTCTGAACGGATCGTCGGGGACCCTACAGAGCCCCGGCTACCCCAGCCCGTACCCCACGAACCAAGTGTGCGCCTGGTACGTCACCCCCATGCCGACCTCGACTCCAACCCCGACCCTACCACGTGCCCTACGTCCGAGCCGAGACAAACTCAAACTCTTGACCCTAGAATGAGCCGTGCACAGACCCAGACCCGAGTACCGCCGCCGTAAGGGGCGACTCAAGGGTTTACACGATGGACAACAGAAGGGCCGACAACCACTTCGGGTGACACATAGGTGTACGTGATGGACAATGCCACTCACATCCCTCACTAATTAATACTAACTACTAACTTTTTTTATTTTACCAGGTAAGGCTCCACTGAGCTATACAGTGACCTGGCTATCACAAATGATAGCTCAACAAATTGCCTCATCATCATCATCACGTGGACATTTATAGCAGACAAATACTCTAAACGCGTGATGTTGATTCTAAATGGGGAGGGAAAAACCTGAGGACCCGGAAAAAAATCTACTCGACCATGGTGAGAGAGACACCGCAGACTCCAAATATACAGCAGGAGCCATCGTCAGGGTCGGGATCGAACCCACGATCTCCTGTACACCAGGCGAGGTAGTTAACATCTCCTAACCACCGTGATGATGATGAGATAGAGAGACGTAGGACTCCAAATATACAGCAGGAGGCGTCGTCAGGATGGGGATCGAACCCACGACCTCCTGCATACTGGGCGAGGTAGTTAACATCTCCTAACCACCGTGGTGCCTTCACACCTCTCCCCCCACCCCGCCCCCCCACAGGTACATCGAGGTTGCCGAGGGTCGTCGCGTGGGCCTCTCGATCTCTGCGCTGGACGTGGAGGCGTCCGTGGGCTGCGTGTACGACCGCGTGTCGCTCTGGGAGGGCTGGGACGCCGACGCGGCCTCGCTCCCGCTCGCCACCTTCTGCGGGCGCGCCCTGCCGCCCCCCGTCGTCACGGCGACGTCGCACCGTCTCCTCCTCGTCCTCGTGAGCGACGGCTCGGTGACCGGTGCGGGCTTCCGCGCCGATTACAAGCAACTGTGACTACGACGAGGAGGCCGGCGGAGGGGGAAGGGGGCTGGGGGGTGACGTTCTTAGGTGGCACGGTGAATTTTTTTTTACGCGCAGTCGTGTTTAACTCTTCCCGATTCGTCTTCAGGTTGTTCCTGCGCGTTGTTCGGCACGATGTCCGACGTTTAAGCTCCACACTCGCCGGGAGCTTCTTCGACAACTGGATTGAACTTCAGGGTCCCAAGGCAACTGAAGACGCTACCCCCCCACACACCTCCGGCAGGTGTGGGGGCGAGTCACCGTCGCCTCCTCGTTCCCAAAGCGCTGGATCGCAGGAGACAAAGTTTGCTGTCCTTCCCCACGCACCTGCGATTAGCACGTAGGGTGAGCGAAATAAGTTTGACAGACTGCCCATAGACTAACACTGCCCATAGACTAACACTGCACTTAGACTAATACTACCCAGACGAATACTGCACATAGACTAAACACTACCCATCGACTCAAGACTGCGCTTCCAATTAGCACGGTTGGCAATGTATGGTGCAAAAGAAGTTAAACATACATACATGCAGTGGCCTTGGTTGACCAGCGATTCGCGTAGCTTCGACACGTGGGGGGGGGGGGGGGGCTTTGGTGGAACCGCAAGATGGGGGGGGGGGGGGGTGCAAGCGAGTCCATGGGATTTGGTGGATTATTATCAAAAGCGATTTTGTGATTAGTGGCGAGTGGTGAGGGTTGAAATCTTTAAAATCGCCTCCAAGGGGGCGTTTGCGTGCAGTGATTGGGAATTAACAAATGATTGTGTCAATCGCGGTGGAAATAAATGACGGTGGAAGTCAGAGGTGTAGACGGTGCGTCTGAGTGAGTTGGCGTCGACGGCCGCGTTGTATGTATGTTGTATGCATGTCGTATGTTGTACGCATGTCGCACTTCTTGCTCACCGTACGTAGCAGAGCGTCGTGCTCATCGGAGGTGCGGTGGAAGGACAACCAAGCAGAGCAATTTTCAATCGAGATGACCGAAACGTGGCTTCCGAGTATCGTAAGGAAGAGCATTCCAGACGGCCACGAGCACATCTGAAAGCGCGATGCAGTGACCACCGTCCTTGTCAAAAGCCGCCACCGCTGCTGCTTTGAGGGTGACCCGGAGTTGGTTTGTGTTCCTTGACGAGATCAGCAAAGGTATTGTGGTCCATTTGTGGCAAGAAGCCCCATTGTTGTGTCACGAACGCGGCCTTGTGAGTGTCGTCTTGACTTCAGACGCGGCTCATGCCACGTGGTTGTGAAGGACACCCCGTGAACTTAAGTCGGGTACAGTGTGAGAACCTTTTCCTGACCAAGAGGCCAAATCCAACTCTCAGATACCATCGACATCAAAGACCCTCCTCCCCCACCCCCGTACAGCCTTAACACTGTTGGGGCAAGTGCTGTTCGCGAGTAGCACCGATGAAGGCCGGCATGGCACACGAAGCTGGGTGGCCAGCACCACGCCCAACAGCCTTTGTCTCCATAGTACTCATTTGAGGCTGAGTCAATCTAGGAGAGGCCCAGGATAAGTTCAAATAATCGTAACTGGTGTTGGCCATAAGCGGGAATCAAACTCGGGTTGCCGCGTTCGTAGCGCAGCGCTGACCACCGGCCCTCCCTCTCCACACAACAACCGCCATTCACAATGAAGTGGCAGTGATGTCACCATAGCGCTTGTGCCAGGCTATGTGCACGTTAAGGCCATGTGAAGTGTCAAACGCCTGCTGGCAGGTCGTCACGGGGCAGACCCAGGTGCCATGGGTCAACTGAGATGCACCACCTGTGCCCCCTACTGTGCCAACTTGCTGTGTTTTAGCCACCCGGCGCTCCGCTCGTTGTGAGCATCGCTCGTCTGCCCTCCGTTGTTGTTGGAGGGCGACTGCCTCCAACCGCCCAGTAGCGTCCTTCACGAGCCTCCTCCAGAGGCCGATCTTGACACCGCTGGTACCAGTCATCGGCAAGTCCACTCAGCTCCACATCCTCCTGTACCACCATCACTCCATCTCTTCTCTAGCCCGTACCGTGCCCGTCTAGCCCCCTCTATTTGACCGAACAACAGCTGTTTCGGCATGCGGTGGCTGGGCATGTGGGCTACATGACCCAGCCAACGCAGCCTTGCCTACCGGAGGAGCTCACCAATGGGACTGCCCAGATCACACGCACACACGTGTACACGCATACGTACACACCGAAACGCTTGCAACAAAACACACACAACACCCATTTCTTAAACCAAGCTCTCAGTTTTTATATCACTCTACACTGATTACAAACAATATTTACAACAAGTCAAAAAAGAGTTATGTCGTAAATACGAAAACAAAACGAGGGCTCGAGACGATTCAGTTTCGATTCCTCAGTCTCGCCAAGAGCGACAACCCCTCCCCTCTGTGCGGTCGGTCGAGTTGGACTCCCGCTTGAGGGGGTGCCACGGCCCTTCTCGTGGGCTGCGGGCCGCACGAGGCGGCGAAGCGCGCCGGGCGGGCAGGTGTCTCCTCCTCATGATAAACGTGGACGCTGGGAAGGGTGATTTAGTCCGCGGACGAAACACAGGGACACTTGGCGGCGAAGGACAACCGTAAGGAATGGACGTGAGCGGAGGAGTTAGGGAGGGGGGGGGGCAGGGAAGGGGAGGGGGGCGGCCATCATTTGAGCACCGCCATCTTACGAACTTCCGTCTCGTAGATGAGAAGCCTCCACATCTTTAACACGAAGCCTTCAGCCTCCTCGTCCAGAATCTGCCACGGTGAGGGAGGGGGGTTGGGGGGAACACAACAAGGGCAGAGCATTAGACGAGATGGCAGGGGATTGGCCGGTTCCTTCTTAACGGCGACACCGGTACCGATGCGGTTACCGTAACGACCGCTATGGAACGCGACTCCGTTGTTTTCGTTACATTTTTTGTCGTTTTCAACCTCGGCGGCGGCGGCACCAGCCGAAGCGCAACGTTTGCACGTTAACGGTGGCGGAGTTGCAGAGCGCACAGGCGGTGCAACTGCACCAGGGTGGCTGAGGGGCGGGAGAGGGGCCCAGGCGCCGAGGTACGTGAAGAACAACGCACCGTCTGCTTCACGACGGACGGTGACGATCCCATGACATCAGCCGTAAGACCAGGCCAATTATGTGCCAGCGTCATTGTCCGTATGTCAACATTTGATCAAACTACCAACGCCTGAAAATCGCTGTATTTGGATCCCACCTCACTCCCCCCTGCCCCCCAACCACCTTTAAAACTTGGCAGGACCCTCCTGAGAGTCATGAGACTCGGCGAGGCTTTCCTGGGGGAGAATGAGCATCATAATGAGAAGATAATGATTTAAATCTCGATTACAACGTTGATATAACGTGGATTTGTATTTATAGAGCTCCACAGCTCATCGGATTCCTCCAAGCTAAATAAAGGTTTCTGATTCTCGAATATAGCTGGGGGGGGGGGGGGGGGTGGGAAGAGACGACTACGGGAGGAGCGGTGCTCAGAAGGAGGAAGAAGCAGGAAGAGCAAGTGGTTTGGGGGGGGGGGGCTGTGCAACTATGCCCAGAGAGAGCCACCACAGGCAAGTGAAAGCAGGGGGGGGAGGGGGGTAGTGGGGGGGTGGAGGAGGAGGCTGGGGCACGCCGCTCACCATCGTGACGTCGTCCAGGATGCTCTGTGCCGCGCTGTGCGACAGAAGCTAGGATATGGGAGGGAGGTGGAACAAAACACGGAAAAATGCGAGTCAATGATGCAAACGGCAGCGGCGAGGCACGCGCGCGACCGCACGTGCGTTCGCGCACGCCAACGTAGCCTTCAACAGGCCGTTGGGGCGAGTGCAGTTGGCGAGCGACGCGCCGACGGAGGCCGGGCACCGCGCACGAGGGGCGGTGGGTGGCCGGCCAACACCACGCCCGGCCGCCTTTCGTCACCGCACAGCGCGACAGGCCGACTCGGCCTCGTACGAGTCGACCCAGGAGAGGGGCCCAGGTTCGGTTTCAATTATTCGCCACCGTCACCGTCCACCAGCAGGCATTTAACTTGGGTCGCCACGCCACGCCATCGATCCCCACTACACTGGCACGTGAACAAGTGCGACTAGACGCACACACGCGTGCGTTGGCGCACACGCACAAACACAGACACACACATGAGCGTCGTTGACGATGGCGGTGGAGGTGTGGCGTGGCCAATGCCACTCTTGCCCCCACACAAAGCCCGCACCCCCAATCAGCCCCCACACCCCCTCCCCCACACCCCTCACACCTTGGTGCAGACGAAATCAACCAGCGTCGGCTCCTCCTCGCCAATGTACTCCACGATCTTCTTGTTCACCCACGGCTTGATGCGGCGCGACATCAGCTTCTGCACGACCGCGCGCAAAAAATATAACGCTGTTGAAGCAAGTGCTGTCAGCGAACGGCTATTTAGGCCGGCACTGCGTCCTGGGGCTACGCCTGTCTCACCGATGCCGACGCTTACCACAGCACAACGCAATGGGTACTTGTGTAAGGCCGAGTCGACCTTGTGGAGGCCCGGTGCCAGTTCAAATATTCGTCGCAGATTGTTGGCCGTGAGCGCGAAACGAACTCTTCCAGAGCGGGTGGAGCCTTCCCACCCACTCTGCCAATTCAGCCAACGTACGCGCAGAACCAAATTCTACGCGATGCGTGTTTAAAGTTTTTGATACGTGCAGCCATTTGTTGATTGGCCTGAGACCATCAACACACTACGCTTCGGTTCATTCGTATCCAATCGGAGTGAGCCCCCCCCCGCCCCCCGCTCAACTCCGCAGGAAATATAACTCGAGTACGCGTTGGGGGACACCTGAGGCGATGACCGTCACCGACAGATACCTCCCCCCCCGGGATCGCCGCGATGAATCACGGCCACGTGGGAGGCGCCGAGCTCAGTCAACGAGACAGCGGGCGGCACACCCGACCCAACGACTGACATGCGGACCCCAAATGACGCTCCCCCCCCGCCACGCGCTCCAACTCGCCAGTCCCAGCCTGATGCAGCCAAAGCATGAATGCGGAACATGTTCCTTACCGACCGCCAAATAGGCCTCCCAAATACCTTTGGTGAGCAACCAAAGGCAAAGATTCCACCCGCTCCCCAGTGAAGCCCTAACAGACTGTTGGGGCAAGTGCTGTTAGCGAGCTCCTTTGAAGGCCGGCACGGCACACGAGGGGGTGGGTGGCCAGCACCACGCTTGGCTGTCTTTGTCTCCCTAACATTGGTTTATTTTGCCACTTGTGATATGACCACCTTGACTTAAAAGCTTTCGTGACTGCAGGAATTCATATTCTTTGGGTCTTTCGGTAAAGTCCTATCTATGTGACTTTACCGAAAGACTATATATATGACCACCTGTTGAGTTTTTTCTCAAACTATTGTTTAACCTTCACCGATTGGTTGACCCTGCAAACCCTGCCTGCAGGGTTTCCTGTCGTGAAGGTTTGTTTACGAGGGGCGGTGGATCGTCGCATGCAACGCGCACACAAATGTTAACATCTTCAGAATGTGGCCGACCAAACGGTTCAAGGGGGTTCATAACGGCTCCTCCGCGAAGAGACACGGTGCCAACACCGGCAACCGCTGAAATCCTGGATTTAAATTCCGAGTTTCGTTTCAGCCGCCCGTGACTAAACCGGAGTTTCAGTCGCGGCAAGCCGATGGCCTCAGCCCGTCCGGTGAACCAATGATCGCGTTGAAAGAAGATGCCGGTCGCTTTGACTGCCACGCGACGAAAACAAATCTCCAGAGCCGCAGGACTTGCGAGGGGGAGCAGCTAATGAGCGGGTGAACTGAAGAGATGTCGGCAGCGCAGTCGTTGTGCGATGGTCAGCAGGGGGGGGGGGCTCTGACATCTGTCATGGGGCGGTCCGTTGTACAGCTTCCCACGAAGAGCTCCGAACGGAAACGCTCGTCTTGATAATTGTTTTTTTTACCCTTTTATCTGGCAACAAAACTGACACCTTTTTTTACAAGGAGTCATGTTTGCATTGACCACAATACCTGCGGTCGGAATGCATTCCGGAGCTCTCATACTCTGATGGTGCATTGTCTTTGAGTTGTGTGCGCCTTTTGGTGTCATCTGGTCCAACGCCATGTGAGACTAAGAAAAGCTGTCTCGGGTGTGGACCAATCAATTTCAAGGACAGTGCATATCATTATCAGAGTTGTGTTTTTTTGTTTGCATTCCGACCGCAGGTATTGTGGTCAATGCAAACATGACTCCTTGTAAAAAAAGGTGTCAGTTTTGTTACCAGATAAAAGGGTAAAAAAACAATTATCATATTTTACTACTGGCAAAGGAGGTTTCTATGGTGGAAACGCTGTCATCCGCAAATCGACGCGTCGAGTCTTCCAACGGACTCAACGCGCCGATCCACAAACGCACGCGCGTAGGGGAGTGCACCATCGTAGCGATGCCGCACCCCCCGCTACTCCCGACTCAATGATCTGGCTCAACAGCCTCTGTTACATGTACAGCCGCTGAGGAGGAGGAGGATGACGTTGGCGCAACGCCCCAACGCTAAACTTTCACCTGCGTACGTTTACAGCCCCTGCTGTCAATCCACTGCCGGACGAGGGCCTCCCCACGCCGTGCGGGTCGAGGGGGGCAGTTGACAGTATGAACGCGGGCAGCACAGACGTAGGAGCATAGAAGCACAGCACAACAATGCACTCTGCTGACAGGCACGCAACACAGCCCCACGGCCGCCTACGACACGCTGGCATGCAAGGTGGTGGTTGCCCACCCAGGCACAACCCTGCTGAGGGGCTAACCGTGCTTTGTTCGTGGTTTTATATTCAACGCATTGCTCCCTAGCAAGCCGCATCACCGATTCGTCTCACAAACAGCTCAACACGGCTTTCTGGAGGCCGCTTATTCGTCGAGACTTGCACTGTTATTAGCTCATTAGAAAATACGTGATGCTGAAAATGATGACTATGATGACGAAGAGGATGACTATGATGATGATAATTACGTTCCAGACCATCCAACCAATACGGCCGATTCCATTGCTGATGAAAGGACCATGGTCGTGATTTATGTAGAACTTCTTTCGCACCATACGTAGCCAACTATGCCATTGTTGATTACCCTATGAATAACCCAACCGGTAATGGATATCCACTGTAAGGTATGTGCAATAACCACGCTGCCGATGACGATGATGATGACGACGCTAATGAAGATGACGCTGATGATGACGATGACGCTGATGATGACGACGACGCTGATGGTGACGACGACGCTGATGGTGATGACGTTGACGCAGGGCGGGCGGTAACAGGAGCGTCGCTCGCACCGGGTCCAGCATGCTCCAGTCGAGCGGGTAGGCAAAGAGCTCCGACTTGGAGGTGGGGATGCTCTCGATGAGGGTCTTGATATGCCGCCTGCGCTCCTCCTCCGAGACGCGCGCCGCCTCCTCGGCGCCACCTCCCCCGTCGTCTCCGGCCCCGCCGAGCCCGCCGCACCGGAGGCCTCCGCCGCCGCCGGCCGCCCTGGCCTCGTCCTCGGCCGAGGAGTCTATCGACGACGGCAGCCCCACGGGCGAGTCGTCGGCGGCCGTGCCGTACGGCGCCGGGCGGCCGCTCGGCCGCCCCACGCGCCGCTCCATCGCGCGGTTCACCAGCAGCCGCTCGATCGGCGACGGCACGGCGCCGGTCGAGGGTCCGGCGGCGGCGCCGCCGCGACCCCTGCCGGCGTGGTAGGCGTCCGCGCGGGTGGTCGGGACATCGTCCTCGTCGCCCCCCCTGTCGTCTTCGTAGTCGTCGTTCTCTTCGTCAGCTTCCTCCTCCTCCTCCTCCTCGTCGTTGTTCTCCGCCTCGCCGCCGCCGCCGCCGCCAGGGCGGTGGTGATGGTGGTAGTGTTGGTGGCGGACGTCGCTGCGGGAGCGCGACGACGAGTGGTGCGGCAGCGGCCCGGGGCTTCCGTTGGGGAAAGCTGCGGCGAGGGGACGGACAAGGGGGCGAGGGGACGGACAAGGGGGGGGGGGGGGGGGGCACAAAAAGGCCCGGCGTGGCACACTGTCACGCTGGCTGCACCGGTCACAATTGTACGGAGCCAACCATTTACCGCGTTGCTTGAATCCAGTCTCCCCCTTCGCCGACGTGGCGTTTGTGAGCGCGACGCGACTCTCTAAAACAAGCTAAACCATTTTTATTTTACCAGGTAAGGCCTCACTGAGCTATGTAGCTCTTATTCAGAAGCGACCTGGTTATCACAAATGATAGCTCAATTAAGTGGGCTCATCATCCCGTGTTGATTCCAAATGAGAGAAAAACCGGAGGACCCCAAGAAAAATCCACGCGACCACGGAGACACGCTAACTTCAAATATACAGCAGCAGCAGGCGTCAGGGTCGGGATCAAACCCACGACTTCCTGGATACCAGGCGAGGTAGTTAACATCTATCCACCAACGCAACGCCAAATCCGCTAAATCTCCACACGGGAGAGCTCGGAGATTCTCAACGAGGCCACGCGCTGGGGAAGGAGAATCGCTACAAAAAACACCCGCACCATCCACCAGGCCCCCCTCCCCTTCCCCCGCCCACCCCCCGGTGTCCCCCACCGTAACCGCACGCCATCCCCCCAGCGGCACGCACCGTGACGGAGGCCCCTGTGCGTGGGCATGCTGGGCTCCGCCGTCCGCCGCGAGTTGCCGTCGTCTGCCGGGCGACGACGACGCCGCCGCCGGCCCCGCCGCCATGGCGGCCCCCTCGTCGCTGTGCGGCGACACGGACGGCGCGAGGTTGACGGGGCGCAGCGTCGGCCGCAGGGACGGCAGGAGGAGCGCCGGGCCCTCGCTCGCCGACGGCACGCCGCCGGCGGCCTCGCCGTTCTCGGCGGGGGAATCGGAGCCGCCCTCCGTGCTCGCGTCCATCTCCCACCGCGCCTCCATCTGCTGGATCTGCACCGTACGCGGCAGCAGCAACAGCAGCAGAAGCGGAGTCAGTCGGTGGCTGGGCGAGCGTTGACGCGGTTGCAGAGCTGCGACGATTGTACGTCATCAGTTTTTCTTCCGATTCCGTTCCAACGACGTACACGTTACGCACGTCGTTGGAACGGAGTGGAATCGATGGGGGGGGGGGGGAGTGGGGGCGGCGACGACCCCACACTCACCCTGAGGATGTCCCCGTCGGGGTCGGGCCGACCCTCGCGGATGAACCTGAGCCGCAGCTCCTGCAGCTCCTCGCGCTCGCGCCAGCGGTCCCTCTCGTCCGACTCCAGCTCCTTCTCGCGCTCCCACAGACGCTTGGCCAGCGCGTTGCCCCTGGGAGCACGCGGGGGGGGACGGACGGACACGTGATGCGTGAGCGGGGGGGCGGGGCATGGGACGCGAGAGCGGGAGGGGACGATGTGCGTTACGCTGCTGCAGCGTGCGTGGGCAACCTCCTTCCTGCTCGTCATCCCCCCCCCCATCCCTCCTAACCGCTTCTTCTTTATAGCCAAGAGCCCCGACGATTCCCCACGCCCTTCTCCTCTCTGCCTCGTCTCTCGTCGCACAGCCGTCCTCGTATCCCGCTCCCATCTCACCCTCGGTCTGCCTGTGAAATGACTGCTCCACTTACGAACATTCGACCGAGGAACAGATCTCTGGAATATAACTCGTTCGTAAGTAGAGGAGTCTGTACTCCGTCAGCTCTGCACCGGTGGCATCTCTCGGTAGATAGCCTAACCTAAGCGCGAGTCTATGGGGTCTGTGTGTGAATCTATGGGGGTGTTTGTGTGAATCCACGGGTGTCTGTGCGAGTCTGTGGGTCTCCGTGTGAATCTAAATGTGTCTGCGAGTCTGTGGGTCTCTACGTGAATCTACGGGTCTCTGTGTGAGCCCCATTCTCAACACGTGCCCAAGCCACCTAAGTCTAACATTTAACCAACTGGTAGAGCAAATGCTGTCAGCGAGCACATATGAAGGCCGGCACGATTTTTACACACCGCACCAGGTACTCGTTTGAGGCTGAGTAGACCTAGGGGAGGACCACGAACGTTTCAGATAATCGTCACTGATGTTGGCCGTGAGTGGGAATCGAACTTGGGTCGCCTGGTTCGTAGCGCAGTGTGCTAACCGCCACACCACCGTATGCGTGACATGGCCACGCATAAACACACACACACGTGCGCACACGCACACAAGAGCGCGAGGTGTGGTTGCACTCACATGAAGTACTTGGGGTCGTCCCGGTCATCGTCGTACTCCTCGAAGAACACGCGCAGACGCTTCGCTTCCTTGGTCTGAAGGCACGGCGGTGACGCACGAGCGTACACACACACACACACGCACGCATGCACACACACACGCGCGCACACGCACACGCACGCATGTCACGATCAATAGACTCGATTGTATTCTTATTGAGCTTTGCTTACCTAGCAAAGCCTCGGCGAGTCTCAAGACTCTTTTTCAGGAGGGGGCTACGCGATTGCTACCTATCATACGGTGACATTTTTCAGGTTTTGGAAAACCTGGAGTGTGACGATGGCACACGACGGACCGAGCCTTGCCAACGACGTCACGGCGCATGCCGCGGTATTTTTATGGTCAACGTACACCACCCACCCCCCTCACCCCCACGGCAACAAGCAGGTGAAGGCCGCTGGGTTCAAACGGCGACCCCCTCTCTGCAACGAGCGGCCAACGGCGTCACCGAGTCCCCCATTGCGGGAAACGGAGCTGACGAGACGGACCGAGGTCGCTGACACGAACGAGACAGACGGAATATACCCGAGACACAGAACTAAAACTAAATTTTTTTACTGCGCCAGGTAAGGCCCACTGAGCTGTACAGCTCTTTTTCTGAAGCGACCCAGCGTCAAACGAGTACCTGGTGCGGTGTGAAAAAAAACACCGCCACTCGGGCGTGGAGCCGGCGACCCACCCCTCGTGCGCCGTGTCGGGCTTTATAGGGTGCTCGCTAACGGCACTTGTCCCAACAGTCTGCTACGGCTACGCGGGGGATCTTTGTCTTTGTGTGTACATGTGCGTGTGTGCGTACCATGTCTCTCCTCCGATTCCGCTCCTTCTTGGCGTCCTTCTCGTAGAGTTTACATCGCTTCTTCTCGCGGGCCACCCAGTTCTTTAACCTCTGCACGGACGGACGGCAACGTGGAATTGGCCGATTAATGAAGGGACGCGCAACCCGTAACACAGATGTCATTATTTGAACCGATCCTGGGCCTCCCCTAGGTCGACTCAGCCTCAAATGAGTACCTGGTGCACTGTGTAAACATCGCCGCTAGGAAGATAAAGACGGCCGTGTGTGGCGCTGGCCACCACTCACTGCCTCGAGCGCCGTGCCGGCCTTCATGGGTGCTCCCTAACAGCACTTGCACCAACAGTCTGTGAAGGCTATATGGGGGATCTTTGTCTTGGTGGGATGGGGGGACATCTCAGAGAGGAAGAGCCTCAGGTAGTGGGTGGGGGGCTGTCAAACGCTTCTCTCTCTTTCTCTCTGCAAGCTCTGGACAACACCCGCAGGCTAAACTGAACAGGCGTCGTCGTTGCGCCTGGACCTCCGATCAGCACCGTTGGCTACGTACGGTGCGAAAGAAGTTCAACATACAAAAGGAGTCATGATTATGATTATTTTTGAGACAGTAAGCTGGTCTACGTCCATGTGAGCGTCATCTGCGTCCAGATCGTCTGCGCCTGCTCGTCTCGCGTCTGGCGGTGTTCGTGTCCGTGCGCACCTCCTGGTAGGAGGCCTCCTTCTCCCAGAGCCTCTTCTCCAGCCTCTTCCTCACGTAGAAGTCCTCCTCGTCCTCCTCCTCGTGCGAGCCGTACAGACGCTCGCGGTCACGGCTTCCATCGTCGCTGAGCGCAACGGCACGCGCAGAGTTAGCAGGGCGGTCGACACGGGTCAACGCCGGTTTGCCACAACGTCACCAGCCGGACACGGACCTGAGCTAGTGACACCGTACACTTGACCATGCAGCAGTAGCAGCAGGACACGCATGCTGCGTGCAATGGGCAGGTAGGCAGGCAGGCTCCCGAATTGGTGATACTTCACACCGTGCGCAAACAAGTACGCGTGTTGAACTTCGTTCACGCCCTACGTAGCCAACCGTGGCTAATCAGAAACGCAGGGAAAGGACGACAAACTAAACACAACAAGCAGTTCTAAAGAAATTAGTTGTCAATCTAGATGCTGATGATTTAAAAGTGCATAGCACCCAGTCGCTTCCTAATATCTGAAGGAAGAGCATTCCAGACGGCCGCAGAAGCGCGTCTCGAAGCGCCGCGCGATGCGGCGACCGTCGTTGTTCGACGGGCAGCCAAAAGCCGCCGCTGCGAGGATGGGCGACAGCAGAGACTAAAGAAACCCAAAGGGCACAGCTCCTCCCCTCGCGTTGGCAGCGGCACTCCGGAACAACGCGCAGCAGCAGCAGCAGCAAGACGGCACGCCGAACGTCACCACCAGCGGCGACGGCAGCCGCAGCAGGGACGGACAGCGAGGCACCGTCGCTTTGCACCTGGCAGGGCTGGGCTCCTGGTTGGTGACGTGGGGTTTCTCCTTCTCGCGCTGCTTCTCCTTCTCCCGCTCCTCCCGCTCCTTCTCGCGCTCCCTCTCGCGTTCCCGCTCCCTCTCGCGCTCCCGCTCCCTCTCGCGCTCCCGCTCCCTCTCCCTCTCGCGCTCCTCTTTCTCCCTGTCCTCGCGCTCCTCACGATCCCTCTTCGCCTCCGGGCGATCGCGGTCGACGACGTCCATGTCCTGCCGCTCCTTCTCCCTCTTCTCCTTCTCCTCCTCCAGTTTCTGACGGGTCAAGTGGAACGGCGGGCGTCAAAATAAACGCTCGTCGACCGGAACAACGACGACAACACCTCTGGATGAAAAACACGAATAGGTTTTACCCTTTCTGGCAAATAAAACAGGTGTCGTGTTAAGATGTTCAAACGCCAAATAGATACCTTTTTGCAAGGCATAATCAAGTCTGCATTAACCACACGTACACGTGTGGAGAAACGTGCAAACAAACATGCTCTTGATAATATATGCATTGTCTTTGAAACTGATTGTTGCCAAGCAACGCGGAGGGGGGGCTCGTGCCAGGCCCCGAGCCTGGATGTAGAGGATGGTTCCGTGGCCGGGTTCATAGCCCGGCCGGATATCAAACTCCCTTTGCAACAGACACAACATGGGCACAAGAGAATGGCGTGTGGCGACGACTGTGGCTTGGTCGGCTGAAGGCCGCGATGAAGAAGCTGTGGTGGCCGACGCGCCGCAAGGCACGGGGCCAAGGGCTGACGTTGGCGATGGTTTCCAGTGGGCGCGGCACACCGGTTAAGCGCACCTTGTGGGTGTCTCTGAATTTGCTGATTTCGCGCGAAATGAGGTCCTTCTTGTCATCCTCGATGTCCATGTTGTCCAGATCCTACGCAACGAGACGGGGAGGAGGCAGACAGACGGTGCAGGGAAGGACGCCCGGCAATAACGCTCGCCACGCGGCGCACGCACGCCGTCCCACACACCGAAAAAATTGTTCGCCCTGCCACATTTGTCACGCTCAAGCCGACTGCTGTCACTTGCAAAGACCACTATACTACCACTCCCCAACGCAAGCACACAAAGACAAAAATCCCCCCCACCCCACGCGTAGCCTTAACAAAGTTTTGGGGCAAGTGCCGTTAACGAGCAGCACCTATGAAGGCTGGCACGGCACACGAGGGGGTGGGTGACTAGCACTACCTCCGACCGCCTTTGTCTCCCCAGTGGCGATATTTTTGCACACTGCGCACGCAGCAAGCAGACACGCATGGCACACACACACACAGCGCACACACGCACGCACACACGCAGCGCACACACGCAGCACGCACACACGCACGGCACGCACAGCGCACACACGCAGCGCGCACACGCACGGCACGCACACACGCACGGCACGCGCACACGGCACGGCACGCACACACGCACGGCACGCACACACACAGCGCGCGCTCGCACGGCACGCACCCCGTCCTTGCGCTCCTTGCGCCGGCGACGCTGGAAGTTGTCGGCGCCGCCCGACTCTCCCGACAGCTGGCTCTCGTGCTCGCGGATGACGGCGCGGATCTCCTGCTGCGTCGCTTCGTCCACGCGGCGCGTCGCCGCGTCCAGGTCATTGCCGTCGCTCTCCTCCGCCACTTTCTCTTCCTGCTGCTGCCGCTCCTTCACCTGCTTCTTGTCCTTCTCATCCTGCTGCTGCTGCTGCTGCCGCTCCTTGTCCTGCGGCTGCTGTTCCCCCTGCTGTTTTTCCTCGCCCGCCGCCTTCTTTTCCTGCTCGTGGGCTTGGTTGGACGCCGGCTGCGTCTTCTCGTCGTTGTTGCTGCTGCTGCTTTTCTCCGCCTGTGGCCGGGCGGGGAAGGTGGAGGAGCGCGACGGGAGGATCAAGAGAGGAAAAAGGCGAGGAGAGGGCCGTTACGTAAAAAAAAACACATCAAAGGCCGTGTCTCAACTTGCATGGCGCCGCTCCCGAGTACGTGCTCACCCTTGGAGGGAAAGGGCGACTCAAGACGTGCACAGATTTCTCCCGAAACTATGACTATTTTACCAGGTAGGGCCCACTGAGCTATGAAGCTCTTTTTCAGAAGCGACCTGGCCACAGGGGAATAGCTCAACGAAGTAGATTATCATCATCAAGTGGAAATGCCAAATTCTCTAAACACGTGATGCTAATTCTACATTTTGGGGGGAAAAACCGGAAGGCCCGGAGAAAAATGCACAGAACCACGGGGAGAGAGACACGCAAACTCCAAATATACAGACACCAGGGTCGGGATCAAAATCCACGACCTCCTGTATACCAGGCGAGGTAGTTATCTCGCCACTGACAAGCAGTAAGGGCAGCCACGCGATGATCCAGTGCCAACAATAGCCCAAGCTCTGCGATCCTCTACATATTAAGATGTTATTACATGTTCGAGAAAACCAGAGCACCTGGAGAAAAACCCACACGTGCAAGGGGGAAACACTCAATCCCACACAGACGGAACAGGTGGAGCCTGCCTCCTCCTGGCAGAGCCAGGGTATGGCAACCTCCTCGAAGTAAACGGGGAACATTGGTGCGATTCACCAACCCTGGCTGCATTACACAGGCCACGTGCGCTTACGGCGGCGGCGGCGGCGGCGGCAGTGGACGCCTGCTGCTGGGCCTTCCACGCATCCAGCAGGGCCTTGGTCTTGGCGTCGACCTTCACCAGCAGGTGCCGGTCGCCCAACTCCAGGTCGTGCAGGAGCCTCAGTGCGCGAAGCGAGGAGCCCGGCTCACGGTACTCGCAGAAGCCGAACGCTGCGTGACACCGCGCGGACACCCCGGCACACAGCTCAGCACCGCGAGATCCAGTCACGCCACACCGCCCAACGCCCCCGGCGCTCTCGCCCCGCCGTACCCGCGCGGTCCAGACACACCACGCAGCTCCGCTCCACTCATCACCCCCTCGCTCTGACCCCCCAGTCAAACGGTTAGTTAATCTACCGCGGCCGCCACGGCTCTGCTGCGAGTTTCTAATGCCGATGCCCTCCCCTTCAAGCTGCTCCCGTTGCCAGAGGCTCTGTTTGTCAAATTAGAAGCTTCACGAATGTAAAGGCAGCCCCCCCCCCATGCCTACCCCCCTCAATGTAATCCCCATCGTGCCATCACGAAAAAAAAAGGAATCCCTCCGTGTCGGCACGGCACAAAATATCTGGTAGGCCGCAACGATGACCTGTGGGTTTACTCTCTAACACGTTTTTGTTGACACGTTGGGGAGTACATTTTTCTTACGTGACAAACCTTACTAATTGGCTGTGTCAGGTGTTGGCGGGTTTAACGACACGTTTATATTTACGCGATATAACCCCAAAGGAAAACCTCTCGTTATGGGTGACCTTACTGTGAACGATGCATTGTCCGCAAATTGCCCTGCGCATCACCATCGACCTGCGAGTGGGTGGGTGCGTTTGGGTGGGTTTGGGTGGGTGGGTATTAAAGTCCAAAGTACACTGCTCACTACCCCCACCCCCCACACTCACATCCCCACCCCCCATGGCAAGTGCCGTACCACCACCGCCCCAACTCGGCCACCACCACCACCACCACCGCGGCTCGCAGATCGGATCGTCTCACCTTGGAGTTTCCCCGACGGTCCCTGGACCCGTTTCCAGTTGAGCACCGTGCCGCATTTCTGCACGAGTCGACGATGACGACGACAGGGCAGGGCGGGTGTTAGGGAGGCAGGAAGGGAGAGAGGACAGCCGTTTTGTTACCTTCAAGATTAACGGCTGTTATCTTGTCGGGCTGTCCACACACAAGTTGAAAGGTTTAAATAATAATAATAACAATAAAGCCCGTTTACCAGCACGTCAAACACAATGTTGTACGTAGCCAATCGCCATACGTGTACCGTGTTCTGCGGGTTACAAGACTCTCCATAAAGTAAGAGGCACTGCAGAAGTTTGTGTCCGGGCGAGATATACAGATCTGATCACACACCGCAACAATGACAAAGATCCCCCGTATGGAACTTCAACAGACTTTTAGGGCAAGTGCTGTTAAGCGAGCGACTACGAAAGTCGGCACGGCGCATGAGGAGGTGGGTGGCCAGCACCGCGCCCGGCCACAAATGACAAAGATCAACCATGTGGCCAAAAATGAGTGATGGGGAAGTGCTGCTATTGAGCACATGAGGAGGTGGTGGACTCAGCAGCGCCCCCTCGGGGAACACGGAAGTTGGAACACAGTAGAGCACGCTGCACCGCAACTCTGCTAACCTCACCGCGTAGCCCCGTAGCAGCCTCCCAACACCAGTTGCATGCATGGCGTTTAAACCAATCCAAAGCAGGACAGGGCGGGTGCTAATCTCCCAGTAACATGCTAATTTATGACTTTAACATCCTGCTAATTCTCTCACATTAACACAGCTTATTCAATGCTAAATTCTTTGGTTGATATGTAAACTCCTTTGTCAAGGCGCTCTTCTCCCACCCAGCTTAAAATACGCTGCCAAGCTTAGCAGTGTTCATTGGAGCGCTGTCTTTCAGACAGCTCTGTCTTCACCTGAGGACGGCTGCTTGTGTTGTGGCCGAAACGTTGTGAGAATTTTATTTTATTATGTTTTATTTTTATTATTTTACTATTTCCCTTATACGTGACTTTACCGAAAGAACCAAGAAGATCAATCCAAAGCACTTGGTAGGCTCAAGCCTGCTTCGAGCAAACTTCGGAGACCCGACCAGTTCGGATTGTGGGTGGATTGGTCACAAGGTTGGCATTGTGTACGCCAAGTGGGGGGCGGTTTCCTTCTCGCCGTGGCTGCACCGGCTCCTGAAGGCAAGCAGACCTCCACACGGGCATTCCGCGATTTAAAGTATTTCTGAACGCAAGGACAGAACATGCATTTCGATTATTTTGCTGTTACAAATGTCCACGTGATGGGCCACTTTATCGAGCTATCATTTGTGGCCAGGTTGCTTCTGAAAAGTAAGTGAAGAAGCTAAGTGGGGCTTGACCTGGTAAGATTTATTCGACGGTGTTTTGTACTGTTTGTTGTTGTAAGCTTCTGACCCCTGTGCCCCGACTGGACATCTGTGCAAAAAGAGCTTTACAGCTCATCGCATTTCTCCTCCGGTCGAAACAAAGACTCTCATTCTGAGAACGGCTCGCCGGCAATCCCACCGAGGCGGCAGCCAACGGCGCAAGCGGACGGGCAACTTACGGCGAGCAGCAGCCCGATGAGATACTCCGACGCGCGGTCGGGGATGTTCCCCACGAACACGGTCGTGGGGGGCGGCGCCGGCTCGTCCGCCTTCCGGGGGGCGGACGACGACGATAACGACGACGACGACGATGACGACGGCGGCGGCTGCGGCGCCGGCGAGGAGGCGGGCGGCCGGACCGGGGGAGCCGCCGCGGCGGACATCGTGGGCGGCCCTGCTCCGGGCGGAGGCGGCGGCGGCCCTGGGGATGGCAGCAGCCCTGGAGGCTTGCCCATCATGGGCGGCAGCGTCATGCGACGGGGCAGGAACACCTGGTGCCGGAGGGAGGGCACAGTCCACTGTCCACGCAGCAATGCGGAAGCAAATGTCAATCCCACTGCTGGACACGGGGCGATCCACCCCCAAGACCCCACAAACAAAACAAAGACAAAGATCCACCGTGTAGCCTAGACAGACTGTCGGGGCAAGTGCTGTTAGCGAGCAACTATGAAGGCCAAAACGGCACACGAGGGGGTGTGTGGCCAGCAACACGCCCAGCCGCCTTTGTCTCCCGAGTAGCGATGCTTTTACTAGGTACTCATTTGAGGTTCAGTCGACCTAGGGGAGGCCCGGGACCGCTTTAGATAATCGACACTTGTGTTGGCCGTGAGCGGGAATCAAACTCGGGTCGCCGGGTTGGTAGTACAGCTTAGCGCTAACCGCTTCACTACTGCTCGCCCGCACACACACGCACGCGGGTCACGGCGGATACGCACGACTGTACAGCAGCGAGCCGGCCGGTGCGGGTTTGGCCCAAGGCGGAGGGGGATAAACACGAGGGAGCGTAAGTGCGGCGCAACTGTGGATTTTGCCGCACGGCACTCTGCTTCTCGCACAACGCCGCGGCGTCGCCAGCGGGCGTGTCTTGCTCGTGATGGTCACCCGTTGAGGCACGCGATTGCAGGCTCTACCCCCCGCGTAAGCTTCCGGGATGTCGCGAGATCGGTTTGTGCATTGACAGTGAAAGGCCATTTCCGGGGGGTCACACCTCTTATCTGTGGTGTGTCCACTAACACCCACAACACACTACACGCACTCATGTACTACACGCACCGTGTAGTACGCGTGTACACGTAACACACGTGTTACATGTACACAACTGGCTTCATCAGGCGACAGCTAGTTGTAATTACTGGCAAAACAAAACACTCCAATTGTAAATGTTGTGCGTTTACTCTCCAACACACCGGTGTGCTGTACCTGTAATGACTTGCCATGTTTTCTTGACGTGACAAAGTTTACTAGTTGGCTGTGTCGGGTGGTGGCGGGTTTAACGACACATTTATACATTTAAACGATCTAACCCAACAAAAAAATAAAAACCTATACTATGGGTGTTGTAGTCGCTACTCTTCAACTCCCCCAGGTTTCATACTCTTAAGTTTTTTCGATAAAGTCACGTAAGGAAAAAATTAAAATAGAAATTAAATAATAATTGCCTCCGAAACGTCGTGATTTAATAGATTTATTTTCATTTATTATTATATTGTTTCTATTTCTATTTTTTTTATCTACGTGACTTTACCGAAAAAACCTAACAGTATGAATCCTTGCAGTCACGAAAGCTTCAAATCTAGAATTAATCCCCCAGGTTTTCTCAGCGTACCACTGCACGGTGCCCCGAGGCCATTGCCATGAAAATAAAAGACAAGCCTCATATTAAAAAAAGCCTCATATTGCGCGTTGCACAGGCAACTCTTGCTTATCCAGGGTCATGGGGGAGGAGAGGAGGGCATGGCCAGCATCGAACAAAAGAAATGCTAAAACACAACCAAGTCAGGCGATGAGATGAATTACTGTTTACCTTTGTAAAATTGTGGGGGTGAAAAATACATTAAGTCTCATCTGTTTTTATTGCTTCTTAAAGTGCCGGGTTTGTGTGTTTAGTTGTTAACCCCCCTCCCCTGCACCCCCGATTAGCAAGGCTGGCTTTTATATTGTTGGTGTCTGTGTTGGTGTCTTCACCATCAGCCATGGTCCATCCACTGCTGGATGCATACAAAGTACTGTGTTTGTGTGCGGTGAATGTGAGCGCTGGGCCCCCAAGCACACATGTAAATCCACGATTAATCCCACAAGCCGGATAAATCCACCAAGATATCATCGAGAGTTGAGTGTATTATTAGTTGTAAAACTTTTTGAAGTTGATGATTGATGGTGGCGATGATGAGGTGATAATCGTGATGATAGCTCACCGGTCTGGGAAGCATGCCCATCGGAACAGGAATCATCGGGGTACCTGGAAAACAAACACACACACGGGACACGTAAACACATGAGCACAGCAGTAATTCCCCCGATGTGCCATGAAGCGCATAGACTCAACATGTGACAACAAAGCAACATTACACAATGGATCGCACGACACGTGCCGGCTTGCAAGACTCCAAACGGCATTGGCGACGTACGCGCCATGTGACGTCACAAGATGACGCAAGATGTGACGATACTGAACGTGACGATACTCGACGTGATCGACTGGCACACCAGCAGTTACACGCTTTGCACGGCAGCTAAACACAGAGCTGCACGAGGTGTCGAACGAGACGTCACGTGACGCGCATCGCCGCACAAAACCGAGGATCGGCGGATAACGCGTCACGTAACACGTGCCGCACGGCGCTTTAACACAAGGAGCATTAGCATTTCATGACGCGTCACGTGGCATCATATAGCACGTGTGTCAGCAAAACGAACATACGAATCGGGGGGCGGGGGACGGTGCGTCGCGTGCTACGTGGCACATGACATATGGCAAACGGCGCTTTAACACGCGGAGCAGCAGTAGTAGTAGCGCACCACGTGTCACATGGCACTGTCAACACAACGTGGGTCACCGACCGGGCTGGGTCGTAATGCTGCGCAAGGGGAGGGGAGAGGGCTGCGCGTGTCCGTACAATGAGCGCTTAGTGATTTGTTGACGTTTGTGCGGCGTTAGCCTGGGGGAGGCGGGGCGCGCCAGTGCCCGCTGAGCGATGTCCGAAGCCGGACACGTCGCTCCCTGCGCCGCCGTCGATGCTGCGAGCTACTCGTCGCCCGCACGCCGGGAGCCCCCCAGTCTACGTCTGTCACGCGACTCGTGTGTGCGCGCGTGCGCGCGTCTGTGAGTGTGTCTGTGAGTGTGTCTGTGAGTGTGTGTGTAAGGGGAGCGCGGTAGTGTAGCCGCTAGCACGCTGCGCTACGAACCCAGAGAACTGAGTTCAATTCCCGCTCACGGCCAACACCAATGACGATTATCTGAACCGGCCCTGGGCCTCCCCTAGGTCGACTCGGCCTCAAATGAGTACCTGGTGGTCTGTAAACATCGCCACTAGGGAGACAAAGGTGGCCAGGCGTGGTTGTGGCCACCCACCCCCTCGTGTGCCGTTCTGGCCTTTATAAGTGCTGGCTGACAGCACTTGCCCCAACAGTCTGTTAAGGCTATACGGGGGATCTTTGTCTTTGTATGTGTGTGTATATAGCGAGGAGCGGTAACGTAGCTGTTAGCGCGCTGCGCAACGAACCCAGAGAAGCGAGTTCAATTCCCGCTCACGGCCAACACCGGTGACGATAATTTGAACTGTCCCTGGGCCTCCCCTAGGTCGACTCGACCTCAATTAACTACCCGGTGCAGTGTGTAAACAAAGGTGGCCGGGCGGTGTTGGCCACCCACCCCCTTCGTGTGCAGTGCCGGCCTTCACAGGTGCTACTCGCTAACAGCACTTGCCCCAACAGTCTGTTCATATAGGGCACGTAACGATGCGTCAACTCGTAAGAATTCACCTGGTTAGATCGTGCGAGCGCAATGCCAACCGGAGCTATGCACCCCAATCGACCAGACCCGAATACGAGACCATACAAATCCGATCGAACGGGGGGGGGGCCCAGGGCTCGCGGTCGGTTACCTGGGGGCGGAATGCCCGGAGGAGGATACCCGGCGTAGTGGGGGGGCGGCAGTCCCGGGGGCAGGGGAGGGGGCAGCCCCCTCGCCATACCCGGGGGAAGCGGGGGCATGCCCGGGGGCATGGGGATGGGGGGCATGACCGGCATGGGGTGTCGTGCCAGGCGAGGTGGGAACGACATCTTCGACAGTTTTGCGCTGGTCACGCCGGACAGAGCCTGCGACGGGCAGTAGAAACAGGCACACACGCGCACACACACACGAGTCATGGTCCATGTTCAGCATCGTAGTCATCATCATCATCATCACGATCCATGGGCAGATCACTAGTAGGTCTCAACTGCGCATTTCGTCATTTGTTTCCACTTTACTCTCGTCTACGGTGCTAATATTCCGACACGCCCGTCAAGCTTTGAGAAAAAGACTTTAAAAGTCACGGACGGCTAGAAGCTCCGTTACAGCGGCGCTACTGCGGCGTCTCCTCAACGACGCGCGTTGCGCACAAACACGTACGTGACGCGTGACACACGTGTGGCGGTGGCGTCACGGTGACGTTACCGCAGCACGACAACGGCGCTCAATCGTGAGAATCCACTTTAAATTATTTGCCCGTTGAAGAAGCTTCAGCCCGTGTGTTAAGCAGCCCGAGATAAAAGCGTGAAAAATAAGAATAGGTGGTTACCATTTCTGGCAATGAAACAGGTGTTAAAGAGGTTCAAACTCCAAATAGATGCCTTTTCGCCAATATCATACTTTGATACTGGCAAAAAGGTTCCATAGATATAACCGCTCAACCCGAGCTGTAAATCTCTGATACTTGCATCGTCTTTGGACTGTTCCCATTTTGCCGTTCTCTGGTCTGCCACTGGTAGTGACACCAAGGCCATGAAGGCAGCTGCTGTCTCTGGTGTAGGCCAATCACCTTCAAAGGCAATGCATACATTACCAGAACATGTTTATAGGTTTGCATGTTCACCACAAGTTCGTGTGATTAACGTAGACTTGATTCCTTGCAAAAAGGTTTCAATTTGGTGTTCAAACATCGCACCACACTACCTGCTGTATTGCCAGAAAGGGTAAAAAATTATTTTTATTTGTCAAAGTCCCATCGAGATGCACGTCTTGGCAGACGTGTAAACATTAGTCAACTCAATAACTGCAACGATTAATCAACCGTGATTACTGTGCTCACGATGAACACCTCAATATGCCCATGTGCAAAGGGAATGCATTGTTGATGTATGCAACTTGCGTGCAAATTATATATAAAGATTAACTTTGGGCTAAAAGCCAGAGGAAGTCTTGACGTTTATTATTAACTAAGCTTTAAACTCACGTACAACAGAGACACAGACATATAGCCAAGAGCGTTATCTGCTAAGAGATAAGAGATATGGGAGGTGGAGTCGTGTGGGCACGGTGGTGGATCGTGCAACTGTACTCCAAAACCCAGTGACCCAAGTTCCATTTTAGGCCACGGTCAACATTAGTGGCAAGTGATATTTTAACCAGGCCTGGGACTACTCCTCCGCCCACCCAAGACCAATACACACTGACCAACTAAGCAAGTATGGTCAAACAACAATTGTGGCCATGACAGCTTGCGCAGAGGCCTTCCTTCACCCGGCAGTAGATTTATAAAAGGGCCTAACATTGCACGCATCGAAATTGCGCGCGCGAGAAATCGATTATTTTATTTGAATTTGTTGTTGCGGGGGGGGCAATGGAGCGATTGCGTGGCGGGGTTAACGCGTTGCGCTCCGAACCCAGCCACCTAGGTTCAACTCCCGGCGGTGGCTGCTAACATCAGCGCGGTTAGCGATGTCCCCCGCTCTTCCAACCCGACACAACCAGAGTAGCGGTGCCGGCGTACACCCTACACGCCGGTTTTGATTACACCCAATTAGACCAATCGCTGGAGAGTGCCGGTCATAGGTGACCACCGTGGTCCCTAGCTTGTCAGACAGCTCTGGGGCTGTGCTATGTTGTGGGAAACTAAATGACAGCTGAACCCATTGCTGTGCTGCTCCTTTATGCTTCCACATCTATGCTTTCCGCAATCGCCAATCCGCGCGGGCCAGCTTTGTAGCGTATTGGTCAATTGACCCCTTGCAAACGATAAAGTGAAGGGAGGCCTTCATGTCAGCACTTGATTGATAACGAGCTGTAAACTATGATTATTATATATTAGATCGTGCCATGCGTGTTGAAGGCAGGGGAGCAGTAGAGTGAAGGACTTTGCAGACGCGCTGCGAGATGCACACGACATAGCCTCCCCCCCCCTCCGCAGTAGCCAATAACACCAGTAGGTGGATCATCCAAGTTGACTATCCAGGCTCAACCCGGATGAGCTTCCGAAATCTGATTAGATGAGTTGCATTCCGGGTGGTATGAGATCAAAGGCCGTTAACCACGAGCGGAACAATCAATAAACTGAAAACCGACATTCCCGTCAGAACCATGCCCTGCTTACAAGAATTTAAAAATGTTTTCTCCATGAACTCGCTCAATGCAGCGTCGCTATTGTTGAGTGAAAACACAAACACGCCGGGGCGCAAGTCTGCGACCCCAGCACTTCGTAAGCAAGAGTTGGTAGATCACACAGATTTGTGAAAGTTCCTCTTGAGCTGCCAACTGGTCAAAAGGTGGCAGTGCAGCTAGTGGGCTCGTGAATCCATCTGTGCGGACCTAGGCACCACACAGTCAGAACCAAAACCAACAACAGCAACATCCATAACAGGTTTTGTTGGTTAGATTGCGTAAATATATAAATGAGTCATTCAACCAACCACCCCCCGACAGCCAATTAGTAAGGTTTGTCATGTAAACAGAACATGCCAATTCGTTACGAGTACAGCACACCGGTGTGTTGGAGAGCCTGTATTATGGATATTGGTCGCGAAAGCCTACGTGTTAAAGCAGCATCCAGATAGGCACGTTTACATCACCTATAGACCAAGCGCCAATGACCAAATCACCCACAACTACCTGATCTTATCAGATCTCAGAAGCTAAGCAGCAGGGTTATAGCGTGGACATCGCTTGGATTGGCGATGACGCATATTGTACGCTGGGTTGTCATCGACCGCTGCAGGGGCTTGCGTGGTGGGCAGCAGAGGGCAGCACAGCAAAGTCCGTTCTTGTACAAACGTTCGGTCGACGAAATTTAGCGTTAAGGCGACGGACAAATTACGGACACTTTCGAATTAACGAAAAATCGAATTTCCGCGGGAACGAAATTTCACGACGGCCACACGCCGTGAGATCACCAAACGCGAGCCACCACCCGGGAGGGCTGCGTCGTCATCTATCGGCGACAGCGTCACGGTGTCCCTGCAGTGGCGGCAGCAACGCTTCCAGTCATTCCAATGTGCAGCAGCATCTTTTGGCGAGTTTCCCGAAAAGGTTAATTATTATGGTTTTAAGTAAATAATTATTAAATCGTTTTAATATGCACGTTCATTATTATTATTTTTGTTATTGTAAAAGATGTGTATTCTTCGACGAGCAGAGTTGGAATGACCGATACACAGCCCTATATTTTTGGTATTAAATTAATGAGTAAGGCCATTCCGATGTACCAAATTTCGTTGTGTTTTTTTGGAAGAACGCATCCCTTTCGTAGATCGAGGGATACCTGCACTGTGTGTTCGTCTGCTCCCACGCCATTCTAGCGACGTTCACCAACCCACACTGAGCAGCGTGGTGATGTACGGCCGTACAACCCCAAGACCTGCAGGGCAGGGGGAAGTCTTCATCCAGAATGTAACAAACCAGAGGGGAAAATCATCAACCACAAATAGGTGCTACACACTTGTAACAATAACTACGACTACTAAGAAGATACATCAACAATTCAGTAGAGATATCAACAAGAACCAGGTAGGTTAATCAACCACCCTGGTTGGTACATGAACAATAACCAGGTAGAAAAATCAACTACCACAACCACCTTGGTTGGTACATGAACAATGACCAGGTAAATTAATCCACCACCCCAACCACCTTGTTTTGTACAATGTGAACAATGACCAGGTAGGATAATCAACTTCAACAAGTCTGGGCTAAGTATACAAGGAGCTTCAGCAATTCCATCCCATCGTACCTATTTCCTATGCTCAATCCGGGGCATGTATTCAACCTGACCTACACGACACATTCCTGCACGCGTTTCTTTGCACGCTTGCAAATTTACGTTGCGTCGACGAGCCATCGCGGACGCTGTTGTTTACGTGCGTGTCGACCTGAGGGGTTTTTTTTGTTCCTTTCGAGATTTCCTCGTCGTGCCGTTCTTGCTGCTGGCCCCACTACTACTTGGCGTTTTGAGCGCTGTGCTCAAGCCGCCGTGGCAACAAAAACCAACCCGCGGGGTTCTTGGCTCTCGGGGGATACACGAGGCATCAACAATCGGAGTCGGTAGATATATATCTTCGAGTCTGCTTTTAAAACAGACACTGCCGACGAGACTGGTATCATACGGAGTATTTTCGTCCAGCAGTAGATCTGACAAAAGGTTACGTTACAGGTGCCTCTATACTTATTACCATATGAACGTAAAAGTCGCAACGAGAAAGGCGTGTTGGTTATAGGCCAAATGGCGAGTTTAAACCTAAACACACGAGTTTTGAGATGACTAGCACCTACGGCATCCATGGAAGTAGAATAAACCCATAGCCATAGAGACTCAGAGACACAAGGAGAAATACACTCAAGCACATAGATAGACAAGATAAATATACCAAGAGATATATACACAGTAAAATACATAGATGTGTAGATACGTAGAGATATACTCGCAGAGATAGACTCTTGGAGATACACTGTATATAGACTCAGTGATAAATAGAAAGCCAGAGAGCCATAGAGGGACATTAGAGAGACAGCTACAGACGTGCGCTTGTGGCCATGAAACCCAAACTACGGTGCGCATATTAAACCCATAGATATAGAAACTCAGAGATACAAGAATACAGATACATAGATATATTTGGACATACACATATACACGTACAAATATAGACTCGTAGATACACAGAGACACACACTGGCAGAGATAGACTCCTAGAGATACACTGTACAGAATATACTCTCTGATAAAAAAAACCATCTAGGTACATTAGAGACATGGCCATTCAATCTAAACTATAGGTTGCATAATGAACCCACAGACACCGACTCAGAGATACAAGACGACACTCAAGTACATAGACACAAATATATATATATATATACAAATAGATCTAAGCATAGACGTGTAAGCGAGAGACATACTCCTAGAGATACAAGACGACACTCAAGTACATAGACACAGATATATACACAAATAGATCTAAACATAGACGTGTAGCTAGAGACATACTCCTAGAGATACAAGACGACACTCAAGTACATAGATATACACAAATATATATACAAATAGATATACACATAGACGTGTAGCTAGACGTACTCCTAGAGATACAAGACGACACTCAAGTACATAGACACAAATACATATACAAACAGATCTAAGCATAAACGTGTAGCTAGAGACATACTCCTAGATACAAGACGACACTCAAGTACATAGACACAAATATATATATATATACAAATAGATCTAAGCATAGACGTGTAAGCTAGAGACATACTCCTAGAGATACAAGTACATAGGTAGACAAATATATACACAAATATATCTAAACATAGACTTGTAGCTAGAGACGTACTCCTAGAGATACAAGACGACACTCAAGTACATAGGTAGACAAATATATACAAATAGATCTAAGCATAGACGTGTAAGCTAGAGACATACTCCTAGAGATACAAGTACATAGGTAGACAAATATATACAAATAGATCTAAACATAGACGTGTAAGCTAGAGACATACTCCTAGAGATACAAGTACATAGGTAGACAAATATATACAAATAGATCTAAACATAGACGTGTAAGCTAGAGACATACTCCTAGAGATACAAGACGACACTCAAGTACATAGACACATAGACACAAATACATATACAAATAGATCTAAGCATAGACGTGTAAGCTAGAGACATACTCCTAGAGATACAAGACGACACTCAAGTACATAGACACAAATACATATACAAATAGATCTAAGCATAGACGTGTAAGCTAGAGACATACTCCTAGAGATACAATGCACAGAGACTCAGCCAGAGGACCATGGAGGTGCATTAGAGACGTGGCCACAGCAGCGGTGCGATTGTGGACATGCAACTGTAGGTCACTCAACTGAGAAGGAAAATCGTCCACACGACACCGATTCGTCTCTCTCGCCCTGCCGAAGCCTCCCTCTCGTCGTGGCGAGCAGCAGACCCCCGCCCCGACACCAAGAGAGAGCGAGAGACATACACAATAGCTCCCATACTGTAGCGCCAGCCCGAGTGTAACGTGAACAACGAGCGTTCAACGCGCTGAGGCATTTCTCGATGACCCGAGGCCTCTCTCGACGTGCCCCGAACTGCTACCATCACCACCATCACCAACCAACCACAACAAAAACCACAACCACCACGTACACAGCAGCAGCAGCAACAACAACCCGCGCTAGAAACACGAAACGCCACACAAACCTTGCGTGCGTGTGTGGGGGCGCGCGTCTCTCTCGCTCGCTCGTCAGCGCGTGTGACTCCGCACTCACATTCTCTCTCGACACGAGTGGTTCAATGCGGGAACGGCAAACGACGACGTTAGTAGGAGCACGACAATAAGCTTATTCGTTAAAAACGTCAAAGATTAAGGCGACGAAGCCGCCGTGCGGGCTACGGCCGAGTCGAGGGCGCGCGGCGGGGGGGGGGCACCTAGCCGCCTTCACATTCCGTACCCCGCACGCGCAGCCGCGGCTCCCTCGGCGGCCTGTGAGTGGCTGCGCGGCGGTCACGCGGGAAGCCTCCCGGCCAATGGGCGTGCTCCGCGGGGGACGAGCTCGCTTATCCGGACTGCGGATTCTAAAGGGGGGTGGTGGGGGGGTGTGTTGGTGGGGGCGGAGGGACGCGGCCTTGGTCAGGATGGCTCCGAGCGGCGTCGCCGTCGCCTCCCCCTCGACTCGCTCCCCTCGAGGGTCTCTTCCCCACCGCCCGCTCGCTCGCTCCACGCGGGCTGGCGTTGTCTACGCCGCTGTCGTTGTTTGTGGCGGCGTGGAAGTTGCAAGAAACGCGAGGCGCCGACTCCTTCCGCCTCCCGAGGCACCAGGCCCCTGCACGCGGTCACGTGGTGCAGCCGCCGCGTCACGTGCTCAACGACAGCCTCTGGCTATCGTTGAGCACGTGGTGCGCGTCTTGCCCACGTGGTGGCGGTGGAGGAGGAAGATGTGGCTACGTGGTGGTTGCTGGTGGATATCGAGCAGTAGTGGTGGATATGGTGGATGTCTAGCAGTAGTGGTGGTGGTGGATATGGTGGTGGATGCCTAGCAGTAGTGGTGCTGGTGGATGTGGTGGTGGATGCCTAGCAGTAGTGGTGCTGGTGGATATGGTGGTGGATGCCAAGCAGTAGTGGTGCTGGTGGATATGGTGGTGGATGCCTAGCAGCAGTGGTGCTGGTGGATGTGGTGGTGGATGCCTAGCAGTAGTGGTGGTGGTGGATATGGTGGTGGATGCCTAGCAGTAGTGGTGCTGGTGGATATGGTGGTGGATGCCTAGCAGTAGTGGTGCTGGTGGATGTGGCTACGTGTCGATGTTTGGTGGTGGATGTCTCATCAGTGGAGCTCCGGCAAGCAAGGCTGCGTTGGCTATGTCACTTAGCCCGCATACCCAACCACCGCATGCCCAAGCAGCTTCTCTTTGACCGGATAGAGGGGGGAGCTAAACGGGCACGACACGGGCTGAAGGGATGTAGCAGGTGCGGTACCAGAGGACGTGCAGCTGAGTGGACTTTCTGAGGACCGGTACCAGCGGTGTCAAGATCGGCCTCTGGAGGCGGCTCGTGAAGGACGCTACTGGGCAGTTGGAGGCAGTCAACGGAGGAGCGACGCTCACAACCAGTGGAGCGCCGGGCGATAAAATTAAACAAAAGTTGGCACAGTAAGGGGCACAGGTGGCGCATCTACCGGTCATGTCAGTCAGCCAATCCATGGCATCTGGGTCTGTCCCAAGACCTCCTGTGAGCGGGCCTGGCACAAGCGACGTTGTGGCGTATAGCGGGTATTGCTATTGGATGTCAGGTGGTCATGGTCCATGGATGTGTTGCGTGGCAGATGTACGTGGTGAGGCAGAGGGGAGGTCGTAACGCTACTCGGGATGAGTGTGGTGCGTAGGCGGGGGTGTATATAGTTAGATTAGTGTGCAAGTGGCTGGTAACCACATTCAACGAAACTTTTATTTTAGCAGGTAAGGTCCATTGTGGAGCTATAAAGCTCTTACTCTTAAGTCGAGATTTATAAAGCTATTTTTCAGAAGCGACCTGGCGATGATAGCCCAATGAAGTGGCTGGTGGAAATGTAAACCAGCGAAATACTCTAAACGCATTATGATTATAAATGTGGAGGGGAAAACTGGCGGACCCGGAGAAAAATCCACGCAACCACGGGCAGAGGAGACTGCAAAACTTCAAATATACAGACGTCAGGGTCGGGATCGAACCCACGACCTCCTGTATACCAGGCGAAATAGTTAACATCTCGCCACTGCGGCATCCACACTTTGCACAGATTAGATTGTTTTGTTAATTAGGTGAAACATTTTTTTTCCAATGCACACACTTGTATTCGTACTCAAAAGTAGAAAGTAAGTTATTTTGACCCCAGAATTGATCAAATTAGATTTTCTGAAGAAAAGTGGGTGGCTTGCAAAAAAAATTAAACGTATCGAAAGAAAACCACCCACTTTTATTCAGCACCTCTAATTGGATAAATTCTGGGATCTCATTTTTATTTTTCTCATTTTGAATGGAAATAAAAATGTGCGCATTGAAAAACTAGTTTTTTTACCTAATTCTTTTTTTTACCATTGGCGACCTGGCCACAAATGATAGCCCTATGAAAGTTATAACAGCTAAATACTCGAAGCACATGTTTCTAAATGTGGATGGGGGAAAACCGGAGGACGCGGAGAAAAATCCACGCGACGACGGGGACAACATACAAACTCTCAAATATACAGCAGGTGTCAGGGTTGGGTTAGGATCGAAACCACAACCTCCTATATACCAGATTTGAAGCTTTCGTGACTGCAAGGATTCATATTCTTAGGTTTTTTCGGTAAAGTCACGTAGGTAATCTTCTTGTTTCTTTCGGTAAAGTCACGTAGAAGGGAAGTAATAAAATAATAAAAATAAAACATAATAAAACAATTCTCACGACGTTTCGGCTACAACGCAAGCAGCCGTCTTCAGGTGAAGAATGAGACACTACCAAACTAGGAGCTTATATATAAGCTGCATTGGGGGTTGAAGAGCGCCTTAACAAAAAGAATGTGCATGTGAAGAGGGATTTAGCAATGCAGCTTATATATAAGCTCCTAGTTTGGTAGTGTCTCATTCTTCACCTGAAGACGGCTGCTTGCGTTGTAGCCGAAACGTCGTGAGAATTGTTTTATTATGTTTTATTTTTATTATTTTATTACTTCCCTTCTACGTGACTTTACCGAAAGAAACAAGAAGATGAATCCCTGCAGTCACGAAAGCTCACGTAGGTAAGACATCAAAATTAATAAAAATAAAATGTTATTAATTTTGATGTTTTACCTACGTGACTTTACCGAAAAAACCTAAGAATATGACTCCTATATACCAGGCGAGATAACACCGCGAGTTGTTAACTCTTAAGAACAGCATCACTATAACCCTCTACGCCGAATGAACACATGACCCGGAATTGTAATGAACTCGATCTGGTCGGACATCGGACCTCAAAAGGCCAGCAGATCTGAGCTTGCAAAGTGCCTGGATAGGTGCCCACCCTGCACAAATAGGTTGTCATAGGGCTTCGGGGCTACGTTGCGTTTTATACCGAGTTGTACTGTACGTCTATGCTGCCCATCTTTACCAATCCGCACTGACCAGCCGGGCTGAAGTATGGTCAGACGGCCTCCACAATCAGCACGGCGTGGGGAGCCCCTCATCCAGCAGTGGATTAACAATGTCTCGATGCTCCTACGGGCATTGTGTTGCGCTCATCTCCACCAGTGGAAATTCCACATTCCCATGGCAGGCGCCAGCTTTAACAACCACTTACGACTTGGCACAAAGTGGTACCTTTCGATTTAAAGCTTTCGTGACTGCAGGGATTCATCTTCTTGGCTCTTTCGGTAAAGTCACGTAGAAGGGAAATAATAAAATAATATGTTTTATTTTATTATTTCCCTTCTACGTGACTTAACCGAAAGAACCAAGAAGAAAGTGGTACCTATTTTACGACCATGTAGAGATGACAATGATGGCTTGCCTATGTCAACCCTTAACCCTACAATAAATTAAAGCATTTGCATTTCTAGACAACAGTCTACACAATGAAAGGTTGATAGCATGCAGCACGGCTGTTACAATTAGAATAAAGATCATGCCGATTGCAAAATATAACAATAAACGTAATACTGTACGCAATTAATTGTTGTATTCGTGATTAAGTTACCGTACTGTATGGAAGACAGCACGACACACGGAAACGGCAATGCTATAACGATGCGCACATATGTACACCGTGTTCAACGTGCACAGATTTAGCACTTTAATTTAAAGCATTTATATTAACACAATCGCAATGAGAAACATTTTGCCAAGTAAAATAGCGATAACATTACGGAATTTAAATAAATAAAAAGCACGATCACGATGCTCACCTGCTCGCTCAACTGGAGCATAACCATGTTTTGCTCAGCAAACGATAACACTATTTGTTAAGATTAAAACGATGTAATTATTTCAACAACAGCAATAGTAGCAGCAATTACAGCGGCCCCTTCGGCGGCATGACGAGCGGCGACTCTAAGCGCGCCTCTCATTGGTCAAAGGCTCCCCAACAACAGCCGCTCTGATTGGACGAGACGTTTTCCTACGGAAATTTTAAATGGGGGGTGGAATATTCGAGTATTAATTACAGAAATTAATATTGTTTGGTTCTTTCGATAAAGTCACGTAGATAGAGAAAAAATTAAGTGATAATAAACAACAAAAAACACTAATGGAGACTGTAGCCTGGTTCTTAAGTTTGGTGAGTGTACTGGCAGTCTATAATGTAGACTGTAGCCTGGTTATTAAACAGAGTGTACTGGCAGTCTATAATGTAGACTGTAGCCTGGTTATTAAGCTGAGTGAGTGTACTGGCAGTCTATAATGTAGACTGTAGCCTGGTTATTAAACAGAGTGTACTGGCAGTCTATAATGTAGACTGTAGCCTGGTTATTAAGCTGAGTGAGTGTACTGGCAGTCTATAATGCAGACTGTAGCCTGGTTATTAAGCTGAGTGAGTGTACTGACAGTCTATAATGTAGACTGTAGCCTGGTTATTAAACAGTGTACTTGCAGTCTATAATGTAGACTGTAGCCTGGTTATTAAGCTGAGTGAGTGTACTGGCAGTCTATAATATAGACTGTAGCCTGGTTATTAAAGTGTACTGGCAGTCTATAATGTAGACTGTAGCCTGGTTAGTAAGCTGAGTGAGTGTACTGACAGTCTATAATGTAGACTGTAGCCTGGTTATTAAAGTGTACTGGCAGTCTATAATGTAGACTGTAGCCTGGTTATTAAGCTGAGTGAGTGTACTGACAGTCTATAATGTAGACTGTAGCCTGGTTATTAAAGTGTACTGGCAGTCTATAATGTAGACTGTTGCCTGGTTATTAAGCTGAGTGAGTGTACTGACAGTCTATAATGTAGACTGTAGCCTGGTTATTAAAGTGTACTGGCAGTCTATAATGTAGACTGTTGCCTGGTTATTAAGCTGAGTGAGTGTACTGGCAGTCTATAATGTAGACTGTAGCCTGGTTATTAAGCTAGGTGAGCGTATTGGCAGTCTATGATGTCGACTTATTCTTGGTTCTTTCAGTAATTTAAATATAATAAAAAATATAATGAAAACAAAAACCACGACGTTTCGATCGCAACACAAGCGGCCGTCATCAGGAAAAGGGGGGTTAGCCTCTAAAGGCAAACTGTTTATAAAGGTTAATGTAGGAGAAATAATGTAGGAGAAATAATGTAGGAGAAAGCAAAGGACCGCCAGGTAATCATTTGCACCTCGCTCCACACACCCACACTGCTGACAGTGGAGGTTGACAAGAAAACACAAATCAAGTCATAACCCAAAGTGATTGATGACATCTTTCCAATGATTGCCGAGTTTATAACCATCCTCTCGGTTGAAATTGTATGAAAAATGGATGGCTTCATGAACAAATCTTTGTTGATAGGAGGCTTGCAAGGTACCATCGTCTTAGAGAAATCAATTTCGTGTGAACCAGCCACATTAATATAATGATCAGCCACGGCAGAATTATTGGTCCTTCCGTGTTTCAAATCTGCTTCATGTTCACGAATACGGTCCGAGACATGTCGCTTAGTTTCCCCAATGCAACTGCTGCCGCAGATACAGCTTAGTTTGTAGACGCCGAGATATTGCATGTCAGGAACCTTGTCCTTCACAGATGGGATCAGATCACGAATTGTATGTACTGCGTTAAATCGGACCTGGATTTTGTTTGTTCGTGATTTTGGAAATCTTACCCCTACAGAAATAAAGTTTAAAAAAACACGAAGAGGCCAAGGATCGGCGGGTCCTGGACCGGTTTTCTTAATTAAATCTTCGTCACGCAAGGCGAGTCCATGTCGAAAATTTCAGCTCGTTCAGCTTCGTAGATTTGAATATTTCAAACCTTTGACGCATAATATAATATAAAGAGACAACAGGGCAAGTTCCATAAAACGTGTGTAAATAATTATAATAAAACCCACGGTACAAATATCGAATTAAGCTCGTGCCAGAAGCCCTAAGGGGAGGAGGGAGAACAATGACATTTTCTGGCCAAACCCCAATAGTTGGAGCTAGGAGACCCCATCCACCTCAGGGTTCCTGCAGAAATAAGAAACCACTGCAGACAAGGTGGGAAGTCCAAACGGTCACTGCGGAGAGTGCCACTCCTATGTCGGGGACTGGTCCGGTAACCACCTGTACACCTCTGTGCAATACAGGTACCCCTGGTGGACTACTTCTGGCTCCAGTCACCCCGAGTGGTGAACAGTTGTCCACTCGGTGCAGGAAACTGCCAAACGGGGAGTGACTCCTGAATGACAGGCGTGTGGGAGCGTGGTGGCGAGTTGTGGGGAAGCTTCGAGTCCCAGGCTATTGTGGGCTCGGCTCCCTGCCAACAGGGAGCCAGTTGTGGGGATGGCTAACGCCCCCAACCGACCAGTGGATTGCAAGTCCCTTGAGCCAACCGGTACACCGTGGAAGCAGCGTCCTCCATCGCCTCTGCAATGTGCAACAATCGGTGAACCAAACGGGTGCAGCAGTCTGCATACAGTTTCTCTCCCGTCATTTCGCCACACAGAGAAATACACAATCCGAATCGTCGAAGTGTTACTTTGTGTTTTTTATTGGAACATTGAACGCAACTCAGACAACAGCGCCCCAACCACTCGTTCTTGAAGGTGCAACCTACATTGTTTTTATTGGAACATTGAACTCAACTCAAACAGCGCCCCAACTAGTTCTTGAAGGTGTAACCTACAGTAGCAACAAACAAACAAATTTGCTTTTCTCTTAAGTAACCAACAACCGAGGTGGTGTATCCTGCGCCGACACGTGTGAAGCTTCGATATTGATATTTATGTGAATGCGACCGTTCATTGTGGCCCGTTGGCTTAAAATGTCGAAATGCAAGTTAGCATATGCCAAGATTTCTGGGTTACGAATTCAGATTTAAGTTGTCCACGATTAAACCGGAGGGTTCTCAAGTGTCGTGAACTGATGGGTCCCATCACTTTAAAATCTGTTTTTCAGTTTGGCTAAAATCCAGCTTTGCGCTCAGTTGTTGCAATGGAGGATGTGTGCCCCCCATGGCATCCAGGAATTCCACGGAGGAGTTACAACAGCATCTATGACGTGCCTTGGGTAGTGTGCAACTCCGACTTAAAATGAACTAAAACTGGTCCTCGACGCCAAAAAGACAAATGAGTGGAATCCGTGGCCCAAGCCATCTCTGAAGAAATATCAGGGTCGTCAAGATCTACATCTGGTCAAAGGAAATGACAAGGGAGACAGACGTGCTGCAGATATTTAAAATAAACAAATTGCAGACAAGATACAAAAACATTGCGGAATGCTGCCAAGCGTCCAAGAAATGAGAACGTGTGAAGACCTCGCAGAGCTCAAGCGAAAATGTGAACTGCTGAGCGATCAGATTTTAGAATACAAGACAACTTTGAAAAGCCAAGGCCATGGCAGAGATGGCAGTTAATTACAAACAAAATAATGCCATTTCCACGTGGAAGAGCGGAATAATTCCTAAATTTTAACACCAATCTTTAAAATACAGACTCGGCCTTTGGAGCAAACCAATGCTGCAGCATGAACATCTGAGGTCGATTATACCAAAGTACGTGGTAAAAACTTAAAACAATATTGGTGATGAGACAAGACATTCCTGCTGAAAGCCACCAAAAATTGTTTTGCAACACTTTCCAGAGGTTGGAAGGTGCTATTATCTCCGTCCATCTGTCCATCTGCAGCAGGGGGAAGCACTATAACTCTCGTACAGATGATCCAATATGAACCAACCTGGAGGATAAAGTTGTGCTGCTATCAGGGACTTACCCAATAGAAAACATGTCAAATTGATCTGAGCATTGCCCAACACTTGTGAAGGCACAGCCCAGATCAAAAAGGACTATTTATAACGAAGCAAACAATATTTTTTTTACCCTGGCAGCCATCCGTTGGGCTTCCGCGCTGCTAATAACCTACTTCAGGAGGCAAACAAACGTTGGAAAGCATTACATAAATCCACGCATAATTTCTTATAAACGAAGCTTCACAAAAACCCGTGCCAGACAGCCCGAGAACACGCAACCTGAAAGTGGTTGGTGTAGGTACTCTAGAACAACCGTTCGTTACTTTCAGGTTACGGTCCTTCCCATCTTAAAACGTTGCCAACTTTCAACTATGCACCCGGTTTTTAGCCGCTTGTGTAAACCTACGGTGCCGCACATGGGCGCGCGCACGTGCCAAAACACCTCGTTTCTCCAGCCATAGTCACGCGGGAGAACGTGCGAATCGAACTTGTAGAATTCACCGGCGCGGATGGACGGCTCGTCGCAGACGGGAGACGGTGGCGGGGAAAAATGCCTGCCTCGCGTGGGTGGGTGGGGGGTCCACACGTTTGGAGGTTCAGATTTCACTGCACTCGTGTAACAAAAAAACTATTTGGAAATTTAGTTGGGAGGCGGCGTTGCGAACGACGTTGACCATTATTGGGAAAAGGGGGATCGTTGTCTTCTGCTGTGGATTAAACTTCTTCACAAATCGAGACTCCCGCACGCAAATACACGCACACAGAGATCACCTCCCAAGTGCAGACTCCATTAGGGAATGTGGCGACACGCACAAAGAGATCCTCTCTCACTCCGTGGTCGGTTGCATCAAACGCCAGCGACGGTGAAAAACATCCCCCTAGTTTACGCACCGGCGTAGAAAGGGAAAAGAAAGGGAAAACCCGGGGGACGTTTCCACTTCAGGGCATCGATATTCACGTCCACACGAGACTGGCGGGGAACATCACCGCCGGCCTTGACCGTTTGTCCCATTGTTGATGATGTTGTCGCTGCTGCTGCTTCCGACGAAAAGACATTTTGACGTTTTCACCTAGAGTCGGCTGAACAGCAACATCCGCCAACACACGGCTCTACACGGACCGACCACAAACCTAGAAAGCAATGCCCACCCTATAGCCCAGACCTAGAACTTAACACCTATCCCCTATAGCTAGAAGCTAACACTCACCTTTTAGCCCATATCTAGAACTAAAGACCTCCTAAGTAGCCAAGAGCTCTGATACATTCATGATATATAAAGCTCTGATCTAGAACACCTACTCTATACCGCTGATTTAGAACTCAACATACATCAAACAGTCAAGAAGCTAAAATTCACTCTGGGGTCCACAGACCAATAACTTGGCACCCACTCTGTAGCCCAGACCTCGAACTCTAAACTCACCCTGTAAACCAGACCCAGAACTGCACCTACCCTACGGCTCAGACTCGTCACTCAATATTCACCCTCTTAAGTCCAGAACTAGAACCAAACTTCTGCTCTGTAGCCCATACCTATATTTCAAAACCCACCCAAACCCAAAGAGACTAGACGACCCTCATCAAGAATAATAAAAAAAAGAAGTGGGATTACCACCAAATAATCCATCTGCACGACGCATCAACCCCACGTGCGCGCGTTGGACGACAGGTGTGGTTCATCGTGGCCACCACAGGTTTAACTGGTTGGCGTCACTTGACGGTGCCGAGCACAACCGGCCACTACGACTCAGGTAAGTGGTGCCACAAAGGTTTGGGGGGTTGGGTAGTCAGAGGGGTGGACAAATGCCCTCACCTAATAGACACGGAGGGGGGGGGCTGGTTTGGCGATACCATTCTTCCCCCACAAGGCCCAGTTCTAACTCCAGTGGTGCTGGGCCAAGTTTGCAGTGATTCACGACTTAAAAGGAGAGTGAAGCTGGGTGAGGGGAGGGCAAAAGAACATGCGGTGGTGCGGGGCCCATCCCAGCAACCCCCCCCCCCCCCCCAATCTGTCACCAGCCCTGGTCCCCCACTAAAATCCTTCTGGGTCATTGGACAGGAGAGGTAGGAGACGCCAGTTGATTTCCGCAGTGAAAAGTAACCGTAGGCTTTTGCTGCTAGCAACCAACGGGACTAAACTAAACTATTTAAATTTTTTACCAGGTAAGGCCCACTGAGCTATGTAGCTCTTTTTCAGAAATGACCTGGCCACAAATGATAGCGCAATGAAGTGGTTGATCACGTGGAAATTTAGTAGCCAAACACTCGAAACACCTTTCTAAATGTGGAGGGAAAAACCGGAGGATGCAGAGAAAAATCCACGCAACCACAGGGAGAGAGACACTGCAAATTCCAAATATGCAGCAGGCGTGCAATTAACATCTCACCACCGTGGCACTCAAGAGTGTCGCGTGGGTTAAGCCATTTGGAAGCGGTGGCAGTGGCAGCGCTTGGTCGAGAGCCGCTGTGGCTGAGGGGGTGGCGGGGTCACGAGGGAGATGCCTCGCAGCTTGTACCGTTAAGGGTTATGGGTTCGTTACAGAGTTGGGGTTGACAACAGTTTTGCATTAGTGATTATTTCTAAATTCGGCAAAATCCATATATATATCTCATCAACTACAAATTAAAACTTAGTAACCAACTGCCACACCGGGGACCCCGTGTAACACGGGGCCAGGGATTCCAACTCACGTCCATCTCAAGTTTAGAACAAGGCCAGCGAGTTTTTCTGCACCCCGCTGTTGCAGCGCCCCCCCACCACCCCCACAGATTATTTTTTTTGTTACCTAATTAACATTCGCCAAACATACAGAGGAGGGTGTCCCCTCCTCTGTATCAGCCCCCACCCCCCGCCCACCTCTCCCCCACCACAGCCTGTAAACAGTGGTGCCACCAATGGCCAATGGGACTCGATACACACCTCGCACATTAGCGTGGGTTCGACTGCGAAAGACAAGCGGAGATGCGCCGAGCGTTTTACTCTGTGCCAAGCGTGGCATAAAAAGCAGGGGTGGAACAATTCACCCAAACCCCTCCCCAACCCCGGCCCCCGACCCTCCCACCCCCATAGCGATTTGACGAATTGTCACGATTCTGGGTCACTGTTCAAAGCAAGATATTTTCGTTTAGATTTTTTACGCTGCGCCAAACGATCGGTGAAACCTAGCGGCCGCAAGGGCGACGCGAACCCATCGTACATTGAGCGCACACACACACACACGGACAGAAAGAACATCGATTCTCACGCGCGCGATCGACGCGGGCCGACGCGGGGCCGGCGTAAGCTCAACGCCGATCGGTATCGACGGACGACGAATCGTTGCGCCGTTCGTTCCACCTCCTAAAACAAATCCGAGATCCATTCCGCACCCCTCCCACCGTCGCGTCGCGACATGGGGAAAAGGTCCCGTTTGAGTACGCCCTTCAATCTCGACGATTGTAACTGGCTGTTGGCCGTTTCGGGAGCCCTCTCTGGGCCTGTGCTCGGCAACCGTGATTACATTTTATTTTTAAACAATAAATGGAAATGGATGCTGTGTAAGCTCCTGGACAGATACTGGCCAGCTCTTTGCAAACCTCCAAGCAAGCGAGGTTCCAGACACACAGGGGGGAGGGAAGGAAGAGGACATCCAATTCCTGTGGCTCCTCGCTTCTAGCGGCAAAAGTGAACTTCCCAAGAAGCCCCCCCCCCCCCCTCTCTCGACAGCGTAATAACGTGCAACAGACCTCTGGCTCAAAGTCTTCACGGCAATCTGTCAAAAAATGTCAAGGCTTGGTGTGATAAGATTGGCGGCACGCCATGGTTAACGTCAATAAGTGATGACTCCTAGAGTCACTTAAAAGTGTTTTTTATTTCACTTCCATTGGACAGCCCAGGACACAGCCCTAGACATAAAAGAGCCATTTGTGTTTTGTATGTTTTTGTTATCTGGCAGTCATCGTGTAGTAGCCATGAAACAAATTCACCACCCGCCACCCCGGTCCTGAAATTCTGATTTAGGCTTTATCGTTCCTTTCTATGGACGATAACGTGCACCAGCACCTGCCGTTGATTAAAAAAAAAAATTAATCGCTGCCTTCATAGCTCGGAAATTAGTATAAATGAGGGGAACTGTCGTCACAAATATCCGCGGCGGATCTTTGGAATCGCGCGTTTTTTTTTATGAACATCATCGCTAACAACGGCACGTGTCATAGAAGCAACCGAATTCACAGTAACGGGAGCCGAAAGAGCGGTCCTTTCTATTGCAAGCCAGCGAGCGAGCGTTCGTTCGGTCAGGCGCCCGCCCAATCAAATAAATAATAAAGAGTGATGGAAAGAAAAAAAACGGTGCGCGCTGATTTGTCAAGGAATCCGTCGGTGACGTAAAAGTGGGACAAATTTAGCAAAAACAACTACAAAAAAAGGAAGGGGCAAAAAAAAAAGGCATTTAATTATTTGTGTGTTCCCATGTCGTTCGGAGCTAAAAGGGATGTTTCCCCGTGCGGCATCCACACCCACCCTCCGCCACCAAACTCGCCCCCACCACACCTCCCAATAACCTCCTCCCCACCCCCCCCCCCCCTCCCCTCGTAGCTTTTACCCCAACCCCAACCCCCTCAACCAAAAATAAATCACTCACAAAATGACCGGCAGGGGGGGGGGGGGGGGCTGCTCCGGCTTCTTCCATCATTGGATGAGGATGGTCCAGTCGGAGGCTATGTTCACGCCAGGTTTTCGCACCTCCAGGGTGGCCGTGGCGGCGTCGTACTCAAACTCCAACGCGGACTCCGACGGAGAGACTGCAGCGCACACAGACACACACAAAGACAAAGATCCCCCTGCCTCCCGTGTAGCCTGTTGGGGCAAGTGCGAGTCAGCGAGCAGCACCGTCGAAGGCCGGTCCCTGCGCACGGGGGGGCAGGGTATGCCAGCATGTACGTTGGCCCAACTCCTGGGACGTCCCATTGCTTGAGCCAGCTGGCACTCCATCATTTATTCGTGACGGACAAAGGTCAAGGATACATCGACGAACTCCTTTCGCCGAATTATCCCTCCCAATTACGAAATAGCAAATACCGAAAAAACGAGGTTTTACTGTATTCTGTGCGGCCGAGGTGCAACGTTACAAGTTTGAAATTATGATAGTGCTGGATAAACGGGGCACGTGCGTAGCCACCAGCACCAGGAGAAGGCCACGTGCTCGAGCGATCTGGACCACGACGGAACACCGCGGTGCGACGGGATGCGGGCGCCACGGTACCTGCTTGCTTGAGAGTGACGTGCGACGGCTTTTTGACGCCTATGACCACGACCTTCTCGAGCCACGACTTTGTGCTGTAGCTTCCGCTGGGGTCGGCAGAGCTGCACAACGCGGAAGCGGTGTCAGGGAGGGGAAGGAAGGAGGCAGGCACGGGAAGGAAGAAGATTTGCATCCCCACACCATCCCACCACCCACGTGGCTCCTCAGTATCTCCCGTACCCTGCGTCTCCCCCTCACATCATCGCTCCATTGCCCACGTCCACCCATCGGTCTCCTCCCACCATTCGCTGCGCCTCCCCGCGTGTTTCCCCCGTGGCTCTCGGTAGATGGCGTGCGTACGCACCCAACGTCTTCGTAAGTGCGGGGGATTTGACACGCACGTGCACGAGAGTACGCGTGCACGCAAACAGGTGTGTGTGCGTGCGCGGTTTCCCCCCACCCCCCGTCCACCTCACCTGGCCACCAGCGCGCCGTTGGAGAAGTGGAACGAGCGCAGCGCGAACCGCTTGTCCGTGTCGTAGGCGAAGGAGTGACCGTCATCCAGGAACAGCTGCCCCTCTGCCCGGCCCTGCTCGCCGCGACGACAACACGACGTGATGACGTCATGACAACAACACAACGACGTGATGACGTCATGACAACAACACGACGGCAACACGACGGCAACACGACGCCGTGATCGCCGTGACGCGACACGAGCGGACGCAGCGCCGGAGTGTCGGGAGGGGGTGGCCGAGCCGCCCCCACCGATAAAGACTCGGCAACCCCTGCCCCCCCCCCATCAAAGTGCACTTAGCCTGGCACGAGCGCTGTGGTGACGTCACCGCCACAGTGTCGAATAGCGGCTGTAGTTGTGCGGATGACCGTGTATGTAGGCATGCTTGTATGGTGCGTGTCCGTATGCATGTACAGTACGTGCGTCTATGGATATATGCACACGAGTTTGTGCGTGCGTGTGCGGGCGCGTTTGTGTGCGCGTATATGCACGCATGTTTGTGTACGGTGCTTGTGCATGACTATGTGCACATGCTCGTGCGTGAACACGTACGTTTGTGTGCGTGTGCAGGCACGCATGTTTGTGTACGGTGCTTGTGCGTGACTATGTGCACATGCTCGTGGATGAGCACGCATGTTTGTGTACGGTGCTCGTGCATGAGCACGCATGTTTGTGTGCGTGTGCAGGCACGCATGTTTGTGTATAGTGCTTGTGCGTGACTATGTGCACATGCTCGTGCATGAGCACGCATGTTTGTGTGCGTGTGCAGGCACGCATGTTTGTGTATGGTGCTTGTGCGTGACTATGTGCACATGCTCGTGCATGAGCACGCATGTTTGTGTGCGTGTGCAGGCACGCATGTTTGTGTACGGTGCTTGTGCGTGACTATGTGCACATGCTCGTGCATGAGCACGCATGTTTGTGTACGGTGCTTGTGCATGACTATGTGCACATGCTCGTGCGTGAGCACGTACGTTTGTGTGCGTGTGTATGCACGCATGTTTGTGTACGGTGCTCGTGCATGAGCACGCATGTTTGTGTGCGTGTGCAGGCACGCATGTTTGTGTACGGTGCTCGTGCGTGCATGAGCGCGTGCGTCGTACGGCTTTGTCGAGGGCGACATAGAGCGTGTAGGGGTCATCGTGCATGCACTCCGAGGAGCGTCGCGGCCGGTTCTGTCGCGGCACCACGGAGCCCCCTCTCTGATACACCGGGATCTGTGCATTCAACAGAGACAACGTACGTATGTTGAACTTCTTTCGCACCGTACGAAGCCAGCCGTGCTAATCGAAGGTTGCGGGGGGGGAAGGACAACAAACTATGATTAAACATATCATTCGATGTACATAAAAAGTTAAAGGCGGAGCCCTGCAATTGCTTGCTTGTGCCGCTGCTGGCTAACGGAAACTCCAAAAGACCCTCTAGAGTCGGAGGGTATTTGGTCTAATTTTCCATGTTGGCCAGACGTCTCGGAGGATGTGGTGGAGTGCCCACGCTCTGCCTTTGGACTCAAAAAAACTAAAAACTAAGGCCCACTGAGCGATATGGCTCTTACAAATTATAGCTCAACTTAGTGGCTTATCACGTGGAAATGTATAGCAGTCAATTACTCTAAACGAATGAGGACCCGGAGAAAAATCCACACGACCACGGTGAGATAGAAAATGCAAACTCCAAACGTGCAGGGCGTCGTCAGGGATGGGATCGAACCCACGACCTTCTGCATAGCCGGGGAGGTAGTTAACATCTCCTAGCCACCATGGCGCCCTCCTTACCGAGCTCATGGTGACGGGGACGTAAAGCTCCTGGCCGCCCTCGTATTTCCTGTGGTCGTGTACGTCGTACCAGAGCTGTGGGTGGAGGAAGCGGGGGTGGTGGTTGTGGAGAGAACACAGCACATTATATTAAATGGAGCAGTGGGTATGGAGATGGCATAGTGAGTAAGGAGAATGTGTAAGAAGGGTTAGAGGCAGGTTGGAAGGAGGGCATGAGTGATGATGTACGAGAGAGCGGACGCCGATGATGGCCATGAGAATCGAGCATCACGGGTCCTCACGCAGGACCAGGTAAATTTATGAAAACAAATACACAGACAGCATTTTGGTAAGTGCTGTTAGCAAGCGACTACACACACACACTAACACAATGGTCCCCCATATAGCCTTTAACAGACTGTTGAGGCGGCACAGCACACGAGGGCGTGGATGGCCAACACCACACCCGGCCGCCTTTGTCTCCCTATTGGTGATATTTACACATCGCACCAGGTACTCATTTGAGGACGAGTCGAACTAGGGGAGGCCCAGGACCGATTCAAATAATCGTCACTGGGGTTGGCCGAGAACGGGAATCGAATCCGAGTCGCCGAGTTCGGAGTGCAGCGCACTAACCGCTACACTACCGCTCCTCACATTACTACTCCTCCACACACACACACACACGTACGCGCGCACGCCCACGGACACACACACACACACACAGACTCTATGCATAGGCGTTTCTCACCTCTCCGGGCCCAGGCAGGTAGATGCTCACCCCTCGGGAGCCGGCCTCTGTGATGGGATGGACCAGCAGGGCATCACCTGCAGTGAAGAGACAACCACACACGCACACACGCTGTGAGCACAGGCCACGTGTCTGTGCACATGGTGAACACGCAGGGGAAACACCATTGTATGTATGTGTGCACTTTTAACTTATTTTGCACCGTACGCAGCCAACTGTGCTAATCTATGGATGTTGAACTTCATTCGCCACCGTACGTTGCCAACCGTGATAAATCGGAGGTGCAGGGGAAGGTTCTTTCGGTAAAGTCACGTAGTTAGAAATAAAATCAAATAAAACAAATCACGACGTTTCGATCGCTTGTGTTGCGATCGAAACGTCGTGATTTGTTTTATTTTCTACCCACATGACTTTACCGAAAAAAACAAAGAGCATGGATTCCTGCAGTCACGAAAGCTTCAAATGAAAACTAAACACAATTAGCAGTTATAAAGAAATGAGTAAACAAAAAATGTCTGTACGCATCGTGAACATAGGTGTGTAAGCGCGCACCTTGAACGCAGGAGGTGTGCGCCCACAATCTGATCGCAGGCAAACAAAGTGTGAGTGCGGGTGTGAACACAGGCATGCGATGATAACCCACCAAGAAGATATTCGTCCTCGATTGCGAACGTAGCCGTTTCCTTGGGGAACTCGACCCAGAGAGCTCTGTACAACACAAAGGCACCGCCACACTGATACAGCGCACCCAGCCCGCGTATGCAACAGCCATGTACACAGCTCGCATACACACAGCCCGCATACACAAAGCCGTGTACACAGTGTAGGTTGCATCGCTTCACACTGTACACACATGAGCAACTGCTACTAAGTGGCGGTGATGTCACTACGGGGCATATGCCAGGCTATGTGCACTTTAAGGCTTGCTGGCAGGTTACGGAACATACCCAAGTACCACCGACTGACCGACTGAGATGACCGGCAAATGCACCACCTGTGCCCCTTACACACATGCACAAACAAAACAAAAATCCCCCGTATAGCCTTATCGGACTGTTGGGGCAAGTGCTGTTAGCGAGCACTAAAGAAGGCTGGCACGGTACACGAGAGGGTGGGTGGCCAGCCTGTCGACCTAGTGGTGATATTTACTCATTTGAGGTTGAGCCGACCTAGGGAAGGCCCAAGACCGGTTCAGATAATCGTCACTGGTGTTTGCCACAAGCGGGAATCGAACTCGGGCCACCGAGTTCGTAGCGCCGCGTACTAACCGCTGCCCTACTGCTGCCCCCACACACACACAGCACCAAGCCCGGCCGTCTTTGTCACGTGAGCGCGTACACACACGTGTGCGCGCGCGTGCGTACACACACGTGTGCGCGCGTACACACACGCACCTCATGACGGGCTCGCCGGTGCGGTGGGCGTGGTAGAAGGCCGTGTACCAGAACGGCAGCAGGGCGTAGCGCTGGTGCAGGGCCACGCGCACCAGTGCCATGTTGTCGGCGCCGATGAGCCAGGGCTCGCGGCGCTGCGTGTCGATGTGAGCGTGCGCTCGGAAGAACGGCTGGTAGGCGCCGGCCTGGTAACCAGCGCACCAGCAGCTCGGGCGGCGGGTTGCGGAAGAAGCCGCCGACGTCGGCTGTAAAAGGAGGAGGGGAAGGACAGAGCTTTGGTATCGAAATTCTTATTTAGGACTGGGAGGAATTCTATCACCTACAAAGCTTTTTTTTCGTAGGATGTACAGAGCTGGAAGCGTGGCAGAAAAGAGGGGCATCAATGTCGTTACGAGTACTGTGCAGGGTGCGAACTGTCACGAGTGACGCATGTTGTGCAGTGGGCAGTGTGTATTGTGCAGTGTGTCACGCGATGTGCGGTGTGCCGTATACATTGTACCCTGTGCCCCCAGTACCACGGGTAGTGTGCGGTGCCGTGCGCGCTGTGCGTTGTGCCACGTGACTCGTGCCGTGTGCTCGCTCACCCCCGCTGAAGGAGATGCCGCACAGGTTGATGTTGAGCAGCATGGGGATGGACACGCGCAGGTGGCCCCACTCGCCCGTGTTGTCTCCCGTCCAGATGGAGCCTGCGAACAGCCCCACGGGCCCACAGCCACCGTCAGCCCAACGTTCCTTCACGCGCCATTCATTAACCAGGGCCAAGACTAATTGGTTGATTGGAGTGGATCGCTTGGTAGCGAGATGTAAACTCCCTCGCCTGGTATACAGGAGGTCTTGGGTTCGATCCCGACGCCTGTATATTTGAAATGTGCACGTCTCTCTCCCCACGTGGTCGTGTAGATTTTTCTCTGGGGACCCCTGGTTTTTCCCTCCACATTTAAAATCAACATCATGCGTTTAGAGCATTTGGCTGCTATAAATTTCAACGTAATAATCCACTTCATTGAGCTATTGTTTGTGGCCAGCTCAAGTGGGCCTTACCCGGTCTATAGTTTAGTTTTTTAGTTTAACGAGCCCCACGTAACCGGCATGGCACGGCACGTACCGTATCGCTGGGATCCGGCAAAGAACGCGCGGGAGAGCACGTAAGGGCGCTCCACACCACCCGATCGCCGGATCTGCCCCTCCACCGTAGCCATTTGCTGTGGGACGAGGAAGTAGGGGGGAGTGGTGGAGGGGGGGGGTTTGGAGGGCAAAGGAAGGAGGGATGGTGCAAGTGGTAGGAGAGAAAACTGAGGGCACAGTTCAAGCAGGGCTCCATCTCTCACCGAATATTTACTGAGCGGCTGGAAAACTGGAGCAGGTAACACGTTACTCGAGTGAGCGAGGCCTGCGTGCCGGTACCTGGTAGAGGCCATAGAGGTTGTGCAGGTCGCGGTGCTCCCAGCCGCTCAAGTGCACCGTGTCCTTGTGCATCGTCACCTCGGGCCCGTTGAACACGGACGGCTCATTCATGTCGTTCCACGTGAACAGAATCTCACTCGAGCCCTGCACGTGCCACGGGGGGTTGGGGTAGGGGGTCAGGGCGTGGAGTGGGGGGGGCGGGGGCACGGGCCGTGATGTCAGAGAACGGCCTCCACGAGGCCGCGTGACGCCGCGTTTCGCCCAGCGCCACCGCCAACGACCCCGTTCCGAAAGAGATTGACGACAAAAAATAAACAGATATATAAAATATTAACCCGAAGCTGCCACCCGCCGGCTCACCTCGTACTGGTCGTAGGCAAACTTGCTCGCGAACCAGGAACGCACATCGGGGTTTGCAAAGTCTGGGTACGACACCGAGCCTGGGTGTCGAAAGAAAACATTCAGCGCATTGCTCATTATTATTGCTGTTGTTGTTATTATTTTGTTGGGGGACGGTGTCCTTCTCGCGGTGGCTCCACCCACGCTTTTCGCGTCACCTCAAAACAAAACTAACGCCGGCATCCGGGGCAAAACGACGTCGTTAATCCGAATCCATCGCCGTGGGCACGATGCCAAGCACGCGGACACACGGGCGCCGCCAAGCGTCGCCTCACCTGGCCAGCACCAGCCCTCATAGTCGCGCCCATCCTTGTTCTTCATCAGGTACCCGTTGGCCTGCGCCTCCGTGTACACCTTGTAGCCGCTGTCAATCTTAATGTGCGAGTCAACGATGGACACCATCTGCAGGATGAAGTCGTGCCCACGCGCGCGCACACACACACACAACACACCAAGTCAGAGACCCCCCCCATATAACCTTCAATAGACTGTCACAGAGCAAGCGCTGTTAACACTTTACCATTCTGATGTCGTACGTGTACGTCACCAGTTGTTCTTCCGATTTCGTTCCGATGACGTGCAGTGCGTGTACGATGATGAGGCCATGCAGGAGGGGGGCATGTGGCACAGTCTGGCACCAGCTATCATGGAGTGGTGGCGGTCGTGTCGCTACGGTTCTTTGCGGTAACGTCTTTAAAAACAAAGGCGCTATGACGGCGCTCTAAATAAAATTCACGCTTAACCGCTTAGCACGTTCCGAGATTTGGTGGTGTACGGGACCCGCCCTGCAAACTTGCAGGTGTCTCGGACCGGGAAAGGTTTAAGACAGAGCGTCTATGATGGCCGGCGCGTCACACGAGTGTGTGGCGTAACCACAGCACCACGCCCGGCCGCCTTTACCCCCCACTGTAACCACCGCCGCGTGTGGCCCCGCGCGCACCTTGCGGCGCTTGCTGGCAATGTTGCGCTGCATGTCGAGCGGCGTAGGGAACTTGTTGGGGTCCCAGGTGAAGTAGCGCTTGCCGTCCGCGTGCTCGATGTCCAGCCAGATGACGTCGTAGGGCAAGTCGTTGGCGTCGAAGCCCGCGTCCACCGCCCGCACGTCGTCCTCGTCGTTGTAGTTCCAGCGGCACTGGTGGTAGCCGAGTGAGAAGAGCGGCGGCAGCGACTGCGTGCCTGGAGTGGGGGGAGGGGGCGGAACGACGGGGGTGAGACAGGGGAGGCAGAAAGTAGAGAGGGCAAGGGCGATAGACGGACAGACGGACAGAGGCAAACAGGGGGGGGGGGGATAGGGAGACAGGGCGGGATGAGGAACAGAAGATGGGGAGGACAGAGGGAAACGGGAGACACATGAGAGACAGAAGGGCAAAAGGAGACAGGGGATCAGGAGCATGAGAAAGGTAACGGGGACAGAGGGAGACGGGAAGATAGGGCGGGATGAGGAACAGAAGGAGACAGGAGGACAGAGGAAGATGGGAGACAGGGGAGATAAAGGTAGATGGGGGGGGGGATAGGGAACAATCGGAGTTGGGATGGAGAGAGACATAGGGAAACGAACAGACGCAACTTCGTCGGAGAACAAAATTGTCAAATAAAATTGCTCGCCCTTCAACATTCCTCTGGTAAAACAAACCAAATAGCCACATTCGCCGAGGCGACTAACGTCATTTGATTGGCTCTGCCGAGTGGTGGGAGGGTTAGACAGTTACAAACCGAGATCGTACCTACACAATAATCTCACGCGAAAGAAACCAATGATGGATAATGATGACGATGATGATGACGATGATGATGGCGATGACGATGCCCGCGTGGAGACGCCCGCGGGAGGAGGAGGCGAGAGTGTCGGCGTGGTGGTACCGGTGAGCGAGGCATATTGCCGGAACAGGTCGTTGGGCGTGGGCCCCAACAGCACGAACACGTCGATGATGCCGCTCTCCGACATCCACCGCACGTCCGTCTGCGGCACCTCGCTGCCCCCGCGCACGTAGTCCAGCATCTTGCCGAACACCGTCTGCGCGTCGCGAGGGGGTTATTTGGTCAGTCGGTCGTTCGGTTAATTTCTGGTAAGGCCCACTGAGCTAGGTCCTTGTTCAATGGCGGCCCGGCCAAAGCGGCTCAGCACGTCTGGAAGAACGTAATCAACCAGGCCTCGACACAGAGGCGTGGTTTCTCTGTGTGCCTATGTATGTCTCTCTCTATGTATCTCTGTGTTATCTCTCTCTGCTTATATGTCTGTCTATATGTCTCTGGTTCTGTGTTTTATCTCTCTCTCAAATTTAGCATTCTCTGGAAGAACGTAATCAACCAGGTAGGGTGTTGACTGTTATGTTAGCCGACTCTCTGTGTTGTATTGCATTATATTTCTAAGTTTACTAGGTTTGTTTTCTATTTTGTTTATACCTGATGACGATTGCTTGTGTTGCAATCGAAACGTCGTATGCTATTATTTATTTTTTTATTTTCTCTTTATACGTCACTTTACCGAGAGAACCAAAGAGTAGTTCCTGCAGTCGCGAAAGCTCCAAATAAAGTCTGGGAAGGGTGGGTTTACAGGAAATGTGTAGAACGGCTTGTACGACGGAGGTGGCGGGGAAGGTGGTGGTGGAGGTGGCGTACCTTGCCGGCCGTGTTGGAGCTGATGTCCACCCAAGTTTCGGCGGCGTTGTGCCAGAAGATGCCGAGGGTGCGCTCGGGACGGTGCGCAATGAGGTAGGGGACTGCGCCGTACAGTGCCATGTTGGTGTCCAGCTCGTACTCGAACACATCGAGGTTGTAGAGGCGGTAAGGCTCCGAGCCCCTGAGCAACGGCGCGAGCAAAACACACAAACACCATTAAGATGATTCAAATAAATCGACACTCTTCAAACCGCACTTTCGTATGCAATCATCCAGTTTGATTTTAGTACCGACCGAACCAATGGGCCGACGCGAACGTTTGAACAGCATGGCACTTTCTAATGCGATTTGGTCCGCTGCAGCAGCAGAACCTCAACATCGTCATCAACATCAGCTATGACGAGACCATTGCTGGATCAAAGCTTCCTCAAGTCATCTCCAAGGCAAAGGTGATGAGAGGTCGTGGAGGTGGGGTGGAGGTGGGGTGGAGGTGGGGTGGAGGTGGGGTGGAGGTGGGGTGGAGGTGGGGTGGAGGTGGGGTGGAGGTGGGGTGGAGGGGGGTGATGGGTTCTGGAGAGGAAGGAAGGGGGAGGAGGGAGAGGGGGTAATGAGGGGGGGCAGGGGAGGGTCGGGGGGGCGGGGGGTTGAGACCCTCACGTGGTGGTCTTGAGACGGAATGTGTCGGCGTGCTCGGGGATGCCGTACACAAACTCAACACCCGGCAGAGAAAAGTCCAACCCCACCGAGGCAGGGCCTGAGCACACAGCACACACAGAGAGCCACCACACACACACACACAGACACCAAAGACCAAGACAGAGAGACACCACACACAAAGACACAGACACAAGCGCGTGTGCACACGGGGAGAAGGCATGGGCGGCAGCAGCATCGTGAATCTCACAGCGATGAGTGTGGTTTAACACGTAGGTTTTCACAACCAATATTATCCATAACATGTTTTTTGGGTTAGATCGTGTAAATATATAAATGTTACCACCCGACATAGCCAATTAGTAAGGTTTGTCACGTAAACTGAACATGTCAATTCGTTACATCGTTAACTCAAGGTGTACTGCAAACGCAGCCACGGCAAACATAACCCACAACGTTGATAAACGTCATGACGAGTATCGCGTCATCTCGGCAAGTAGCTTGACATCAGATCATGGTAAGAATCGTGGTATCACGGCGAGTATCGTATCACGGTGAGTATCACGGTGAGTATCGAGGTATCACGGTGAGTATCGCGGTGAGTATCGTGGTATCATGGTGAGTATCGCGGCGAGTATTGTGGTATCGCGTTGAGCAGGCCCACCATTGGGTTTGCTGTCGTGATGAGTCTTAAACGTCTCCTCCCACATTCCCGGCTCGCCCTCCTCTTCCGTCACCTGCGACCGCAAACGACAATCACCGCACACGTCCCTAGTAGCCTCGTCAACAACACAAATCACAACGTGTGTTTATTTATTTGTATTTATTCAGACTGGAAGGAGTCCCACGAGCAACCCAAGCTCTTTCCTCACCAGATGCCAACAAATTCCTCCGAGCACCACTGTCCTTTGAATCACACGTGCATCCCACTTAACCATAATAGGCCTCACGCCACGAGTGGGACAGCCGGGTGGACACTCAGCTTCAGGTGCCGCGGCTATAGGATCAGAGCCTATTTTTGTGTTGTTTGGGTTGCGCGAGCTCCTTTAAAAGAAAGGAATGCTTCTCTCACGTTGGGGAAGAGCGGAGGAAGAAGGGAAGAGGGATTTGTAAGAAGAAGAACTTTGAGGATTTGGAGGAGGCTTGGGAGAGAAGCAGGAAGAGGGGGTGGCTATGGAGGAGCCGGTACCTTGGACTCGGAGCTGTTATCGTCGTCTCCGCCCCCTTCCTCCGCAGCCGCCTCGGTGGAGTCGCTCCCAGGGGCCCCCTCCTCGTCCACCCCAGGAGATTCCCCGGACTCCTTCCTGCCGGCACGACGACGACGTCGCCGCCACCACCGACGACGACAAATCCTCGTTACCCCGGGCCCCGCTGCACCCTCCCCCCGCCGCTACCACCCCCCATCCCACGATCTCTCGTCTCGGTTAACCCTCTTGCCGCGAGCGGAGCACCGCAATGCGTCCGAGCAATGGGGGCACCCCCCCAGAAAAAATGACGTCACGGAAATACCTCTGAAGTCACTTTCCCGTGTGGCGCACACTTTTTTTTACTCGGGCCTGCAAAGGAGCGCGTCCGTCGCGCGTCAAGTCAAAACTGAACGCTTCGTACGCGACGGCTGCTTTGGCGAAAGGGAGGAGCTCATCACCAACTCGTTGCACTTGGGAACCCGGTTAAAATAAAAAAAATCAGATGCAGTGGCCGAGACCCAGATTCGAACCCAGAATCACAGTGGCAAGTGGTGGCCGCCGGGTAGCTCGATATTATCTGGGAATTATGATATATTTTTAATAATTTTTTATTGGGTCGCACATTATCGGTACTGCCGTGCGGTGGATGAGCGCCATGGGCAGCTCAGCGTTACGCGCAAGGCAGACGCGACCGAGCGAGATTGGTTGCACACTCTTCTACCGAGAAAGCGATTAGTTTTCATATCCACACCGTTAAAGCAAAACAATCCGCAAACCCAAAAACCACAACGGGCCCGCCGTTTTAAGTCTGCTGCCGTAGAAGCTGCGATTCCACGGCAGTGCATCAGTCTCACCCCGCTGCTATTGCTGCTGCTGCTGCTGCGAGCAGTATACCGACGATTCTCCTCCGGAGAGCTCGTCTCACCGGACATCGCCCAAAATAGAGCGTTATATATTTATTCCTTTTAAGGCCACACAGGGTTCTTGACGACGGTGTCGAGTTTTGTTCGTCCTGTGCGCCTGTGCACCGCTTGCCAAACGCAGCAGCGGCAGCAGCAAGTAATGCGTTTAGCATTGTAAAAGAACCACCACCTACGATGCACGTCCCAGTTTGAAGCTTCAGAAACAAGAATAAAAGATTACAGAGCTATGGTCAAGCCACTCTGCCACACCCCCCTCCAGTAGTTTACCCCATAACACATCAGTGCAATGACATCACTGCAGCACAGGGACAGAGCACTTGACCATAACTACATATATATATACACTTTAAATCCCATAACAAAGCTTCACACTCTGGTGGGGCAGCGCGGGACACACGGACGAGGTGCACATCTGCAAGTTAAAGTGCCGCTTTAATTTTTGGGTTGCGTTTTGCTTTAACCTTGGGTGAATAAATGCCTGGACTCAAACCCAGGAAATCTCACTCGGGGGTGGGGGGGGGCTGCGACATGGCCATTATGATTTCTCCCCCCCCCCCCCGCACCCTGGGGCACACACAAGCATACATCTACACACGAGAGCACATGCACAAAGACAAAGAACCCCACCCCCGCGTGGCCTTTATCTGAACGTTGGGACCAAGTGCTGTTCGCGAGCACCTATTCAGGCTGGCACGGCGCATGAATATGGGGCGGGGGGGGGGGGGGTGTTGTGCTGGCTAGCAACATGCCTGGCTGCCTTTGTTTCCCCAGTGCCAATGTTTAACGAGTGGCCCAGGTACTCATTGAAGGGTAGGGGAGGGCCGGTTGACCTGGAGGAAGGCCCCAGGGCCGGTTCAGATGTCACTCGCCACCGATGTTAGCCGTGGCTGGGAATCGAACTCGGCGTCGCCGTGTTAGCAGCGCATGCACGCACCACACACACCACACACTCGGGGTTTCTGAGAGCGTGCAATCATTACCTAGAAAACACGTTCTTGAGTTTAGTCCACATGCTACCCACTGTGTTACCGACTGCCTCCGAGAGCCTGCCGGCCCCACCACATACACAGCACAGTGACACGACAGCAGAGAGGTAAATAATGAACACAACTGAATGGGTGAGAGAGAGAAAATAAAATAAAACAGGCTGCAAAGTAGGGTGACCGCGTTACAGTTTTACCAAGATGCGGTACTAATTTTCATGACGACGACGATTATCGCAATGCCAGTTTCCCGTAAAGTTGCGTTCAGCTATGAACGTCGCACTCTGTGTGCGTGCGTGGGCTTTTCTGTACTTTTGGGTGTGTACGGAGGACACTTTAAAAAGGGTTCTTAAATGAGCAGTTAATTTGACTACGATAATAATACATTTTTATCGCGGCGAAGAACGGCCTCTGTGTGTGGCGTTTTCTATGCTTCTCCCCCTACTCTGCATGGGATTTCCTTGTGGATCTGGAATTGGCAAAAACATCTCCAATGGCTAAAGAAAGAAAAAAAAATCACCTGCAAATTACTCAATTGTGGGATCACACTTCAGCACCCATCGCCCCCCCACCACCACCCCCGTCCTGCGAACACTTGGTAGGTCCCTCCCGTTAAAGTTTTTCATAATCAGAATACTTATTTCTACTGGAGGAATCCGATGAGCTATGAAGCTCTTTTTCGCAGACGTCCAGTCGGGGCACGGGATCAGAAATTTGATAGTTGAAGCGTTCCTGAGTAGACAAGCCGCGTGATGATAATAATAATAATGAGTATCGCGGCAACCCTGCTTGGCAAGCCAGTCCATGAAGGGAGCCTCCCACTTTGTTAGGCCAATTTCACCGCACAAAGATATACGCAAGGACGAATGGAATGCGTTGAGGATGAAGCAGCGACACCGTGGAAAGGAGACATACGTGTGCAAGTGTGTGGGGGAGCGGTAGTGCAGCGGTTAGGACGATTATCTGAACCGGTCCTGGGCCTTCCCTAGGTCGACTCAGCCTTAAATTATTACCCAGTGCGGTGTGTAAACATCGCCACTGGGGAGACCAAGGTGTTGGTCACCCATCTCCTCATGTGCCGTGCCGGCCTTCATAGGTACTCGCTAACAGCACTTGCCCCTACAGTCTGTAACAGGCTATATCGGAGATCTTTGTCTTTGTTGTGTGCATTGAATTTCTTTCGCACCGTACGATGCCAACCGTGCGCTATATCGGAGTTGTGAAAGGCGAAAGTGTGAGAGACCTGCTTAGATCTCGCTCTCCCTCTCCGGCCTAAGTGCTGTGACGAAAGGATCGCTGCCCGAAACATCAACTCTTATCATTACTTTTGTTCTTTTTAAGGCTGCATTGTGTTATTGACGAATATGTGTTGCGTTTGCTGATAATCCTGCTTCTGCACCACTGCCAACGCTGCAACAGCAAGCCACAGAAGCACCAACCAATTTGCTTAATCCAAGCGCAAGCCGTTTTCCGAGATCTGACGAGATTAGGTGAAATCCGGGCATATTTGGGGTTTTTTAGTTCTTGTTTTGTACAGATCTTGCTAACATTTATAAAACGGCCGAGACGGCTACAGCTGCAACGTGAGTGAGTCTATGACGACGACGACGTTGGGCCGAGTCGACGAGTTAAACGAGCGTCGGGCAATCGTGGGAGGCGGCGGCGCAGTACCCAAGTTCAAATCCCAGCCACGTCTAACGTCCGTGTGTGCGCTTGCTATCTGAACCGATGTTGGCCTACCTGACTCTTCTTTAATAAAAAAAAAAGCCAAAAGAAGTCTGGTCAAGCAATCCCATGATCGACAGGGCACGGGTGAGGGGGGGCCTTCATCCAGCAGGTGCTTGACTGAGGAATTGTAAACTGTAATTCTATAAACTGTGAACGGAGATCACACGCGTGTTAAACTAGAGGATGACACACAGCACCACCACTGAAAGTACGTGGGCATGCGACAATCTCGTGGGAGACAGGCCTGGGTGCGCGGGGCTACAACGCCGAATCTTTTGAGTTGCTCGCCTGGCGAGAGAGTGGATGAGTGAGTAAGTAAATGGTGGGCGAGTGAATGAGCGGGAAAGTGAAAGTCGCTACGTCTCCAACCAGCGTGTCTGCGTTGTCGCGTGCATTTGCATTGCTGTGTGGTGGAGGGTAGGGGTGAGCGGTGCGTAGCGCCGAGCGGTAGCTTAGGGGTGAACAGCAGCGTGATGGTGAGCGGCGCGTGATGGTGAGCGGTATGTAGCGGTGAACAGCAGCATAACGGCAAGCGCCGGGTGATGGCGAGCGGCGGCGTAGTGGTTTAACGAGAGCCGCTTGTGCCTCCATCCTCCCGAGCTCCCTCCGGAACGCCGCGCGCAGCACTCACGTGTTTCCGCGCAGGCGCAGGTGCTCGAAGGCGAGGAGGCCGCGCGAGTTGACGCTGGCCACGAGCTCGCCGGCGCTCACGATGTCCACGCGGAACGGCTGAGCCGACAGCAGCACGCGGGCGCCTCCGGGGCCCTCGCCAAGCCCGCCGGAGCCGCCCCACGCCAGCACCACCACGCCCTCCTCCCGGCTCACCACAGTCAGCCTGCGCGGCGGAGAAGACGCACGCGGTGCCATCGTCATTGTGCGCACGTTTGGCGTCCGCAAGGTCGTTCTCACGAGCGCAAGGCGATCGCTGAAGGAAGGTGTCGTGTTGTTACAGACACAGTCTGCAGTAGTTTCGCAGCCTGGGGGTGGTGATGCTGCTGCTGTGTCTAATACCAACAGAGTAATTTGAAAGTAGTTTTTTTATCATTGGGAAGTTTTGCCATTGCCAGTTGCATTGCGTGTATTTTTTTAAACTATGGGAGGAAACCGTAGAATGTGGAGGAAACCGATGCAAAACAGGGACAGAACATACAAACTACACACAGACAGGCACCAGTCGGGAATCAAACCCAAGCCCTTCTTGATGCAAGGCACAGGCGTTACCAATACACCACCACCCTGTCTGTCGGTTTAAGGATGCCACGGTGGCGAGATGTTAACTACCTCGCCTGGTATATCGGTTGTGGGTTCGGTCCCGACCAGAGGTCGCAACCGGGTACCCGATACCCGTACCCGTTTGCGACCCTGGTGCGGCCGGGTACGGGTAAGGAATCAAAACCCGTTTGCGACCTCTGGTCCCGACCCTGACACCTGTTGTATATTTACAGTTTGCGTGTCTCTCCCCGTGATTGCGTGGATTGTTCTCCGGGTCCTCCGGTATTTCCCTCCACATTTAAAATCAACATCACACATTGAGAGTATTTGGTTATTTATTTCCACATAAGCCACTTAGTTGAGCTATAATTCGTGATAGAAAGGTCGCTTCTGAAAAACAGCTATATAGATCAGTGGGCCTTACCTGGTAAAATAAAAAAGTATAGTTAGTTTAATTACAGGCAACACGCCTGGATTCAAAGCCAGCACAGCGCACCGACCTCTGTGACATCTTCCGTATGGCTGATGTAGATGCAGAGCAACAACTAAAATTTCACATCCAGGCAGTCAAGCCCAACAGCCGCATCACGAGCAGCAGAGTGCATCACCACCGCCGTGATGTCTCCTTCATATTTGTGGATCGTGCATCGAGTCGTTATACTCTGTACGGTCTCTGTTCTGGGTGATCAAGGTCACCTCCGAGGGCCCTGCCGCGCGCGTTGGGCTGTGGTGGGGTGTGGTGGGGTGTGGTGGGGTGCGGTGGGGTGCGGGGCGGGCCTACACAGGCCGTACCGCTCGCTGGCCGGCTCCCCGACCAGCACGTCCTGCACGCGGTATCGCGGCTTGAGTGGCGCCAGCTCATCGACGAGCAGCCGCACCATCCCGTCCTTCAGCCCCACTACCTCCAACACCAGCCGCACCTGCGCACGGCACACAGCACCACCCTCCGTCAGATAAACACGGTGCCGGCGGGCGCACAGGCAGGCAGGATTTACAAACACACCGGCTGCTGGCACACTCGCGGATGAACGGACTGCGTGCACAGGTTGGCGGAAAAACAGACGGTGAAGGCAGACTAGTGGTGCAACAGATTAGCGGATAAAGAGACTGGTTGTAAGCAGGCTAGTAGATTGATGGACTGGTGGTAGGCAGCCTGGCGGCTAACTGGGACTGGCGGATAAACAAAGAGTTTCCCAGCCACTGGACGATTCGGTGTTACAGTCCCATTCTAGAACCTTTGTTTGGTCTCGTTTCTACTTTCCCATGTATCGTCCAAATCATTTGTACAGCGTCATTCAACATCGGAGAGAAACCATCTCTCCTTGTAAACCATCTCATCTGTACCAACTTATTTACATTAATGGTTACTTGGCTTGCAACAATGCATTGGCGTATTGACTAAGCTCACGGAACGTACATTTGTGCATGTGCAAGAACCAATTTGCATATTTTTATTCACAATACCTGCAATTTGCAAATAGGATGTAAATGATAGCTGTGGGCTATTGTATTCGACACTGAAAACGGAACAAAAAAGAAAACAAGCTAGGCAAACGAGATTGCAAAACCTGGCCAAAAAAACGAAACAATCTTGAATCCAGCATTGTTTTTGTGTTACTGCGAATTGTGGCAGTGCGTCGAATGGCCGTGGGTGTGAACCATAACTTTCCTAATTAGGATTTAATTTGCATGAAGCTCACGATAGTGATTACCGCACACGTAAAGCAATGCTTGCGCATCGCGAGCACCGATTTTAAATGGACAAATTTTATTAATCGTTACGCTCCCGGTGACAGCAACGGTTTAGCGCGGGCCCTGGTGCCGCCGTCCCTCCCATATCACACGAAGCGCTTGCCACAAGTGAACCACAATACCTTGCCGATGTCGTCAAGGAGGATAAACCATCATCACGCGAACTCCGGTCATCACCGCAGCAGCGGCTTTTGGCCGGCCGTCGAACAAAGGCGGTCACTGCATCGCGCGGCGCTTTCAGATGCACGTCCGCAGCCGTCTGGAATGCTCTTCCTTCCGATATTAGAAAGCCATTGGAGCTAGGGACTTGAAATAATCTAGATTGAAAACTAATTTCTTTAGAACTGCTTTTTGTGTTGTCCTTCGCCCACACCTCTGCTTAGCATGGTTGGCTACGTAGATTGCGAAAAAAGTTCAACATACATAAATACACCCCTCCGCCCCCTTGTCCTCCGTCTTCCTTTAGTATGTTGGCAACTTCTCCCATCTCCTTACTCCTCCCCTCCCATTTAAACTTTCACCCCCCCCCCCCCCCCCCACTTGGTTGAGGCAGAGGGCCCAACACTCTCTCTCTCCCCTCTAAGTATGGCCCCCGCCACGCCGACTGAGACCTTCCACGGTTTTTCTGTCCCTCTTCTAACGGTTACCGCTGCGTTGCACCGGGCTCGCGTTTTTGTCTCAATAAAAATACAAATTAGAATAAATTAAATGCACACGTGCGCACACATACAATATCTCCCCTGGCCTCTACGTGGCCGGGGCCCATCCGGCCCATCCGGCCCTTGGGGCTCAGGGGTGGAGTTGTACCACCTGCCCACTGCTCGATGGCTACGCCGGGCAGCGTGACAGCCCGTGTGACGTCGCGCACGCCGCACCTTGTTGGCAGTGTTGAGCAGCTGCACGCGCGCGCCATTCTCTTGCACGTCAAGGGTGTCGAGCAGCGCGCGGTACGGAGACTGCTCCGCCTCCATCTTGCGCTGGCGCCTGCCACGGATGGCGGAATGGGGGGAGAGTGAGAGAGTGAGCGAGAGACGCAAAACAATCTTCATGGAGGTAAAATGTCATGTGGATTGTTAACAACACCGCAGTGTTAAATTGTTTAAAGGGCGTACTAAAACTCAAGGTGAGAATGACACCGTCAATTGTTACAACAAAAATGATACGATGGTGCATTCTGCTCTCGCTCGCACAAGCTCATACCCAGTGTGTATGAGGAAAGGTTGCAGCTAAAGATGTTTTGTTAGGCATCATACGTGCAGTATATGCATCGTTACCTACTCCTACCTCGGGGCTCTGTGTGGACGAGCTGTCCCTGCTCACTGTGGGGACAATTTGGCCACTGCCCAAGGGTGACAATATATCAATTCCAGCACTTTCTGCCAATAATGAGAAACTCATCAATCGGACAGAAAAGTGCGCACAGACTGGGAGCAAATACAAGTAACAGATGACTTTCACATCCCAAAGGAGAGGCAAAATCCCACAGGCGAGGGTAGGCCTGTGTCCAGCAGCGGAGTGACAAAAGGGCTCTCTACATTCAGTGGGTCGTTATGCGATGTGGGGCTCTGGACCTGCAGAATGAGCTTTGCTCGCATGTCTTGAAGTTGCTGCGGTCGACGGCATCGGAGAGAGAGATGCACAAGGCCAGGCCTAGGATGGCCAGATGGGCCGGCCAGCTGACACACCTGCACACACACACACAGCGAGTTACGGAGGCAGGCAAAGATTCCGCGTGTAGTCTTTATCATGCTGTTGGGGTAAGCGATGTTCGCGAGCAACTATAGACGCCGGTATGTATGTTAAACTTCTTTTGCACCATACGTAGCCAGCCATGCTAATCGGAGGTGCGAAATGAGGGGGTGACTGGCCAACACTCGGGAGCAGTTCAAATATTCGCCACTTATTGGTCATGAGTGGGAACCGAACTCGGGTCGCCGGGTTCATAGTGCAGTGGGTTAACCGCTACAGGCAGGCACACAGGAAAACAGCCCACCACACATCAAAAGCAGAGTTACAGTCATACAGGCAAGTAGCCCAACACCTCCTGGAACATAGCCTCCCACACACAGACATCCAGTCCCACACACACAGGAATACGGTCCCGTTCGTCCCTTAACGCAAATGACAATAAGGCATATAATCCCACACACACAGCGCACACAAACTTCCAATCACCACCAAGTGGCAGGGACATTAAAGGCTGCTGGCAGGTCACAGAACAGACCTAGGTGTACAAATCGAGTGACTTCCGATGACGGACAGTTGCACCACCTGCACTCCCCACTTTCCCATCTGGCTGTTTAGCCACCCCGCGGCTCTGCTTGTTGAGAGCGTCACTTCACTTGCCATTGTTGCTGCCAGAACGACTGTTTTCAACTGCCCAGTCGCGTCTTCCACGAGCTTCCTCCAAAGAGGCCAATCTGGACACATCTGGGACAACTCATTACCAATTTCACGGAGCTCCAATACCTCCTGCACTACATAAGCCAATCTAAAATAAAACCTACGCCGTTCCTGTTTAGGCCCTTTTATCCGGCTCCACATAAGCTGCTTGAACATGTGGGCTACATGACCCGGCCAAAGCATCCTCGACAACAGTGTTGCACACCAAAGATGTGCGAGCTAGCTAGCTAGCTGCTCACAATCCAGGCTGGATAACGCGATGATTGATGCTTGGTAGCGCCAGTCTGAATGTTTCACACCGAGGACGTTGTTGCTCTAAGGGGGGGGAGGGGGGTCCACGTTTCGCAGGCGTAACGAGAGGGCAAGATTGTTTCCCGAGAAGAGCCGGATGTTTGTATGGCGACATGGATCGGGCAGCTCAACGAAACGTTACTCAACTCATGAAAAAATAATGCCGTTCGAAGCGAGATTTCCACTGCCAAACTAAAGTTGACCATTAGCACACTGCCTGACCAGCCAATCAGATTATGTTTGGCCAGACTGCTGAGAGGGGTGAACGGTTGAGAGCCGAGCTGAGTACATAATGATTTTCAGATGAGTGGACTTTCCGATGACCGATACCAGCGGTGTCAAGATCGGCATCTATGGAGTAGGTTCGTGAAGGAAGCTACAGTCCTGGTTAGTTGGAGGCAGTCGCTGCCCAAAAACAACCGAGGGCGGAGGGGATAAGCTCACAACAACGAGCCGAACGCCGGGCGATAAAACAATACATTTGCACATTGGGGTAGCGCAGGTTATGGGTGCATCTTTCAAGTCATCTCAGTCAACGCATAGCACCTGCAAGGCCTGTCCCGTGACACTCATATAACACCCGGCGTTCAGCACTTCAGGTGATATAGCCTCAAAGTGCACCTAGCCTGGCTGTATACACGTCATCACCACTTTGTGGTTAAATGGCGGCCGTTTGTGTTGTTGGCGTAGGAGTTGTCCAGAGTTAAGATTACTCATATTACGCGAGTTGTTAATGAGTGCTTCTTGTTCTTAGTCTTCACTGCAGCCCTTTGGTTCCCATTCGTTAAAACATGTACAATGTAAATAGATACATAGGTTTGATGAAACAAAGTAGTTGTGCTGACGTGCCCGTGATTAATACCGTCACAAAAAAGAAACTCTGCAATGTCTCGCACCCCCCAGAGGGGGGCATCTCTGGGGGTGCGTGACGTTAACAACCACTGGTGGAGCGAGCAGTGGTAATGCATCGATTAGCGGGGCTGCTGCTGCACTACGAACCCGGCAACTCGAGTTCGATTCCCCGCTCACGGCCAACGCCGGTGACGGATAATCTGAACCGGTCCTGGCCCCCCCCCCCTAGGTTGACTCGGCCTCAAATGAGTACCCGGTGCGGCGTGTAAACATCGCCACTAGGGAGACAAAGGCGCTCGGGCGTGGTTGCTGCTGGCCCACCCCACCGCCGGCCTTATAAAGATGCTCGCTAACAGAACTTGCCCCAACAGTCTGTTAAGGCTACACAGGGGAGCTTTGTCTTTGCTCTTATACATTGACGGAGGGGAGTGTGAGTGTGTGTGTCAATGAGGGAACCAGTTGTTGTTGTTGCCTGGAGTACTGTGCGACCCGACTACTGTACAATCGTTAACGCACCCGTACAGAACCATGAGTCGTGTTCATTTAGAGGCACCACGACGACCAAACAGCGAGCCAAGCGGCGAGTTAGCGACTGCGGCGTGACACAAACCCCGTTGCGCTAGGCCCAAACACAGCATCGCCTCACAGGAGGAAAAACTCAATTCGCTTCCCCAAGCAAAAAAACCCGCCAGCTCTCCATCCACACACACATCAAACCGGGAGAAGGGCGCGTTTCTCCCGACGCTGCTGCTGCTGTTGTTGTTGTTGTTTTATAAGCGCGCGAACAGAGACCGCAGATGCCTCACCGGGCGGACTTGCTGTGCCTGCGCGCCGCCATCTTGGGTAGGGGGGTGGTGAAGCGAGGGTGGGGGGGGTGGCGTCACGTGGTGTCTGATGTGTGCCGCTCTTATTGGCCGCTCAGGCGAGTGACGCCGTGGTAGCCACGCCTCCTTCCTCCTCCTCCCCCCCCTCCTCCCCCCCCCTCCTCCCCCCCTCCTCCCCCCCCTCCTTCCCCCCCTCCTCCCCCCCCTCCTCCCCCCCCTCCTCCTCTCCTCCCCTCTCCACCCCCCTCCTCCCCCCTCCTCTCCCCCTCCACCCCCTCCTCCCCCTCCTCTCCCCCTCCTCCCCCCTTCCCCCTCTTCCTCCTCCCCCCTCTTCCTCCTCCCCCCCCTCCACCCCCTCCTATCCCCTCCTCCCCCCTCCTCCTCCCTCCCCCCTCCTCCTCCCCCCCTCCATCCCCCTCCTCCCCCCCTCCATCCCCCTCCACCCCCCTCCACCTCCCTGCTTCCCCCCTCCTCCCCCCTCCTTCCCCCTCCTCCTCTCCTCCTCCCTCCCCCCTCCTCCTCCCCCCCTCCATCCCCCTCCACCCCCCTCCACCTCCCTGCTTCCCCCCTCCTCCCCCCTCCTCTCCCCCTCCTTCCCCCTCCTCCTCTCCTCCTCCCTCCCCCCTCCTCCTCCCCCCCTCCACCCCTCTACCCCCCTCCACCTCCCTCCTTCCCCAACCCTCCACCCCTCCTCCCCCCTCCTCATCTCCCACTCCCTCCTCCTCCCCCCCTCCACCTCCCTCCTTCCCCCCTCCACCTCCCCGCTCCATGCTCCGCACTGTTAAAGCCTCTGATGTTTTCGCGGAAGTTTGCAGGTAGGGGGCAAAGAAAGTTTCTTTATCGGCGTTATTCTTTTAAATCACACGTTTAATTGTTTTTACAAAGGAAAGCATATAGTAATTTTTTTACACGTTTGGATATTTACGTTTTCACGAACAAATGTTTAAAAAGGCCAAAATTCGCATCTTAACTCGGTTAGTTGAGCGGCATTCTTTCGGTCACGAGATCAAAATCCTGAAGGTCAATGAGGCCCCTCCCCCCCATCATCATCACCATCAAAGACGACCATCAACGATCACCGTCAATGATCATCGTCCCATCAGCGTGGGGAAATGTTCCACACGTTGCGAAATTGAACCACTTGGTAAACAAGTAGCGACAGTATTTCTAGATTTGAAGCTTTCGTGACTGCAAGGATTCATATTCTTAGGTTTTTTCGGTAAAGTCACGTAGGTAAAACATCAAAATTAATAAAAGTAAAATAAAATAAAAATCACGATGTTTCGGAAGCAACACAAGTCTCCGTCATCAGGTGGGACCGTCACAGCCAGATTTGCTGCATCAAGTGAGGCAATGATTCAAGATGTAATCCCTTAAAAGTAAGTTGAGGGGGGAGGAGAGGGGGGGGGGAGCTCATCAGAATGTGGTAGCCAATTTTAATGTTTTACCTACGTGACTTTACCGAAAAAAACCTAAGAATAAGTAGCGACAGCTTACCCTGTTGTTGACAAACACTGCCCAGCCGCCGTGGAAGCATTGAATTCCCACCACTGGCTGAGCACCCCCCCCCCCCCCACGTCAATCCACTACTGGATGAGCGCCTCCCAACGCCATGGGGGGTCGTCTGGCTTATTAGGCCACAACTCACGTTGCGTCGTCAGTGCTGGTTGTCCAAGGGCGGGCAGCGTTCAGACGCGACAGCCACCGAAGCAGTGCAGGACAAGAATGGATTATCCTGCACTGCCGTCTGCAGGACCCACCTCCAACGGAGCACGGCTCCACGGCGCGTCTCCTGACAGCCGTCCCAGGCGCAGGCTCTCACCTGCTTAGCTTTCGAGATCCGCCTGCGTCTGGCGTCATCTCCCGGCAGATTTGGTCGACGTGAGATCGTCGGCAGCGTCCCCAGAAGTGACCCAGAGGGGTGCCAGGGGGCCAGGGGGCAGCAGCAGCAGCAGCGCGCGGGGACTGTGCGCACAGAGCGGACCTCGAGAGGAATCACGTGTAGACGTCGAGCCAACAAAAAACAACATTGCCGACGCTTCAAAAAGCAGCGGTTTTACTGATTTATTTATCAAATAGAGGAGTGGGGAAAGAGAGACACGGTGGCACGGATGGTACACGTGGTTTGGGAAAGTAAACGATACCCCCTCCCCCACCCCAAATATAAATGCCGTTCTGCCACACGAGGTCTCCTCCACCGCGTTAGAGAGCGTTGTCTGCAGAGCCGGTTGTGGTGCGTGGGACGCGGTAAATCCCAGCCCACGCTCTCTCTCTCTGGCAGCGAGGCGGGTTTGGGGGTGTGGGGAACAGTCGGTCGCAGACGAGCTCATGCTCGGAGACAAGTTGCGAAGGCGACAAATGGGGGGGGGGGGGGCGCGCGGAGTCGCTCTGCTGCCGGCGCCACGCGAGGTCGTCGTCAAACTTTCACGGCACGAGGCGAGCGCGCAGAGTCCACATCTGCTCATGACTCCGGTAACGTCACGGACCGTCTGACAAACCCTCCCCCCCGGCCCCCTCGTCGGCTCAAAATGAAGCGACGAGAACACAACTCCTCCGCCACGGGTGCCGTCCTCTCGCCGGCATCACCGCCTTCGTTCGAACTCAATCCCGTCTCCGTTCGCTTCGTGAACAACACCGTTGTCTAGCCACTCGGGTTTCGGTCGTGTACCCCCCCCCCCCTCCCACTACGACTGCGATTTCGATTCCACGATTGCAAGGATAGGGTCCAGGACACAATTGGACGTCAATAACAGAAGATGGCAGCGAAGCGTTGAGAGGTTTAACCGGAAAGCGGAGGTTTGTGTTGGTGGGTGGCGCACGTGGGCAGGGTGGCGCACGTGGGCAGGGTGGAGCACGTGGGCAGGGTGGAGCACGTGGGCAGGGTGGAGCACGTGGGCAGGGTGGCGCAGGGCGGCAGATTACAGAGACGCGGGCATTGGGAGTGGCAAACCCAGAAGTTGGCGACCAGAGAGGGAGGGGGGTGTGTACAACACGACTCACAGCCTCAACACGAGCCCACAGACACTCTAAGAATCCCCACAGACACGATACAGTATGCAGGGGTCTGGAATCGTAGGGGAAAATAACTGCTTCGTATTGTTGCTGTTTTGTTTCTGCAGGCCCAAGGTGTCTCCGAATAGTGAGAAAGAACGTGTTCAGATAATTCGACTCGTAGGAAATCGGAGTCGGGGGGGGGGGGTCGCTGTTGAATTTAACAGACTGCATCCAGACCGCGAGCCAATAACAGAGCTGTGGTTTTCCTACGATTCCAGACTTAAGAGTCCCCACAGCTCCGTTCATAAAGAATCGTGTACCGACAATGTCACGGAACGCGCGGTGGGATCCGATCCATGTTGGTCTACCGAGCCCGGCACGTGGAAGTTAACTTTAAAACCCATAACGGTGGCGCATTCGCAAACACGCGATGACCAGCCTGAAGCAGATTCACAGTGGTGGCGAGAGGTTATCTGCCTCCCCTGATATGTAGGAGGTCGTGGGTTCCACCCAGACCCTGACGCCTGCTGCTGTATATTTGGAGTTTGCGTGTCTCTCTTTCTCATCATCATCACGGTGGCTAGATGTTAACTACCTCGTCTGGTGTACAGGAGGTCGTGGGTTCCACCCCGACCCTGACGCCTGCTGCTGTATATTTGGAGTTTGCGTGTCTCTCTTTCTCATCATCATCACGGTGGCTAGGAGATGTTAACTACCTCGTCTGGTGTACAGGAGGTCGTGGGTTCCACCCCGACCCTGACGCCTGCTGCTGTATATTTGGAGTTTGCGTGTCTCTCTTTCTCATCATCATCACGGTGGCTAGGAGATGTTAACTACCTCGTCTGGTGTACAGGAGGTCGTGGGTTCCACCCCGATCCTGACGCCTGCTGCTGTATATTTGGAGTTTGCGTGTCTCTCTTTCTCATCATCATCACGGTCGCTAGATGTTAACTACCTCGCCTGGTGTACAGGAGGTCGTGGGTTCCACCCCGATCCTGACGCCTGCTGCTGTATATTTGGAGTTTGCGTGTCTTTCTCTCATCATCACGGTGTCTAGATGTTAACTACCTCGCCTGGTGTACATGGAGGTCGTGGGTTCCACCCCGACCCTAACGCCTGCTGCTGTATATTTGGAGTTTGCGTGTCTCTCTTCCCGTGGTCGCGTGGACTTTTTCTCCGGGTCATCCGGGGTTTTTCTCTCCACATTTAGAATCGACGTCAAGCGATCAAGGGTATTTGGCTACTGTTGCTATGAACTTCCACGTGATGATGACGAGACACTTCCGTTGGGCTATCACTTGGGACCAGGTCGCTTCTTAAAGTTAGCCATGTAGCTCAGTGGGCCTTAACCGGGTAAAAAAATCATAATAGTTTAAAATAGTTTAATAACCCCCCCCCCTCCCCCGACACGCGCGTATGTCTACCAGTGGATTGACAACAGCGCAGGACACACAACGGTGGCTGACCGGGGGTCCCCAGGAGGCGAAATCGCACTTCTCGACCCCAAGACACAGGTTGTGACTCTGCCGTGTCGTCTTCGTCGATCGACACTTAAACAAAACAAAAAAACCTAACACAGCCAAAACCTTGTCGCGAAGTTCCCCGTACCCAGCATGCCGTCTTCCAACAGCGCCGAGTCGGCACTCACCGACAAAATAACGACGTTGATCCCTGAATTCACTTGGTTCCCACGACTACCATTCGATGGTTTGGCTGGTCCCACGAAAAGGAATTTGACACGGACGTCTCACCGCTGCGCCCACCAATTCTACTGCGGGGTCGCGCCTTCTTCCCGACAGGGGCCGCCGCGCTGTGCAATGGTCGGCACGCTGGACGTGTGGTCCAATCCAGAGGTCACCGGGTTCAATCGAATCAATTCATCTCACGGCACAGGAGTTAAAACAATAAGCGCGTTCTGCAAATCGCCCCCCTCCCCCAGCCACCCCCGCCCCCTACCCGGCTTGTCCAGCCGGCAGCAGAAATGGGCACATCGCATTCAGTCGATCGGGAAAGAAGGTCGCGTGTGGTGCCACCTGTGCCAAGCCGTGTGACCGGTGTGGCAGAGTAGGGCACCCCCCTCCCTCTCGAGAGGGACTGTCATCTGGAGGCCCTTCTGCAGGCAGCGGTGCAAGCAAGCCTATTGAAGGCTGCACCTTCTTCCCGAACGGTCAGTCGGTTGATTGATCAGTTGTTCAATCGATCGGTCAATCGATCGGTCAATCAATCGATTGGTCGGTCAATCGATCGGTCGGCCAAAAGTCCCGTCCCACTGCATGCACGCAGAATGGTGGGCAGAGGAGCAGAAAAGCGCGTCGCACCAAACGAAGCTTTGTACAAGCAGCAGCAGCAGCAATGACGATTCAGCTGCACGCAACAATCACTAAAACTACATTGGGGGATGTTTCTTTTCTTTTAAGCACATGCCGTTAATCACCGCGGTACCAAAAAAAACCACATTGTTTAAAAAAATAATACCAATTAAAAACGTTAAAAGAGGAATTCCATTCTTTTAGAAAAAACAACATTCATCGTAATTGTAACAATAACGTGTCGTCGACGAGAGGGAGTTTTGTAATGCTTCGCTTCGGAGGAAACGTTCGGCCATAGCGCCGCACAGAAGCGGTGGCCGCTCCTCGGCAAGACCCTGGGGAGGAGGAGTCATCGCGCGCGACACCCCGGGGCGCGCGACACCCCGGGGAGCGCGACACCCCGGGGAGCGCGACACCCCGGGGCGCGCGACACCCCGGGGGCGCGCGACACCCCGGGGCGCGCGACACCCGTGGGGCGCGCGCCGCCTCGCGCTGTCCGCACGCAGCAGCAGCAGCATTGGCAGTGGAGCTGGGCGGATTGGCCGCTGCAAAATTGCAAATCGACTCTTGGTCGATTTTTAGGGCCACTTTATAAATGGCTGCCGCTGCTGCCGCTGCTGCCGCCCCCCCCCCCCTTCACATTGTTTCCTGAAACCCTTCCCCCCGCCCATCACCTCCCGTCCAGCGGCACACATGGAAGCAGAGGTTATCCCCCCCGCCCCCTCCCCAATAATTTCACGCGATCCTGTGTCAAGTACTCGAACCGATGATTAGAGATCGATCGATTGGATGCTGCCGGGGTTAGCAAACTGGGCGCGCAATCCACGGAGGCCGTCGATTAGAATTCCAGGTGTGCGCCTCTGTCCTGCCAGCGGTATCAATGTGTGCACCAGACAGGCGATCGGCAGGCCGTGTGTGGCAGAGTAGAGATTGGGGACTGCCCCACTTCTTCAAAAGTCGAGGCGAACGTGGCAGAGCAGGCCAAAACAATCATCGAGAGCAGCGGTTCTGAAACTTTTGTTCGCGACTTTACCCCACCTTGTTGAATTGTCTCAACTGAGTAAGCCCCCCCCACCCGCCTTGCCTGACCCAACATGGTTCTGAGAAATAAATGTACGAATAAGGAACATCAATATTTTAACAAATTTTCCATTTTTTTTATGTATCCCTAACTAGCTGCTAGAAACTGCACGGGTGATGAAATTAGTTGGCGCTCGCTGGCTACTCCTGGAAACCAACACCGTCTACGATAAACCGAGTTTAGAAAGTTATTCTACATCGTTGTAGGTTACCGTGTGGATTTAAATTGTATCGTAGTTACTTTATAGTGGCAGATTCATACATCATGACTCTCACGTACGATATAACTTCACACATTTATAAATCGTCTCACGTAACCCCCCCCTCCTCACCCGGTTGAGAACCACTGCCCTGGAGGGTCTCTCCTGGGCTTCCCCCAGTGGGAAGCCGTCCCTGCAGGGGCCGCGAGTTTCATCGATTTGACTCGAATGATCGGAGAGCCGAGCGGCTGCACCACAGCAAGAGAGGGGGGGGGGGGGGGCATGAGGAGGTGTACGTCGTACTGCCTCGCGGCGACCCTCACGGATATTCGGTCACGGGTGGAACACGGGCAAAAGGGGCCGTTCGTTGCCGACGCTGCGAATTCCAAAATCCTGAAAGTTGAATGGGGGGGGGGGGGGCTACAAAGTCGCGGTAGGGTTATGGGTGGGGTTATACGCAAGTACGTTGAACTTCTTTCGCACCGTACATAGCCAAAGCGTGATAATCGGAGGTGTGGGTGGGACAACTAAACGAAAAATGCAGTTCTAAAGAATTGAGTTTTCAATCCAGATGATTTAAAAGCGCATAGCTCCGATGGCTCGGAGTCGGTGGCAAGGATACTACTGCCGCGGCGAGGGAATGGCCGACTATTCGGTTGACGTTCGTCTTGGCCCCAATGGTCTACGAGAAGCACAGCACTCGTGGCCGGGCTAGTTTGTCAGGATCAATGCTTGGGCTCGTATTAATGTCTTGGTTGGCTATTTAGTTCGACTTCAGCCAGTGCAAGAGCTAGTTAAGTGGCCGGATGGTTAAGAGACTCATGGTTTGCTACTTGTTAGCACCAAAGATAGGAATGGTACCGGCGACTGGTTTGTGAGATGGTTAGAGTCACAGCGAGGACTACTACGCGCGGCTGGGTGGCTCGTTGGTTAGGGTGAGTGGTAGCACGAGTACTTGTGGCTGGTTAGCCAGATGGGGTCACAGCCAGGGCTGGTACGAGTGGCTGGGTGGCCAGCTGGGTTAGTGTTCAGACGTCAGGCCAAAGTTTGCTTCGTCTGTCCCTCCTCCCCATTGCAACAATGTCGAGCCGTTCCAGTTTTTGGCCGCGTAAATCGTTTACGGGATTTGGAGCTTCTCACCCCCCCCCCCCCCACTGCCTCCTTCAGCACTTGACACACGAGCGCTACGAAAGGGAACGCCGTAGCCGCCACCGGAACGGCAACGGCGCGACCGCCACCACCGACAGACAAGGAGCCCGGTCGCCTGTACACATCCGCAACCCGAACGCGACTATTTAACACCTCGCACACACGCGCAAGCGGACGCACGCGCACACTCGCGCACGTGGACACGGGGAGGGGCTAAGGGGGAGTGTGAAGGAAGACGGCAGGCGTGTAACGATGCAACGATTCGCCGATTCAGAGATTCAAACGCTCGCGATAACATGCATGGAACCGCGCGAGAATCGGTCATTTGCGACTCGCGCAAATCATATGTACGTTTAGGAGGACGACGTGACGAGACAGACCACACGAACGACAGGCGAGAACGAGACGGGATGGGACCGTACGAACGAGGCGGCGGCAATGTAATTAAGATGATATAGAGTACGAGAGAATGGGATGCCGTGTCCGTGGCAGAATGGCATCTCGTGCACGAGACGGAAGAAATGAGAAGGAACATCCAAGAGGCCATAGAAATTCAGACAAGAAGGTAGAAATGAGACGGAGCGTACGGAGACAGGCAAAACAAAGCTTGCGGCACACACGCGCCGAACGGTACAAGACAGACGGTACAGACATGGTGCAAGCAAAAGAAAATACAATGGATTCTTGAAACGAACATTGACCCTCAAATCACGACAAATCCATCCGATGGGTGGGAGGGGGGTGAGCTGGTGTCAACGTGTACAGGAGGGGACACGGTGAAATGTACTTTTGCTTCCGGTAGAAACCGGCACGTGCAGCGCTGCGGCCTCGCACTCCGCAGGGCACGTTCAATAAAATTTGATTCAACATTTGTTTTTAACAACGCACAGACGGGGGGGGGGCAGGGTGGAGTGGAGGGAGGGAGGGGGTAGGGTCGTCGATTGGGCCAGCACCACTTGTGTGAGTGTATGGGAGGCGTGAAGTGAGTTGGGGAGATTGGGGGTCGTGTGTGTGTGGGGGGCGGGGTGGTGGGGGGCAGGAGTTGGGGGAGGGGGGGGACGGTGTGTGTGGGTGTTGGGGCGGTCCCCGGGGTTGAGGGGACGCAGGGGTCAGCTCGTGCCGCGGCGCGTCGAGGAGTCCGGGTGCGGTGGAGAGGTAAGGTTCCGCCGGCGGGTGTCGGTGTCGTCGTCGTCGTCCGTGGTAAGGCCGTTACCACGTGTCGTCCATATCCACGGGACCCTGCCGGGAGGCGCACACGGAAACGCGGCCGTAGTAAATAAAGAAATATAATGACTACCGCAGAGACGCTCACCGCCGGCGTGTCGGGGCGTGCCGCTCCCTAGCCGCGCACAACTCCGCGGTCTCGGTGACGGCGGGTCCACGCCCGAGCGATCGGGCGCGCCGCTCCGTTGCTCGCAGGAGAGAGACGGACTTGGCTTACGGCGGCGGCGGCAAATCGTCGCCAACCCCCCCCCCACCCCCAGGCCGGGAAAATTTGGCAGGACCCTCCTGAAAAAAGTCTTGAGACTCGCCGAGGCTTTCCGAGGTAAACGAAGTGCGCTGTTACGATGATGGGCATTACGATTGTCTTCCTTACCAGCTCCTCCTCCTTGTATGGGTTGAGCCGGTTGTACGCCGCTTCGATCACTCCGCGCCTGCCAAACAAAACACAAGCATCGGCATGAACCGGGGCGACAAGCTCACGAGCGGCCGTGAGGTCGGGAACGCGCTCAGGGGTTAGAGAACAACGCTGCAGAGCCGTATGACCCACGAAGCGACATCACAGAGCTATATCACCACAAACGCGAGGGCGTGTGTGTGGCGTGTGTGTGGCGTGTGTGTGGCGTGTGTGTGGCGTGTGTGTGGCGTGTGTGTGGCGTACGTTAGCGATAGTGCGCAGTGGTGGGCGCACTGCACTACGAACCCGGCGACCCGAGTTCGATATCAGCTCAAGGCCAAAATCGGTGGCGAATATCTAAATCGGTCGCGGTGGTGAGATGTTAACTACCTTGTCTGGTATGCAGGAGGTCGTGGGTTCGATGCCGACCCTGACGCCTGTATGTTTTGAAATGTGCGTGTTCTTCCCGCTGTCGCGTGGATTTTTCTCCGGGTCCTCCGGTTTTTCCCTCCTCATTTAGGGTCAACGTCACGCGTTTAGATAATTTGGCTGCTATAAATGTCCACGTGATAAGCCAACTTCGTTGAGCTTTCATTTGTGATGACCAGGTCGCTTCCTACATAGCTCAGTGGGCCTCACCCGGTAAAGCAAAAATTAGCTGAGTTTAGTTTTAGTTTAGTCCTGGGCCTCCCCTAGGTCGACTCGGGCTTAAACGAGTAGCCGGTGCGGCGTGTAAAACAACAGCGCAGGGGAGCGACAGATGTGGTGGCCTGCGCATGGTGCTGGCCACACCACCCCTGGCATTCACAGATACCCGCTACCGGCACTTGACTCAAGAAGCCTAGAGGCTACACGGGGTCGGGGGGAGATCTTTGCCTTTATTTTTGTCGGGGAGGAGGGGGGGGAAATCACATTTCTCAATAACACTGTGGGGCCTTCAAAAATAAGAAATACATAACACGCGACGTTTCGAACAATGTCCCTTTTTCAGTGCACATTCATTCACGCACTGCCAAGCGCAGCTCGATGACAAATTAACGTGTTTAATTGTTGTTGTTGTTGTTGCGTGACTGTGTGTGTGGGCAGAAAGGCCGCCCGCCCCACCCCCGCGCCCCCCTCACTTGCTGGCGAGCCCCCCGCCGGGCGGGAGGTTGGGGATTGGCTCAGTGGCCATGGTCCTCATGACGTAGAGGAGGTCGGGCATCCCCTCCATGCCGTGCTTCTCCAGGATCTCTGCTCCACAACAAACACAAAGGTCCCGCCACCCCACCCCCACACACACCGTATTGCCTTAACAGACTGTTGAGGCAAGTGCCGTTAGCCAGCACCTACGTACGTATGTTGAATTTCTTTCACACCGTACGTAGCCGACTGTGCTAATCGGAGGTGCGGGGGAAAGACAACATACGTACATGAAGCAGCTTTCAATCTATATAGGCCGGCACAGCACCACGCCCGGCCGCCTTTGTCTTCCTGAGTGGCAATATTTACACAATGCACCAGGTAATCATTTGAGGCCGAGTCAACCTCGGGGACATACACACACGTGCGTGCACGCTCGCACATGTACACACGCACACAACGCATGCGCCTCGTTTGTACCGTCTCATTTGTTCAGTCCCTGTTCCTCGTATGGAGCCGATGGGCCTCATTTGTTCCGTCTCGCCCGTGTTCCCGTTACAAACCAGAATAACGAAAGCGCTCTCTCAATCTTGGTGCGCGACGAAAATATTCGATTCTTGAGCGCACACTTCCGCCAGATCGACCGAGCGAATGAATCGTCACGGACCTCCAAGTCATCGCCAATTTACATTAAAAAAGCACAACCGCTTGCCGCCGCCGCCGCCACCACTGTCCGGTTCCCACCCAGCATGCCGTGCGGCTCACGCTGACCTTCCCCACCCCCCCCGCAACCCTCGCTCGCCCACTGACCTTCGACTTTCGCCTCCAGGTAAGCGTCGAGTTCCGCCTCGCGCTTGATGGCCTCGGGGCAGGGCTTGGGCGCGCCGGGGAACGTGACCAGCACGACGCTCATGTTGTCCCGGCTCCCCTGGTGGGGGGAGGGTCACACAACAACACACGTTCATTCATTCCTCCACATTCATTCGTTCGTTCGTCACCGCCAAATTCATTGGTGCACACACACAGGCCTTCTGTCAATCCACTGCTGGATGAAGGCCCTCCCCTACTCGGTCGGAGAACGCGACGGGCGAGACTCTCAACGACGTCTCGGCCCCTCACTTAATCCTGCGTCAACCTTCGGAAGTCCCGGCACCGGTTCAGATAATTAATCGTTACCGGTGTTGGTGGCTGTGAGCGGGAATCGAACTCGGGTCACCGGGTTCGTAGCGCAGCACGTTAACTGCTACGACTTTCACTCCCCACACCCACAAAAACAAAGATCCTCCGCATAGCCTCAACAGATTGTTTGAGCAAGTGCCTTTAGCGAGTAGCACCGATGAAGGATCGGTACACAAGGGGTTGAGTGGCCAACACCACGCCCGGCCGCCTTTGTCTCCCGAGTCGACCTAGGGGAGGCCCAGGACCGGTTCAGATAATCGTCACCTGTGTTGGCCATGAGCGGGAATCGAACTCGGGTTACCAGGTTGGTAGCGCGGGTCGCTAACCACCGCACCACCGCTCCCCACACGCAAAATACAACAACAACAACCGCCATTCGCCACTAAGTGGCGGTGACGTCACCACGACGCTTGTGCCAGGCAAAACACACACACGCTCACCTTGTAGAGGCACGTGTCGAGCACGTGGTTGCACACGGCCTCCAGGTCGTCGGTGAGCAGCAGGCGCGAGCGCACGAAGGCGCACAGCTCCTCGTTGCCTACCACGTCCCAGACGCCGTCGCAGGCGAGCACCACGAACTCGTCGAGGGCGCCGTCGCGCTCCAGCGCGTACACCTCGGGCTCGGGCGACACCAGCTGCTCGGTGGGTCCCTTGCCGTCGACGCACTTGTAGTCGAAGTCGCCGAGCGCGCGCGACACGGCCAGCGAGCCGTTGACGCGCTGGATCATGACGCTGCCGCCGGCGTTCTGGATGCGCTCCTTCTCGCGCGGGTTGCACGGCTTGTGGTCCTCGGTGGAGAGGTGGACGCGCCCGCCCCGGCTCAGCACGCCGCGCGAGTCGCCGCAGTTGATGAAGTAGAGGCGGCGCGGCGACGCCAGCAGCGCCACGGCCGTGGAGCCGCTGCGGTCCGTGCCGTTGCGCAGCTCCGAGAAGGCGCGCATGCGCTCGTCGATCTGCAGGAAGCCCGTGCGGATCCCCGTCTTCACGCTCGACACGGACAGCTCGTCCGACGGGGCAGGGCCGGACGCGGGGCCCAGGTCGGGGCCCGCCGGAGATTTTGTCTTCGGCTCCGCGTTGTTGCCCGCCAGCTCGTTCTCGCCGTCCTCCTCGTCCTCCTCGTTCTTCCGGTTGTCCGTCTGCGGTTTCTTGCCTCCCGGGCCGGTGACTTCCACAGAGTCGCCTGTGGGCGCGAAAAAGAGAGGTGCGAGTGAGGTCAGCGGCTTTTCATCTGCGTGGTTCCCCCCCCCCGACCGTAAATGTGTCACTGGTCTACTGTATGACAATGAAGAGGGGTAGGAGATAGTCAGCAGTGGGTCACGATGAATTTATTTAATTGTGGCCGGCTACCAGGAGCAAGAATGATTGTTACCGTCGACGTCATGAACCGTCGGCGGTCGGTTGTCGATTAATTAATCATTTCGCAGGAGGTACAGTACCGGCAAGAGTAAACACGTCTCCACGCACGGTGAATTAATTAATCTGATCGCGGGAGGAGGCCGAGCATGGCCAGGCGTAAACGACGCTTCGACGCGCAAGCGAGCGACGGGCCGTTCGCTCGCGATCAACAAAACAACAAAGACCCCCCCATTATAGCCTGCAACAGACTGTTGGGGCAAGTGCTGTTAGCGAGTAGCACCTATGAAGGCCGGTACGGCACACGAGGGAGTGGGTGGCCAGCACTACTCCCGACCGCTTTTGCCCCCCAAGCGGCGATGTTAACACACCGCACCAGGTTCTCGTTTGAGGCTGAGTCGACCTAGGGGAGGCCCAGAACCGATTCAGATAAAAGTCGTCATTGGTGTTGGCCGCGAGCGGGATTCGAACGTGGGTCGCCGGGCTCACTACACCACCGCTCCCCACACCAAGTTGACACCAATAACAACAACACGCCACGCGCCACACGAACAGCAACGGCCAGCCGTCACCTCTGAAGTCGGCGTTGCAGGTGATGTGGTCGAGCAGGTGCTGCGAGCAGTAGGTGGCGACGCGCGAGCCAGCGTGCCCGTCGTAGACGGCGAAGAAGGACCAGTGGTCGAGGCCGTACGGCAGGCCCACGGTGGCCGTGTGCGCGTCCTCCATCTCCACGCGCCAGCCCTGCATGCTGCTCAGCGCGTACTTGAGACCGTTGCCCGCGCCGCGGTCCGTGTGCTTCTCCATCTTGGGCTTGTCCAGGAAGGCGCCCATCGCGCCGGTGCGCGGAGCCGTGCGGCCACTCGGCCGCTGTGGAAAGTTAAAATCGTTGTTATCACGGTCGTAGTCGTCGTTCACGGTCGTCACCACCGGTCGCTATCGTCACCGTTATCGTTACAATCGCCAGCACCGCTTCACGAGAGGAAAGGAAATGTTCGCAGCTCGTTAGAGAACGGCCTCGAATGGATAGGACAGAACCTGCACGCTGTGCGTACTCATTACTATTCCTGCGTGGGTTTTCGCACGGGTCTCTCTCTCGCTGTCCGTGCCACGCGCCGTTCGCCGTGATCAGGGATCGGCAACCAAAATACCAAGGAGCAGCCATTTTTTTGTCAACTCAATATTTTTTATTCAAGTTGCAGGTGCATCTTGTTATCCAGGCCACAAACGTAGCGCCGTTGAGCATTGAACCGGGCCTGTCTCGTGTTGTAAAGCTCTTGCAAATCACATCTGGTCATAACACGGCATTGGTTGAACAAGCCTGACTTGACGAGCTCCTGATGGGGGAAAAAGTGGTCCAGGGTTTGCTTGCTTAAACATATTTCCGCTTGATGACATTGGGTCTGGAAATCCAATAGGCTGGTGGGCTAAAAAAAATTCACGTACATATATGGAGGCAAAGAAAGAGAGTTCTGCGTATATCTCCTCTTACTTACAATGCAGTAGATGAGTGTGTGTGTCTGCAGTAGTGTAGAGGTTAGCGCGCTGCGCTATGAACCCGGCGACCCGAGTTCAATTCCCGCTCACGGCCAACACTGGTGACGATTATTTGAACCTATCCTGGGCCTCCCCTAGGTCGACTCGGCCTCAAATGAGTACCCGGTGAGGTGTGTGGCAAACATCGCAACTAGGGAAACAAAGGCGGCCGGGCGTGGTGCTGGCCACCCACCCCCTCGTGCGCCGTGTCGGCCTTCATAGGTGCTCGCTAACAGCACTTGCCCTGACAATCTTTTAAAGGCTATACGGGGGATATTTGTCTCTGTTTGTATCACCAGATTTGCATAACGTTACTGAAAACCAGGCATCGGTTTGAGGTGTGTCTTATTCTTCGTCGGGGTCTTAAGATCCAAAGAACACGGTAGTGGTGGCCCGTTGGTTTTGTAACCCACCGACTGTTGAAAGGGTGAGGCTTTACACCACCGGGTCAACAAATCAATTATTACATTACCGCCATTACTTGTCAGCGGAGTGGCACCGCGGTTAAGGCACTTGTCAGACGGTTGAGAGTTCAACTTCAGGTCGAGGTGGGGCGGGCAGGGGGGTTAAAGTCAGCCCCGTCATTCCTCTGACGTCAAACAAAGTAGTGGGGGTACTGTCCAACAGTGAGCGGCCAATGTGGACACGGGCCCTCGCCGCGGGAACGTGGAATTTGCACCACTGGCCGACGGAAGTAAGAAGTAGATGTAGATGCCACCCCACTGCGGCTACACAATAGCTCGGTGGAGGCCTTATCCGGTAAAATTAAAAATAGTTTGATAATTGGTTTTTTTACCCTTCTATCTGGCAACAAAACTGACACCTTTTTTTGTTACAAGGAGTCATGTTTGCATAGACCACAATACCTGCAGTCGAAATGCAAACAAAAAACATAACTCTGATAATGTTGCCAGATAGAAGGGTAAAAAAACAATTATCATATTTTTTACTGGCAAATGAGGTTCCAATGGTGTAAAACATAGTGTGTTTCTAGCCTTAGTTTTAGTTAACAATTTTTAAATGTTAAAAAACTATAGGTTATTAGGAAGCCACTGGAGCGATGCACTTGTAAATGATCTAGATTGAAACTCGTTTCTTTGGAACTGATTTTTTGTGTTTAGTTTGTTGTTCTTCCGCACGCTCCTCCGTTTAGCCACGGTTGGCTACGTACGGTGTGCGAAAGAAGTTCTATATACACGTCTGAGCGAGAAGAAACTTTATCTTGATTTTATGAGCTCGGTTGTGATTTCATGAGCTCACCTCCTTGTGTACGTTACAACAGTCGTACTTTTGATTCTGTCACGAGCAAAAGTGGACAAATATATGATGTCGCTGACACGAGCGTTACCATCAAGAGTATGTCAGGAGGTCGAAATTAAACCTTCGTTCACCAGAGTTCCTATGGAGTAAGAACTCGGACCATAGCGTTAGTTTTGTTATCTTCATAAACGTCGTTGCAAATGTGTGTCAAAGATTATAAAAACTAAACTATTTTTATTTCACCAGGTGAGGCCCACTGAGCTATATAGCTCTTTGTCAGAAGCGACCTGGCAATCACAAATGATAGCTCAACGAAGTGGCTTATCATCACGTGAAAATGTATAGCAGCCAAATACTCTGAACACGTGATGTTGATTCTAAATTTATGGAAAAACCAGAAGACCCGGATAAAAATCCACACGACCACGGGGAGAACATGCAAACTCCATAAATACGGCAAGCGTCAGGGTCGGGATCGAACCCACAACCTCCTGTATGCCAGGCGAGGCAGTTAACATTTCCTAGCCACCGTGATGATGATGATGAGAGAGAGACACGCAAACTCCAAATATACAGCAGCAGGCGTCAGGATCGAACCCACGACCTCCTGCATGCCAGGCAAGGTAGTTAACATCTCGCCACTTTGGCGCCCCACCAAAGCCAGCCCGGCCACACCCAAAATAAGCGTGACCACATCACAGCAACATGCCATTCCACCCGCTGGCTCCCATTCCAATCCCAGATAAATCGCCAACGTGGCTAGGAGATGTTAACTACCTCGCCTGGTGTGCAGGAGGTCAGGGATTCGATCCCGACCCGGACGCCTGCTGCTGTATATTTGGAGTTGGCGTGGATTTTTTTTCTCTCCGGGTCCTCTGGGTTTTCTCTCCAAATTTAGAATCAAACACGCGTTTAGATAAAACTTTCTGCTATAAATTTCCACATTATTTCTTTACCTTTCCTATACTTTGCACGCCTATCCTGCTGTTTGTATTGTTTGTTGTTGTAAGGTTCTGACCTGACCCTACTGGACATTTGTGAAAAAGAGTTTAATAGCTCATCGGATTCCTCCAGAAAAAATATTCTGATTCTGTCTTCAGGAACCTGCACGGACTCGCCCCTGCCTACCCCCTTCGCCCCCTTGTCTCGACTCTACTCCCGTCCACACTCTCTCCTCCCCCAACCTCTATCCTCTCATCTCACTCCAATCCCCTCCTCCATGCACTCTTTGCACCAGCAAACCAAGGATTTTGATTGACACCCCCCAGTAAAACTTCACTCAGTGGCTGGTCGCTCATTGTCATGTAGCCCCCCAATAGCGTGCAACTCCCTTCTCCCAGTCAACCTCGCTGCTAACTTCCTGTGCCTGTTAAAGTCCAGGCTCAAAACCTCCCCCCCCCCCCCCCAGTTCCTATCTTTGCCAATGACTGCCTCTCGACAAAATCAATATTCCCACTGCTTCCCACATCTTCTTGAAATGCAGTCGGACGTCGACGCTATGTAAACCTAGGTGGTTCATGACTGTTTTTCGTGACGTATGTGTGCGTCATTGGAGCGTAATCGGAAGAACCTCTTTTTTAATTGAAAAACGTTATTGGTGCCGAGGCTCCCACAAGGCCGTGCAAGAGGGCGCATGGCACAGTTTGGCGCCCCAGCTATCGTAGAGTGGCGATCGTGTCGCAACGGTTCCTTGCGGTGAGTGCAATGTATTTAAAAAAACAACGGCGCACCACGCTCGTACGACACCTGAAATAAGTTACCATGGTGAGGAGTCGGGAGACATGGACCGAGGATGGGGGGCATAACCACTCCGAAATAGACGGAAGCCAGAATCGGAGGGGGTGGAAATAAAAATTGCTCGTTTAAGTCGCCTCTTATATTTTTATTTTCTTTACGTCAGCTGCGTTGCAGTTATATCCCTTCCCGCTGACTTAAAAAAAGTCACCTTATCCCCTATCAGTGAGACCGCCTTGTATAGTTTGGGGCAGCGAGCCCACTCACCATCTTTCTATCCCCCTACTTTTCATAACCATCACAACGTCACGTATCGGGCCCAAATATTGTCTCAATAAAAAAAACGGCGACACTACGATTCTCCAAGTAAAATTAACGCTGAAACCAGCTCAAGTGTTCTGAGATTCGGCGGTGAACGGGAACACCCACCACCCTGCAACTTGCAGACGGATGGTAAAGAGCCAGTGCTCGTCACCACTGGCTCTTAAACATGTTCGCACTGGCCCTTGACATGACTTGGATGTACGTATGTTGAACTTCTTTCGCACCCTACGTAGGCAACCGTACTGTAATCGTAGGTGCGGGGGGGGGGGGACAACAAGCTAAACGCAAAAAGCAGTAAAGAAATTAGTTTTCAATTTAGATGATTTAAAAGTGCATAGCTCCAGTGGCTTGCTAATATTGTTAAGAAGAGTGTTCCAGACAGCCGTACGTACCCAACCGTGCTAATCGGAGATTTGAGCGTACACACGTTAACACGGCTTAACCGTACGGATAAGCAGTGCCAGTCGGCACTGGCTCTTATTAACATCAATGACAATTAAATTGGTACCACATTGTTCATGCACAACGTACACAAGCTCCTTGATCGTGTGCTTTCACACGGTTCGACTCGTCGCCACCCACCGTGGCCGTCGCCCCAAGGGGCAACCGCCGACACCTCCCAACCCTACCGCCCCCTCGCCCGCAACTTGAAACAAATACAAATTCAGTACGCGTAGAATCACGGCCCTTTTATAAAATCCACTGCTGGATGAAGGCCTACCCACGCCGAGTCGGTTGTTTGACTGTACACCATGTTTAACCTACCCCACAATTCCCACACTTTCGTTCTACATTCCCAACTCCACTGGCTCCCTGTCTGATATCGCCGTCTGTTTAAATGTCTCACTCTAGCCCCATAAATCCCTCCATAGTCTCGCCCCACCTTATCTTGCTTCTCGCGCATCTCACTACCATGCCCCATCCCCATAGTTGTCAACCCATATGGTTTACCCCGTATTCTTCTTGTACATGGAAATTGAGTTTTCAGGTCTGTACAGCGTACAGCCGTTTTAATACGGGTGTTTCTCCCTTTTGATGGGACTTTGTAGAATGAACCTTAATACTTATAAGGGCACGGGTGACCAAGCAGATCTGAATTGGTCTGTAATAAGATAGGCTCTGATAAAGGGAAGACAGGTATGTAGTGGTGAGTACAGGTGGTGAGCGCACAAGTAGTGAGTGTACTTGTGGTTAGCAGAGGTGGGACAAAGTCATTGTTATGCAAGTCCAAGTCGAGTCTGAAGTCATCAAATTCATGACTCGAGTCTGACTCGAGTCCAAGTCACATGACTCGAGTCCACACCTCAGAGGTGGGACAAAGTCATTGTTATGCAAGTCCAAGTCGAGTCTGAAGTCATCAAATTCATGACTCGAGTCTGACTCGAGTCCAAGTCACATGACTCGAGTCCACACCTCTGGTGGTTAGTGTAGTGGTGAGTGTAGTGCTGAGTGTACTAGTGGTGAGTCTAGTAGAGGTGACTGTCTATTTGTTTGTGTTTCTCCCTTGTGATGGGACTTTATAGGATGAACGTTGAGATTCATAAGGGGCACGGGGTGACCAATAAGGTCTGAATGTGGTCTGTAGTAAGGTAGCACACTGATTGGGGGTTGACAGCTCTGGCATTTCATCCTCTACGCTCCCAGTCTCCACTCTCCCTTCCCCCTGCACCCTGTCACGCTTTTCTTCCTTTTCCCTTCTTGCTCCCCTTCACCGGAACAAACTTCCACTGCGTATGAAACGAGCATCTTCACTCGCCTGCTTCGTCTCCCCCCTTAAAATATCTCTTCTCCCAAGCCCATCCTACTCCTGTCACTCCCAGCCCCCCAGCCAACCCCTACCCCCCCAACACCTATCACTAACCCTGTCATTACTCATCACTACCCCTATCATTACCCTTATCGCTAACCCCATCACTACCCCTCTCATAACCTATATCACTACCCGTCTCATTACTCCAATCACTACCCGTCTCATTACTCCAATCACTACCCCTGTCACTAACCCTATCACTACCCCTGTCACTAACCCTATCACTACCACTGTCGCTACCCCTGTAACTAACCCCTGCAACTAACCCCTATCACTACCCCAACCCCTCATTAACCACTCCCATCTGTCCTCCTATCACCATAACAACACCGCCACTTTGAGTAACCCCACTCTTTATTTTAAACCACTATCATCCTACGTACAATTTCATAATTATTGTAAAGTGCCTTTGACTAAGGCGCTCCACAAATCTACACGCGGACAAATGTTGGGAGCAGAGTACATACAGCGAGATAGATTTTTTCCCACGCTGTCCTCTGCTGCCACCAAAAACGCCCTATCGGGCGTGGTGGTGGTGGTGGCCCATCCACGCTGCTCATCATCTGACATTCAAGACAGCCGCATTCTGGGCCACAGGTGTAGCGGGGACGGCGGCGGGGGGGGAGATGTCAATGCAGTTCAGTAACAAACAATAAACCCGACGTGCCGTGTCACTGCGGCGCAAAAGTACCGTCGCGTGCGGACTTCAACTTTGAAATCGCGCGTAACCTCTCACTAAAGCGCCGTCAAAACTCTCTCTCGTGTGTCGGTGCGGCACAGCGCGGCGTATTCGCCGGCGAGGATACTACAGACAGATGCCCGTGCCCGCTATCTCGCGTCCCCCTCAGACGGAGGCTACAGAACCATCACCCCGTCTCCGTGCTTCGTCTTACTCGTGTGTGGGGTTTGTCGCGGTTTGCCACGGGGCTGCGTACGCACGTTCGGCACGACGGTCCGACGTGCACCTCGCTTCCCCGGGAGCCATGCTCAGTGATTGCGCGGCGACTTGCCCCAAAGTGCCTGGGAGCTTCTATCGGGGCATGCTGGAACTGAAGAGGCGAAACGTCGGACATCGTGCAGGAGCAACAAGACGCGGCGCAACCCGAAAAACTGTCGGGCAGCGACACGTGCGTTGTGCCTTTACTTAATCTGGCCTCTGTGTGCTGTGGAGATGCCCTGTTGCCCGAAACGTCGCGTGACACTCAACGCAGATACGTGCAACTCGCGGGAGATGCGTCAGACTCAACGGAGATGCACGACACGCGTTTGACACACGAGACTACGGCGCCGCGGCCGCACAAAACTCCCGCGAGTCAGACACCGAAGCCTACGCTCTTTCCTAGCGGCCCCTACCGCGATGCCGCGCGCAATCTCCGCCAGCCCGCGGCGTCTAGAGGGGGGGGGGAGATGGGCCTATGGGAAGAGCGGAGCGCGGGAAGCCGTCAAACCGCGGCCGTTCGCCTCCTCACGCCGCTCGGCTGTCCGCGTCGCCGCTGCTCTCACCTGACGAGAGACGAGGGGAGATTCGTTTAATCTGCGGGGTCGGGGCCTCCTCCTCGCGGGGAGGCGCAGGGCGAGGCCGCGCCGCTCAGACCCCCCGCTTCCTTTGGCAGGGCCCCGCGGTGACGTCACCCAGCTAAGCGATGACGTCACTGCGTCGACTTTATTTCGATGACGTCGTTAAACAGATTTTTAAAATTATTATTATTAAGGCGTCATTACACCGACTCTTATTATTATTCAGGCGTCATTATATCGATTTACTTATTACGATGCCGTCATAAAATCTACTTTTTAAAAATTCTGTAACGGTATTGCGAGAGTTTTTATTACGATGACGTCATCGAGTCGGCTGTTTATTGTTATGACGTCATTTCATCGCCGTTTTATTGCGGTGATGACGTAATAACATCGACTTTTATCTAATGATGCCGTCATCTTCTTGGTTCATCTTCTTGGTTCTTTCGGTAAAGTCACGTAGAAGGGAAGTAATAAAATAATAAAAATAAAACATAATAAAACAATTCTCACGACGTTTCGGCCACAACGCAAGCAGCCGTCCTCAGGTGAAAACCAGGTCCGTCGAGGCGACAGAGTCTGAATGAAACAGCACACGAGCTTGGAGCATATATATAAGCTGGGCGCCTTGACAAAGGAATTTGCATATCAAAAGGAATTTAGCATATTGGAAGGACGTAATAAACCATTTCGGATCTTAACTGATTGTGTTCACGTTTACGGTGACTTTCAGACCGCGTTCCACTCACTGGCATAGTGCAGTGTGCAGAGTAATGTATGGTGTCGTAATTGTATAGTAAACATATAGCAGTGTGATACACATTAGGGTGGGTAGAATAATACATAGTGTTATATTAAAATGGATAAGGCAGCAACTGCAGCAGCAGCAGCAAGTGCAGCAGCAGCAGCAACTGCAGCAGCAGCAGCAGAAACTGCAGCAGCAGCAACTGCAGCAGCAGCAGCAGAAACTGCAGCAGCAGCAGAAACTGCAGCAGCAGCAGAAACTGCAGCAGCAGCAGAAACTGCAGCAGCAGCAGAAACTGCAGCAGCAGTAACTGCAGCAGCAGCAGCAGAAACTGCAGCTCCCTTTGATGCTGTTAATCCTGCATAATGCACATGCATATGCAGTACTAATCACATTCCTGCTTTTCCCATAAATATGCTAAATTCCTTTTGATATGCAAATTCCTTTGTCAATGCGCCCAGCTTATATATATGCTCCAAGCTCGTGTGCTGTTTCATTCAGACTCTGTCGCCTCGACGGACCTGGTTTTCACCTGAGGACGGCTGCTTGCGTTGTGGCCGAAACGTCGTGAGAATTGTTTTATTATGTTTTATTTTTATTATTTTATTACTTCCCTTCTACGTGACTTTACCGAAAGAACCAAGAAGATGAATCCCTGCAGTCACGAAAGCTTTAAATCGAAATCTTCTTGGTTCTTTCGGTAAAGTCACGTAGAAGGGAAATAATAAAATAAATAAAATAAAACTTAATAAAAAACAATTATGTTTATTAAGTTTTATTTTATTTATTTTATTATTTCCCTTCTACGTGACTTTACCGAAAGACGTAGAAGGGAAATAATAAAATAAATAAAATAAAACTTAATAAAATACAATTATGTTTATTAAGTTGTATTTTATTTATTTTATTATTTCCCTTCTACGTGACTTTACCGAAAGAACCAAGAAGATGCCGTCATTACATCGAATGTTTTTATTGTGATGACGTTTTTACAGGGACCCGTCCGGCGATGACGTTTTCAGTTTTTGCAGTTTTCATTTATTAGGAACAGCCCTGTGAGCCATGCGGCTCTTGACTCGGGTCCAACCGCAACAAACAAAAACATGAACAAGAAACATCTTAAAGTGATACTCTTAGGTGTTTTCGGTAAAGTCACGTAGGTAAAAAATAAAAAGTTAATGAAAGTAATAATGGAAATAAAATAAAAAATCACGACGTTTCGGAGGCAACACAAGTCTCCGTCATCAGGTGGGACCGTCACAGCTAAAATTATCGTGAGGCTTAAATATCTAAATGTGTCGTTAAACCCGCCACCACCCGACACAGCCAACTAGTAAGGGTTGTCACGTAAACAGAACGTGGACAATTCGTCACTAGTACAGCACTAGTGTGTAGTGTAGTGTATTGCGTATAGTAGTGTAGTGTATAATGTAGTGTGTAGTAGTGTAGTGTGTATAGTGTAGTGTATAGTGTAGTATACTAGTACAGCACTAGTGTGTAGTGTATTGCGTATAGTAGTGTAGTGTTTAATGTAGTGTGTAGTAGTGTAGTGTATAGTGTAGTATACTAGTACAGCACTAGTGTGTAGTGTAGTGTATAGTGTAGTATACTAGTACAGCACTAGTGTGTAGTGTAGTGTATTGCGTATAGTAGTGTAGTGTATAATGTAGTGTGTAGTAGTGTAGTGTGTAGTGTAGTGTATAGTGTAGTATACTAGTACAGCACTAGTGTGTAGTGTATAGTATAGTGTTGTAGTGTATAGTGTAGTATACTAGTACAGCACTAGTGTGTAGTGTATAGTATAGTGTTGTAGTGTATAGTGTAGTATACTAGTACAGCACTAGTGTGTAGTGTATAGTATAGTGTTGTAGTGTATAGTGTAGTATACTAGTACAGCACTAGTGTGTAGTGTATAGTATAGTGTTGTAGTGTATAGTGTAGTATACTATTACAGCACTAGTGGGTAGTGTATAGTATAGTGGTGTAGTGTATAGTGTAGTATACTAGTACAGCACTAGTCTGTAGTGTATAGTATAGTGTTGTAGTGTATAGTGTAGTATACACGTACAGCACTAGTCTGTAGTGTATAGTATAGTGTTGTAGTGTATAGTGTAGTATACTAGTACAGCACTAGTGTGTAGTGTATAGTATAGTGTTGTAGTGTATAGTGTATTATACTAGTACAGCACTAGTCTGTAGTGTATAGTATAGTGTTGTAGTGTATAGTGTAGTATACTAGTACAGCACTAGTCTGTAGTGTATAGTATAGTGTTGTAGTGTATAGTGTAGTATACTAGTACAGCACTAGTCTGTAGTGTATAGTATAGTGTGTAGTGTATAGTGTAGTATACTAGTACAGCACTAGTGTGTAGTGTATAGTATAGTGTTGTAGTGTATAGTGTAGTATACTAGTACAGCACTAGTCTGTAGTGTATAGTATAGTGTTGTAGTGTATAGTGTAGTATACTAGTACAGCACTAGTGTGTAGTGTATAGTATAGTGTTGTAGTGTATAGTGTAGTATACTAGTACAGCACGAACCGGTGTGTTGGAGAGCCAAGCCACAACATTTGCAATCTGAGTACGACGTTTCGCTAGTAATCACAACCAGCATCATCAGGCGACAGCCAGATTTGTGGAGAAGTCCACCCGTTTCGTTCCTTAAATAGAGGGACAGATGTGATGACGTCACTTCTGTGCTATTCTTGCACGGGTTAATGAATGCATATTTATATGGTAAGCAACGCACATTATGCATGAGCATTATGGGAGCCCATTGTTCTTGTACTTCCTGTCGATTGTGTGAACTAAAATAGCCGTACCAACGGTAATCCCTGTTGAAGTATGGTGGCCTGTATAGGCATGCATTTAAACAATGAATTCTTTGATAATTCGCTTCCAAACAGCACTAAGTCTGTAGCTTTTTTGTCTATTTTAATAAATGTTAAAACTGACTTCTCGCTGACGTTAACGCATGATGCATGAATGATCTTTTTTCTCTCAGAAAGTATTTTGTTAACAAGATGATTCAGGTGCTTTGTGCTCCCCCGGTACCGTTGCCGTTCCGTCATCATGTGCACTGCTGCACTACGCTACTGAGGGCGATATTGGCACGTACAATTAAGATTGATTGATTGATTTGTATAACGTTTTCAATGGAAGCACCATGAACAAATCATTATTCCACTTAGACTTTTGACTTAGACTTCAAATCTAGATCGATCTATACCCTTGTAAAGTTCACTATTTCATATTCATTAGCATTTGTAGATGCTTTTTATTTACCATACTTCACGTATTCTGCTGTACTGTAAAGATTACCATACTCGAGTTCGTTCATCCATTGGTGACAATGTTACATCCATTCGTGTAACACAATGCTCAAACGTGGAAAGTACACCGTAATCCGAGGACATGTCAAATAACTGACGTTCAGAAAAAAAATCACACTTCACGAAGACACGTCATCTTGCGTGGAGGAGAAACAAAAATAATATTACAATAATGGCAACTGTTTGCCAGGACAGTCTAAGTCCACATTTCTCAGAAGGGTTCCCGGTCTTCTCCTCCTCTTCATGGCATCTCCACCTCCTCGTCGAGGCATCTACTTCCCCTCTCCTCCTGCTCCTCCCTCTCCGCCTTCTCCACCTCCTGTCGCTCCTCTTCACGGCAGCTGCTCCTCAAACAGCACGGAGCACAACGTGGCGAGCACCGCCGGGGCCCCGTCTCCCTCCTCCTCCTCCTCCTCACGCGGGCCCTCCCCCCTCTCCTCCTCCTCCTCCGTCCTCCGCTCCATCTCGTCGGCCGTCCTCGGTGGCACGGCAATCGCCGTGGGCCCCGTAGGCCCCGCGAGGAACGGGGCCGCCGTGACGCCGACTCTACCCAGCGCGGCCGCCACGGTCGGGCCCACGCGTCGACCTGCACGGCCTTCCGCCTCCTCCTCCTCCTGATACGCCCCTCGGCGACGGTCGCTCGTCCCGGTAACGTGGAGCTGCGATGCAGGGACGCACGCGGGCCCCACGGGGCCCAGGAAGGGGCCCGGGTTCGAGACCGGGCGAGCGGCACGGCCGGGAGAGAGGCCCAGCACCGTGGGCGAGAGCGTGGGCCCAGGACCGTTCATTGCGGCTGCGAAGGCAACGTCGCCTAAACGCACGCAGACGGAACATGCACGGAGACACTGAGACTTTTGCATTTAAACTGGAACCACAATTTTGCGTTGTGTTGTCACTGCGCTCAATGGCACGTTTCCTGTACGCGGCTTTTACTTCAGCACGTCGGTGTGATGGCGAGTAAACCCACAACAATTACAATTGAGTACGACATTACGCTGGTGATTTACAATTAGCTTCATCAAGCGATTTGCCACACTTTATCATGGTTGGCTACGTAGGGTGCAAAATAAGTTCACCGTACATAGATTAGCACGGTTGGCTGCGTATGGTGAAAAATAAGTTCACCGTACATAGATTAGCACGGCTGGCTACGTAGGGTGAGAAAGAACGTCACCACACACACACGGAGAAGGAGAGGCACGGGAAGAGGCACGGGGAGCAGCGACGTACCGGCGGCGACTCCAGCGCTCCCACGAGAGAACGACCAGCCGCCTTCGCCGCCGCCGTCCTTCGCCGCGGGACCCGGGGAGGGGGCCGCACGGGGGTCCCACGGGGGCGGCCGGGGGCCGGCGCCGCTCGACGACCACGACGACGACGACGCGGAGGGCGGCCGCGTGGAACCTTCCGGGGCGAGGGCTCTCGCGTGGCCGTGCTGCGGCCCGACGCGGCGGCCGCCTCCACCGCCGCCGTTGTTGTCGTCGTCGAGATGACCGCCAGCGTCGTCGAGATGACCGCCAGCGTCGTCGAGATGACCGCCAGCGTCGTCTCCGTCTTCTCCTTCTTCGTCGTCGCCGTCGTCGCCGTCGTCATCCCCGGCACTGCTGCCCCCAGTCGGCTCGCTGAAGAAGAGCGTCCATGGAGTGTGGCATTCATTGGCCGCTGAGTCTAAACTAAACACGTTGTTTTATTTTTACCAGGTTAAGGCGCCACTTAGCTACGTGGCTCTTGTTCAGACGCGACCTGCCCGTCAACGAAGTGGCTTGTCACGTGGAAATCTGTAGCAGCCAAATACTCCAAACCAGTGGTTCTGGACCTTGACTGCAGCCCTATTCTCAGAAAGGGTATCTCGCAGCCCCAGGTGAAGAGCCACTGATCGTAGCGCATGCTTTGAAATGTGGAGGGAAAAACCGGAGAAAAATCCACACGGCCATGGGGAGAGACACGCAAACTCCAAATATACAGCAGCAGCAGCAGGCATCAGTGTCGGGATCGAACCCGCGAACTCCTGCATACCAGGCGAGGTAGTTAACATCTAGCTGCTGTAGCACCCCACGATGGTGAAGTCCACCTACGCATCATCAGCCTGATTGACGGCCTCCTCCAATATCAACATTGCCGATAACATGACGATCATCATCATCTCCATTGTCACGTTCGTCGGTTCCATTTAACTTCACAACAACAGTCGAGAGATAAACTCAGTCCACTCCCGCCGCGCGTCCCCACCACGGCCAGCGCCCATCATCTTCCCTCTAAGAGGGCGATAAAATGACGACCACTTTGTGGGAAATTAACAGATGTTCTATGGGGTATCTATGCGAGTCTATGGGTCTCTATGTGAGTCTATGGGTCTCTATGTGAGTCTATGGGTCTCTATGTGAGTCTATGGGTCTCTATGTGAGTCTATGGGTCTCTGTGTGAGTCTATGGGTCTCTATGTGAGTCTATGGGGTCTCTGTGTGAGTCTATGGGTCTCTATGTGAGTCTATGGGTCTCTATGTGAGTCTATGGGTCTCTATGTGAGTCTATGGGTCTCTATGTGAGTCTATGGGTCTCTGTGTGAGTCTATGGGTCTCTATGTGAGTCTATGGGTCTCTATGTGAGTCTATGGGTCTCTGTGTGAGTCTATGGGTCTCTATGTGAGTCTATGGGTCTCTATGTGAGTCTATGGGTCTCTGTGTGAGTCTATGGGTCTCTATGTGAGTCTATGGGTCTCTATGTGAGTCTATGGGTCTCTGTGTGAGTCTATGGGTCTCTATGTGAGTCTATGGGTCTCTATGTGAGTCTATGGGTCTCTGTGTGAGTCTATGGGTCTCTATGTGAGTCTATGGGTCTCTATGTTAGTCTATGGGTCTCTATGTGAGTCTATGGGTCTCTATGTGAGTCTATGGGTCTCTATGTGAGTCTATGGGTCTCTATGTGAGTCTATGGGTCTCTGTGTGAGTCTATGGGGTCTCTGTGTGAGTCTATGGGTCTCTATGTGAGTCTATGGGTCTCTATGTAAGTCTATGGGTCTCTATGTGAGTCTATGGGTCTCTATGTGAGTCTATGGGTCTCTATGTGAGTCTATGGGTCTCTATGTGAGTCTATGGGTCTCTGTGTGAGTCTATGGGGTCTCTGTGTGAGTCTATGGGTCTCTATGTGAGTCTATGGGTCTCTATGTAAGTCTATGGGTCTCTATGTGAGTCTATGGGTCTCTATGTGAGTCTATGGGGTCTCTGTATGAGTCTATGGGTCTCTATGTGAGTCTATGGGTCTCTGTGTGAGTCTATGGGTCTCTATGTGAGTCTATGGGTCTCTATGTGAGTCTATGGGTCTCTGTGTGAGTCTATTGGTGTCTATGTGAGTCTATTGGTGTCTATGTGTGAGTCTATGGGTCTCTATGGGAGTCTATGGGGTCTCTATAGGAGTCTATGGGAGTCTATGGGGTCGCTATAGGAGTCTATGGAAGTCTATGGGTCTCTGTGTGTGTCTATGGGTCTCTGTGTGAGTCCATGGGTCTGTGTGAGTCTATGGGGTCTCTATGGGAGTCTATGGGTCTCTATGTGAGTCTGTGGGTCTCTATAGGAGTCTATGGGAGTCTATGCGAGTCTATGGGTCTCTATGTGAGTCTATGTGAGTCTATGGGGTCTCTATAGGAGTCTATGGGTCTCTATGGGAGTCTATAGGTCTCTATGCGAGTCTATGGGGTCGCTATGGGATTCTATGGGGTCTGTACGCCAGGCCGTGCACCTGGCGAGCGAGGAATCTGGGCGGTGCCTCCCTCGGGGCTTGGAGCTGCCAGGTGTCGGCTCTCGAGACCACGTGGCATAGGGGGCAGCGGGGGGGGGGGGGTTCTGGGGGGAGGGGCGGGGCAGGGGGGGGGGGATGAGGAGGCTTGTCCACGCACTGGCGAGCAAGAGAGGTCAGTCCAGCACGGAGGCTTTCCTGGCCACAGTTCTCCATAATGGGGTCTCTATAGGGGTATCTATAGTGACTCTATGGGGGTCTCTATGCGAGTCTATGGTGTGTGTATGTGAGTCTATGGGGTCTCTATGCGAGTCTATGGGGTGTGTGTGTCAGTATTCTTCATTGACGGTAGCAGTCAGCGCGCTGTGCTGCGACCCGGGTTCGATTCCGGCTCAAGGCCAACACCCGTGACGATTATCTGAACCGGTCCTGGGCCTCCCCTAGGTCGACTCAGCCTCAAATGATTACCTGGTGCGATGTAGTAGACATCGCCACTCGGGAGACAAAGGCGGCCGGGAGTGGTGCTGGCCAACCACCCATCTTGTACCGTGCCGGCCTTCATAGGTGCTCGCTAACAGAACTTGCCCCTACAGTCTGGTCAGGCTATACGGGGATCTTTGTCTTTTGCGTTCTTCACTCATTTCCAGACGGGGGGGCCCAATCGTCTCGCTTGAAAACTCATTCCTTTAGAACCGCTTTTCGTGTTGAGTTTTCTGTCCTTCCCCCGCGTCTCCGATTCCCAGCGGCCGGCTACGTACGGTGCCAAAGAAGTTCAGCGAGCACCGCCGTCCTTCACCGCAAGGCCCCTGACGTGCCCCCCCCCCCCCCCCCCCGACAAAACACCGCCACCACCACCACCACCGCCATCGTCGTGCCCGTGGTCGTGCTGCTGTCAAACCCCCACGGGTTTCAAACGCGCGGGCGGCCCTCGCTCGCGCCGGCGAATCGGCCCCCCACCTTCCGAGAATGAGCGACGAGCTCGTGGCTCGAGGTCTCTGCGCGAGATCCGGGGGTGGCCGCGGGAGGAGGGCACAGAGGGACCGCGCTACTCGCCTGCGCCGAGGTTGTCGCCGGTCCCCCGCCGGGCCTGGCGCGCGGTCGCGCTGCCGCCGGTTCTTGAACCAGTTGGCGACCTGCGTGGCGGTGAGGCCCGTGGCGCGCGCCAGCTGCAGCTTCTCCTCGGGGCTCGGGTAGCGCGCGCCGCCGTAGCTCTCCATCAGCGCCCTGCGCCGGCAAAGGCAACGTCAAGAGAGGTGGTCCACGACAGACCCCGGCAGCAGGAGCGGGCGCTGTGTGGGGCGAGTGGCGCTAGCGGGGAGCAGCGATGAGCGACCGGCGCGGCGGGCAAGGGGGTGGGGTGGGTGGCCAACATCGCGTGAAGCCTCGTGGTGTCGTGATGCCTCGAGGCTCCACTGCACTGTGGCTTGTTTGTATGTTTCACTTGTTTTCGCTAATCGGAGGTGCGTTGGGGGAAGGACAACGAACTAGACGCAAAAAGAAGTTCTAAAGAAAAGAGTTGGCCAATCTAGATGATGATGATTTAAAAGTGCACAGCATACTCTTTGGTTTTTTCGGTAAAGTCACGTAGGTAAAGCAATAAATAAAATAAAATAAATGAAAACTAAATTAAATCACGACGTTTCGGAGGCAACACAAGTTTCCTTCATCAGGTGTAAAAAAGGGCACAGCAAAATAACACCCAGTGACTTCCTGATATAAGAAGGAAGAGCGTTCCAGACGGCCGCGGGAGCAGCGCATCTGAAAGCGCCGCGCGGCGATGCGGTGACGCCCGGAGGAGTTGGCGTGATGGCGCTTGACGCCCCATCGACGGACTCAGCAGCGACGTGCTGTCATTTCATTTCGTGGCGAGCGCTCTGCGTGCTACGAGCGATGGCGCCGCCACCGCCGCTCCAGAAGCTCCCGGCGCACGAGGAGCCAAAACGTCGGACACCGTGCCGAGCAGCGCGCCGTTCAAGTACGCCGATTAGTGTTTTTTTACTTTTTTTTTACTTTGTAACTCGACCGGGCGACAAACGATCGCGAGCGCCCTTCCCGATTGTGAGCGCGTGCGCATCACCCGCGTGCTCGCTCCTTGAAGCAGTAGCTCGTGCGCTCGCCGTCCCAGATGGTGCGGGGCGGCGGGTGCCTCTTGCGCACGCGGTATTTGTCCACGGCGCCCAGCGCGCGGCCCCTCGCCCGCTCCGCCTCGAGGTAGCGCGCCCGGAACCACAGCGCCTGGCGGCGGCAGCAGCAGTAGCGGCAGCAGCGGCGGCAGCGGCAGCAGATAATTTACAGATGAGAGAGAATGAGAATCTGTAGGTGAGAGAGAGAATGAGAATCTGTAGGTGAGAGAGAGAGAATGAGAATCTGCAGGTGAGAGGGCGAGCAAGTGACCTGCAGGTGAGAGAGAGTGAGAATTTGCAGGTGAGAGGGTGAGAATCTGCAGGTGAGAGAGAATGAGAATCTGCAGGTGAGAGGGCGAGCAAGTGACCTGCAGGTGAGAGAGAGTGAGAATTTGCAGGTGAGAGGGTGAGAATCTGCAGGTGAGAGGGCGAGCAAGTGACCTGCAGGTGAGAGAGAGTGAGAATTTGCAGGTGAGAGGGTGAGAATTTGCAGGTGAGAGAGAATGAGAATCTGCAGGTGAGAGGGCGAGCAAGTGACCTGCAGGTGAGAGAGAGCGAGAATTTGCAGGTGAGAGGGTGAGAATCTGCAGGTGAGAGGGCGAGCAAGTGACCTGCAGGTGAGAGAGAGTGAGAATTTGCAGGTGAGAGGGTGAGAATCTGCAGGTGAGAGAGAATGAGAATCTGCAGGTGAGAGGGCGAGCAAGTGACCTGCAGGTGAGAGAGAGTGAGAATTTGCAGGTGAGAGGGTGAGAATCTGCAGGTGAGGGGGCGAGCAAGTGACCTGCAGGTGAGAGAGAGTGAGAATTTGCAGGTGAGAGGGTGAGAATCTGCAGGTGAGAGAGAATGAGAATTTGCAGGTGAGAGGGCGAGCAAGTGACCTGCAGGTGAGAGAGAGAATGAGAATCTGCAGGTGAGCGAGCGAGCGAGTCACCTGCAGGAGAGAGAGAGAGAATGAGAATTTGCAGGTGAGCGAGCGAGCGAGCGCGTCACCTGCAGCTCCGCGTGGTGGCGCGCCTCGAAGTCGTGACCCTCCAAGACGTCGTACAGCTCCCGGTAGCTGCCCGAGTGGAAGGCCACGTGGGCGCGGGCCCTCAGCACGGCCTCGTCGCGGGACGCAGTCGCAGGCCCCGGCAGGGCCCAGAGGAAGCGGGCGAGGCGCGCCACGTCACCTCCTTGCTGCAGCGCCTCGCACACGCACGCCACCTGGGCCCGCGGGGAGAACGCCCAGACGGGCCAACGCGTTCCTCTGCACCTACGAGGCTGATGGCTCTTTGCTGTTGTTGTTGTTGTGCTGTTGTTGTTGTGCTGGTGTTGTTGTTGTTGTGCTGTTGTTGTTGTGTATTGATGGATGTATCGTCGTGGCGTGCTGTGGGGACCCCACGTCTTAACATAATGGGCTCTCTTGTAAATATCTGGTAGTTCATGAGTAATTAACTGCCGGTAGTTCACCAGTAATTAACTATTGGTAATTAACTACCGGTAGTTCACCAGTAATTAACTATTGGTAGTTCAGTAATTAATATCTGGTAGTTCGCCAGTAATTAACTATTGGTAGTTCAGTAATTAATATCTGGTAGTTCACCAGTAATTAACTATTGGTAGTTCAGTAATTAAGTAATTTCTGCTAAACTCCCACCCGCTCCCTCGTGATGGTTTGGGTCAGGGCCACGTGCACCTTGACACATCCCAGGACAACTCTCGCCGCTGCTGCCGCTAGGGCGGCTACCGGGACACTCGCTCCACATCCACGCCAGCGAACCCCCCCCACCAGCAGCCCCCCAACAGCCCCCCCAACAGCCCCCCCCCCCCACCAGCCCCCCTACCAGCCCTCCCCACCAGCCTTCCCCACCAGCCCCCCCACCAGCCCCCCCCGCCCCCCCCCCCACCAACCCCCCCACCAGCCCCCCCACCGCCCCCCCCCCTCACCTGCTCATCAGAGAAGCCGGTCATGAGGCCTCCTTCCGGGACGCCAGCCGCTCCACTCCCCGCTGCCCCTTGGGGTCCTGGGACAGAGGCCATGGACCCAGTGTCCTCCTCCTCCTCCTCTCCCCCACCTCCTCCTCTCCCCCACCTCCTCCTCTCCCCCACCTCCTCCTCCTCCTCTCCCCCACCTCGGTGTGCCCCTGCCGAGCGTGACGACCCCGGGGTCTCACGGCGACTCGCGCGTACGAGAGACGTGGGAGCACTGGACAAGACACAGACAAAGGTCCCCCGGATAGTCTTAACGGGCTTTTTGGGGCAAGTGCTGTTCGCGAGCAGCACTTGCCCGATGAAGGCCGGCACGCCGCGCGAGGGGGTGGGTGGCCAGCGCCACGCCCGGCCGCCTTTGTCTCCCCAGTGGCGATGTTTACTACGCACCGCACCAGGTACTCATTTGAGGCTGAGTCGACCTAGGGGGGTTCAGATAATCGCCGCTTGTGTCGGACCTGGGTCGCTGTGTTCGTAGCGCAGCGCGCTGACCACTGCGCCACCGCTCCCCACTCACGTGCACACCTGCACACGTGGGCACAGGTAGCTATAGATTGCACGTGTGACACACACGTGATGCACACGTGGGTCACTCGCACGCGTGCTAACACATGTTAACGCACAGACAAAATTGCCCCGTAAAGCCTGTGCCAGACTGTTGGGGCAAGTGCCGATCGTGCACACAGATGAAGGCCGGCGAGGCACCACGTGTGGCTAGCACCACCTAGCACCACGTAGCACCACGTGTGGCTAGCACCACGCCCGGCCGCCTTTGTCTCCCCGGTGCTGATGTTTTGTACGCACCGCATCAGACACCTATTTAAGGCTGAGTCGAGCTAGGGGAGGCCCAGGACTGGGACCGGTTCAGATATTCGCCACTGATGTTGGCCGTGATCGAACTCGGGTCGCCGGGTGTTGAGTGCAGTGCGCTAACCACTGCACCACCGCTCGACACACACACACGTGCAAGTTGACAAGTACAGCACACGAGTATCAGCCACAGCCCAAACAACAGCAGTAGCAGTAACAGCAGTAGCAGTAACAACAGTAGCAGTAACAGCAGTAGCAGTAACAGCAGTAGCAGTAACAGCAGTCATAGCATCAGTAACAACAGCAGTAGCAGTAACAGCAGTAGCAGCAGGAACAGCATCAGTAACAACAGCAGTAGCAGTAACAGCAGTAGCAGTAACAGCAGTAGCAGTAACAGCAGTCATAGCATCAGTAACAACAGCAGTAGCAGCAGGAACAGCATCAGTAACAACAGCAGTAGCAGTAACAGCAGTAGCAGCAGGAACAGCATCAGTAACAACAGCAGTAGCAGTAACAGCAGTAGCAGCAGGAACAGCATCAGTAACAACAGCAGTAGCAGTAACAGCAGTAGCAGCAGTAATAGCATTAGTAACAACAGCAGTACCAGTAACAGCAGTAGCAGCAGTAACAACATCAGTAGCAGTACCAGTAACAGCAGCAGGAACAGCATTAGTAACAACAGCAGTAGCAGTAACAGCAGAAGTACCTGCAGCAATAACAGTAGTGCTGGTGGCAGTAGTAGCAGTAGTACTCGCCTATGTGTGTGCTTGGTGAGTGTGTGTGTGCGGGGTGAGTGTGTGGTGAATCTGTCTATGTGTGTGTGTGTGCGGGGTGAGTCTCTGAGTCTGTGTGTGTGTGCTGGGTGAATCTGTCTGTGTGTGTGTCTGTGTGTGTGTGTTGGGTGAATCTGTCTGTGTGTGTGTTGGGTGAGTGTCTGTGTGTTAGTGTGCTGGGTGAGTCTGTGTGTGTGTGTTCTGAGTGAGTCTGTGTGTGTGTGTATTCTGGGTGAATCTGTCTGTGTGTGTGTGTGTGTGTTGGGTGAATCTGTCTGTGTGTGTGTGTGTGTCTGTGTGTGTGTGTGTTGGGTGAATCTGTGTGTGTGTGTCTGTGTGTGTGTGTTGGGTGAATCTGTCTGTGTGAGTCTGTGTGTGTGTGTGTGTTCTGGGTGAATGTGTCTGTGTGTGTGTCTGTCTGTGTGTGTGTGTTGGGTGAATCTGTCTGTGTGTGTGTCTGTCTGTGTGTGTGTGTTGGGTGAATCTGTCTGTGTGTGTGTCTGTGTGTGTGTGTGTTGGGTGAATCTGTGTGTGTGTGTATATGTTGGGTGAATCTGTCTGCGTGTGTGTCTGTCTGTGTGTGTGTGTGTTGGGTGAATCTGTCTGTGTGTGTGTCTGTCTGTGTGTGTGTGTTGGGTGAATCTGTCTGCGTGTCTGTCTGTCTGTGTGTGTGTGTTGGGTGAATCTGTCTGTGTGTGTTCTGTCTGTGTGTGTGTTGGGTGAATCTGTCTGTGTGTGTGTCTGTCTGTGTGTGTGTTGGGTGAATCTGTCTGTGTGTGTGTGTGTGTCTGTGTGTGTGTGTTGGGTGAATCTGTGTGTGTGTGTCTGTGTGTGTGTGTTGGGTGAATCTGTCTGTGTGAGTCTGTGTGTGTGTGTGTTCTGGGTGAATGTGTCTGTGTGTGTGTCTGTCTGTGTGTGTGTGTTGGGTGAATCTGTCTGTGTGTGTGTCTGTCTGTGTGTGTGTGTTGGGTGAATCTGTCTGTGTGTGTGTCTGTGTGTGTGTGTTGGGTGAATCTGTGTGTGTGTATATGTTGGGTGAATCTGTCTGCGTGTGTGTCTGTCTGTGTGTGTGTGTGTTGGGTGAATCTGTCTGTGTGTGTGTCTGTCTGTGTGTGTGTGTTGGGTGAATCTGTCTGCGTGTCTGTCTGTCTGTGTGTGTGTGTGTTGGGTGAATCTGTCTGTGTGTGTGTCTGTCTGTGTGTGTGTGTTGGGTGAATCTGTCTGTGTGTGTGTCTGTCTGTGTGTGTGTTGGGTGAATCTGTCTGTGTGTATATGTTGGGTGAATCTGTCTGCGTGTGTGTCTGTCTGTGTGTGTGTGTTCTGGGTGAATCTGTCTGTGTGTGTGTCTGTCTGTGTGTGTGTTCTGGGTGAATCTGTCTGTGTGTGTGTCTGTCTGTGTGTGTGTTGGGTGAATCTGTCTGTGTGTGTGTCTGTCTGTGTGTGTGTTCTGGGTGAATCTGTCTGTGTGTGTGTCTGTCTGTGTGTGTGTTGGGTGAATCTGTCTGTGTGTGTGTCTGTCTGTGTGTGTGTTCTGGGTGAATCTGTCTGTGTGTGTGTCTGTCTGTGTGTGTGTTGGGTGAATCTGTCTGTGTGTGTGTCTGTCTGTGTGTGTGTGTTGGGTGAATCTGTCTGCGTGTGTTCTCCGCACTGAACGCTGTGGGTGGAGCGGCGTTGGAGGCACGAGTGGCTGGGAGCGTGCGGAGAGAGAGAGGTTGTTTGTAAGTGGGCGTGAGTCATGGGCGGTGTGAGTGACACTTGAACCGGTCCAGGGGGCCTCCCCTAGGTCGACTCAGACTCAAACGAGAACAGTGTCTGGTGCGATGTGTAAACAGCAGCACTGGGGAGACAAAGGCGGTCGGGCCTATTAAGGCCGGCACAGCCACACGAGGGGGTGGGTGGCCAGCACCACGCCCGAACGCCTTTGTCTCCCCAGTGGCGATGTTTACACACCGCACCAGGTACTCATTTGAGGCTGAGTCGACCTAGGGGAGGCCCAGGACCGGTTGAGATAATCGTCACCGGTGTTGATGGCCGTGAGCGGGAATCAAACTCGGGTCGCCGGGTTCATAGCGCAGCGCGCGAACTGCTACACTACCGCACACACACGTGTACACACACACACGTGTTTACACACACACGTGTACACACACAGACACGTGTACACACACACGTGTACACACACGTCCACACACACACGTCCACACACACGTGCACACACACGCGCGCGTACACACACACGCGCGCGTACACACACACGTGTACACACACGTGTACACACACGCGCGCGTACACACACACGCGCGTACACACACACGCGCGTACACACACACGTGTACACACACACACGCGTACACACACACGTGTACACACACGTGTACACACACACACGCGTACACACACACGCGTACACACGCGCGTACACACACGCGCGTACACACACACGCGTACACACACACGCGCGTACACACACACGTGTACACACACACGCGCGTACACACACACGCGCGTACACACATACGCGCGTACACACACACGTGTACACACACACGCGTGTACACACATACGCGCGTACACACACACGCGTACACACACACACGCGTGTACACACATACGCGCGTACACACACGCGCGTACACACACACGCGCGTACACACACACGCGCGTACACACACACGCGCGTACACACACACGTGTACACACACACGCGCGTACACACACACGCGTGTACACACATACGCGCGTACACACACACGTGTACACACACACACGCGTGTACACACATACGCGCGTACACACACACGCGTACACACACACACGCGTGTACACACATACGCGCGTACACACACACGTGTACACACACACACGCGTACACACACACACGTGTACACACACGTGTACACACACACACGCGTACACACGCGCGTACACACACACGCGTACACACATACGTGTGCAGCTATTGAGTGCCGCATGTTTAATTCAGTCGAAGCCGACAGACGCGGACGTTGAGGTGGTAAAGACGTGAATCCCGAGGTGTGAGCAGAATGTGAACTCGATTCGCAATGCCGTCAACTCCTCACCAGTGCCCTCTCTACCTTACTGCAGACCAACTCAGACCTTATTGGTCACCCCGTGCTCCTTATGAATCTCAACTTCCATCCTACAAAGTCCCATCACGAGGGAGAAACACAAATAGACAAAAAAATAAGTATAACCCGTAAAAACAAAGTTTTTCACTCTAAATCCTTTATATGCGTGGCGGCTAGAGTCCTCTCGTACTCTGGCTTGAGATGGCTGCCACCTATGGGTCAGATGATTGTCTGCCAGTATTAAGCAATTGGTAATTAAATATTTAATTTGTTTTCCCTAAACTGTGTAAAATTTTGGAAAAAAATTTTCACGAACATTAATTGTCTCGCACAACGAGTCTGTGTGCAAAATGTCAGCTCGATTGGATCACGGGAAGTGGGTTAAAAAACGACCGAAAGATTTGCACGATCGTAAGCAAGCAAGCGAACTTAATATAAAGGATTTAATAATTGTGTTTGCTCGTATTGAAACGGCTGTACGCCGTGTGGACCTAAACACGAAATTTTCCTGCGCAAGGATTTGGCGTAAACCGTCTGGGTTGACAGCGATGTGATTCACGCGGGCACGTGTCCCGCTTGCACCCACCCTCACATCCCGACAGAGCCCCATTCGCGCTCGGGGACCACGGTTCGACTCCTGGTAAGGCCAGGCCGAGATTCTAGCGGAGCCGCAAACACATTCCTGCGGAGGGAGCTGGTAGGAACGTTGGGTTACTCGGTCAATGGCCAGGGTCAACGGCGGCGTGGTGTATTCCGCAAATATGCCCGACTGTGAGGGCGGGCACAAGCCGGCGTGAGTAGGTTAAACGTTGAGTTTTATAAGGGCACCACGGGGTGACCAGCCCCTCCCCACCCAGCCCCATCCCACCCAGCCCCACCCCTCCCACCCCCCACCCAGCAGCGCCCTCCAACAACAACGGAGGACGGAGGAGCGACGCTCACAACAACGAGCGGAACGCCGGGTGGCTAAAGCACAGCAAGTTGGCACAGTAGGGGCACAGGTGGTGCATCAGCCACTCATCTCAGTCAGTCGACCCGTGGCACCTGGGTCTGCCCCGTGACCTCCTGCCAGCGGGCGTTCGACACTTCACGTGGCCTCAAGTTGTACCTAGCCTGGCACAAGCGTATAGGTGTGTGTCTGTATAGGTGTCTGCATAGGTGTATGTCTGTATAGGTGGAGCGGTAGTGTAGCGGTTAGCGCTACGCTGCGCTGCAAACCTGGCGACCCGGGTTCGACTCCCGCTCACGGCAAACACCAGTGACGATTATCTGAACCGGTCCTGGGCCTCCCCTAGGTTGACTCAGCCTCAAATGAGTATCTGGTGCGGTGTGTAAACATCGTCACTGGGGATACAAAGGCGGCCTGGGCGTGGTGCTGGCCACTCACCTCCTCGTGTGCCGTGCCGGCCTTCATAGGTGCTCGCTAGCAGCACTTGCCCCTACAGTCTGATAAGGCTATACGGGGTATATTTGCCTTTATCTTTGTGTCTGTTTCGCCGGTGTGTGTCTGTGTATGTGTCTGTATAGGTGTACGTGTGTGTGTGTGATGGAGGGATGTAATCGCGTCACGTGGGAGTTGAAACCCGTGTGACCGCATTCCCAGCTCCACGCGGGGGCGGCTCCGGACGGGACTCGCACAGATAAAGATCCCCCATGTAGCCTGCCAAGACTGTTGGAGCAAGGGCTGTTAGCGAGCGACTTTGCTCGTGTTAAACCAGCGCCGCAGAGAACGCTCACTGCCAAAGAGCCGTGTGGCTGACGGGAAGTGTCAGGACAAACGATGATATGTTGAATTCCTACGTGAAGAGAGAGATATGGGGAGAAGGCGTTCTCCTATTGTCCACTTATATACTTTATTTACAATTGTTGTATGGTCAGAACCATGCCCGGCCGCCTTTGTCTCCCCAGTGCCAATACCAATACCCGGCCATTCGCCACAAAGTGACGGTGACGTCACCAGGGCGCCTGTACCAGGCCAGGTGCACTTTGAGACCTCGTGAAGTGTCGAAGGCTCGCTGCTGACAACAGGTCTCGGGACAGACCCTGCAGGTGCCATGGGCCGTCTGACTGAGATGACCGGTAGATGCACCACCAGCTGTATCCCCTACAGTGCCAACTTTCTGTGTTTTATCCGCCCGGCGTTCCGCTCGTTGTTGTGAGCGGGGAGCACTGGGGTATATGACCCATCTAACGCAGCCTCGCCTGCATGAGGACCTCACTGATCATGGGAACTGTGTCCAGATCTCTCAAGGACGCGTGAGCTCTTCACACTCTGATCCAGTCTGGTTAAACGCAGGAGGGATGGCAGGCAGGGCAGCCTGAATGTTTCCATCCAGCGCAGATGTTCCCGTAAAGGGCTCCACGTTTCGCAAGCAATGAGACGGGGAGGACATGACCATGGCCGAGACGACTCGGGTCTTGACGTGGTGCGGCAGGTCACGTACAGCAAAGATAATGCCGCTCGACCGACTCGGAGTGAGACCTCCGCTGCCAAACCAGAGCTGGTCACGAGCACGCTGGCCAGGTGCGTGACCTCTTTCACCCTCTCCACACATTCCCCATCGCTCATGGGGAGCTGAGGGGGTGGGGGAGTTGAGTATGCAAACGGTTTAACGCGTAGGCTTTGGCAGGAGGATTTCTACACAAATATGGCTGTCGCCTGATGATGCCGGTTGTAATTAGTGGCGAAACGTCGTGCACTCAGATAGTGAATGTTGTGGATTTGCTCTCCAACACACCGGTGTTGCTGTACTAGTGTAGTGACTGACTCAGAGACACTAAGAGGAGGAGGCACTCTGTTTATTAACACGACCTTAACAGTAACACTTGGTAACTACGGCACCCAGTCAGCACAGCTGGTAGACTGCCTGACTGGCGATAAGAGACGGTGAAGACGGAGACAGCAGTGAGGACTCCAGCAGCAGCAGCAGCACAACGGGGACGCCCCCCCCACTCCACACGACAGCCCCGAGCTCCCCTCCCGGGGCCCCTCTTATACTGTCACGTGGCCTGCTGGCTCCGCCCTGGCCACGCCCTCGGCCACGCCCCCCTTCTGGAACCTACCAACGGGTTCATATTCTTAGGTTTTTTTTCGGTAAAGTCACGTAGGTAAAAAACATTAAAAAGTAAAATAAAATAAAAATCACGTTTCGGAGGCAACACAAGCTGCTTCCGTCTTCAGGTGGTACCGTCACAGCCACGACAGCTGTATAAAGTAAATGAGAGATTGCAGAAGCCACCACTCCGTTTATATAATGGTTGGAGGAGGTGGTGGAGCAAGAGCCGCATACTTTTATTAATATGGTAAGGTGAGGCTTAAGACTTAGAATAAGACTACCAACGGGTTCTCGATGTGCCCCCTTCCGTGACCTTTCCCCTACATCCCTCTATGGTCTATCACGTGACCTGTTCACAGTCAGGGCTGCTGTAAGCTGCAGATCCCCTTCCCTGCCAGCAGCCAGCGCTATGCTGCTAAGTGACCGATTCTATTCCACTATACTAGTAACGAATTGGCACGTTCTGTTTGCATGACAAACCTTACTGATTTTCTGTGTTGGGTGGTGGCAAGTTTAAAGAAATTACAAAACGCGATCTAACCCAACAACACAAAACACCTGCATTATGGAGCATTCAATCCGTATAAATGTA